CTTTTGTATTTTAGTAGAGACGGGGTTTCACCATGTTGACCAGGATGGTCTCGAACTCTCGACCTCGTGATCCACCCGCCTTGGCCTCCCAAAGTGCTGGGATTACAGGCGTGAGCCACCGCACCCGGCCAATTTTTTTTTTTTTTTTAGGCTGGGCGCGGTGGGCTCATGCCTGTAATCCCAGCACGTTTGTAGGCCAAGGTGGGCAAATTGCTTGAGGTCAGGCGTTGGGGACCAGTCTGACCAACATAGCAAAACCCCGTATCTACTAAAAATATAAAAATTAGCTGGGCATCGTGGAGAATGCCTGTAATCTCAGCTATTCAGGGAGGCTGAGGCAGGAGGATTACTTGAACCCGGACGCAGAGTTTGCAGTGAGCTGAGATCACGCCACTGCACTCCAGCCTGGATGACAGAATTAAACTGTCTCAAAAAAAAAAAAAATGTGTGTGTGTGTGTGTGTGTGTGTGTATTTGAGTGACAGAGGAGGAGTTGGGTCTTTTTTTGGGAAACAGTTTAGATATATAAGTCATGTGCCATACAATCAGGATTGACATGTACAATTCAGTGGCTTTCAGTACATTCTTGTGGCTGTGCAACTATCACCACAATCAATTCTAGAACACTTTCATCACTTAAACAAAAACTCCTTTACCCTTTCGTTATCACCTCAAATACCTCTATCCACCCTCCAGCCATAGGCAACAATGAATCTATTATCTGTCTTCTGGATTTGCCTATTCTGGACATTTCCTTATTAAATGTTACTTCTTATTATTAGGTTTTTTTTTTTTTTTTTTTTAGAAGGAGTCTCTGTCACTCAGGCTGGAGTGCAGTGGCGGGATCTCAGCTCACTGCAACCTCCATCTCCCAGGTTCTAGCAATTCTCCTGCCTCAGCCTCTCAAGTAGCTGGGATTACAGGCATCTGCCACCATGCCTAGCTAATTTATTTTTAGTAGAGACAGGATTTCACCATTTTGGCCAGGCAGGTCTCAAACTCCTGACCTCAAATGATCAGCCTGCCATGGCCTCCCAAAGTGTTGGGATTACAGGCGTGAGCCATGATGCCCAGCCTGTTAGTATTATTAGTTTTTAGAGACCAGGCTGAAGTGTAGTGGCTGATCTCAGCTCACTTGCACTCAATCTCCGGTGCTCAACTGATCCTCCCACCTCAGCCTCCCAAGTAGCTGGGATCACGTGTATGCCACCACATTTGGCTATTTTTTGTTTTTTTTTTGAGACGGAGTCTCCCTCTGTCACCCAGGCTAGAGTGCAGTGGTGTGATCTCAACTCACTAAAACCTCCACTTCCAGGGCTTAAGTGATTCTCCTGCCTCAGTCTCTCAAGGAGCTGGGACTACAAGCATGTGTCATCATGCCCAGCTAATTTTTGTATTTTTAGTAGAGACAGAGTTTCAGTATGTTGGCCAGGTAAGTCTTAAATTCCTGACCTCAAGTGATCCCCCTACCTTGGCCTCTGAAAGCACTAGGATTACATGTGTGAGCTACTACGCCTGCTGTTTTTTGAGACAAGATCTCACTCTGTCATCCAGGCCAGAATGCAGTGGTGCGATCCCGGCTCAATGCAACGTCCGCCTTCCAGGTTCAAGTGGTTCTCCTGCCTCAGCCTCCAGAGCAGCTGGGATGACCAGCAAGAGCCACCATGCCAGGCTAATTTTTGTATTTTTAGTAGAGATGGCGTTTCGCCATCTTGGCCTGGCTGGTCTCAAACTCCTGACCACAGGTGATCCACCCAACTTGTCCTCCCTAGGTGCTGGAATACAGACCTGAGCCACTGGGCCCAGCCACATCTGGCTGCTTTTAAAATATTGTTTTTTTGTAGAAATGGCTTTTTGCTATGTTGTCTAAGCTGGTCTGGAACTCCTGGACTCAAGCAATCCTCCCTCCTCAGCCTCCCAAAGTGCTGGGATTACAGGTGTAAGCTACTGCACCCAGCCTGGGATTCCATTTTATACAAATAGAATTGTATAATATGTGGTCATTTTCTTTTTTTTTTTTTGAGACAATGTTTCACTAAGGCTGAAGTACAGTTGTGCAATCACAGCTCACTGAAGCTTCAACCTCCTGGGCTCAAGCAATCCTCAGCCTCCCAAGTAGCTAATTCTACAGGTGTGTTGCAATATCTAATTTTTCGTTTTTATTTTGTAGTGATGAGGGTCTCACTATGTTGTTCAGGCTGGTGCTGAACTCCTGGGCTCAACTGATCCTCCTACCTGGGCCCCCCAAAATGCTGGGATTGATTACAGGTGTGAGCCACCATGCCTGGCTGCATGTGGTCATTTGTGACTGGATTCTTTCACTTAGCATAATGTTTCAAGGTTCATCCACATTGTAGCATGCGTTAGCGTTTCATTCCTTTTCTTTCTTTTTTTTTTTTTTTTTTTTTGAGAGAGTCTCACTCTATCACCAGGCTGGAGTGCAGTGGTGCCATCCCGGCTCACTGCAACTTCCGTCTTCTGGTTTCAAGCATTACTCCTGCTTCAGCCTCCGAGTAGCTGGGACTACAGGCATACACCACCACACACCATGCCCAGCTAATTTTTTGTACTTTTAGTAGAGATGGGGTTTCACCATGTTGGCCAGGATGGTCTCGATCTCTGACCTCGTGATCCGCCAGTCTCGGTCTCCCAAACTGCTGGGATTAAAGGGATGAGCCACTGTGCCTGTCCTATTTCATTCGTTTTTGTAATTGAATAGTATTCCATTATATGTATATACCGCATTTTATGTACCAGTTCATTTTGTGATGAACATTTGCATTGTCTCCATTTATGAGTCAGTTTTTAACTGTTAATTAACATTTGGCTCCAGATAAAGGGAAATGGTCTAACATTTCGGTAAATGTAAAATTTACATGGCTTGTGAAAGAACGGCTGTCAAGAGATGATCTCTTTTAAACAGTGGAGGAGGCAAATGTATGCATTAGAGTTGCTGAAACACACTTTGAGAGATAATACAATTTTGGTTTTATTTATTTATTTATTTTTGAGATGGAGTTTCGCTCGTTACCCAGGCTGGAGTGCAATGGCGCAATCTCGGCTCACCGCAACCTCCGCCTCCTGGGTTCAGGCAATTCTCCTGCCTCAGCCTCCTGAGTAGCTGGGATTACAGGCATGCGCCACCATGCCTAGCTAATTTTTTGTATTTTTTAGTAGAGACAGGGTTTCACCATGTTGACCAGGATGGTCTCGATCTCTTGACCTCACGATCCACCCGCCTCGGCCTCCCAAAGTGCTGGGATTACAGGCTTGAGCCACCGCGCCCGGCATAATTTTGGTTTTAAAAAAGCCAAAAGAGGCTAGGCGCGGTGGCTCATGCCTGTAATCCCAGCACTTTGGGAGGCAGAGGCAGGTGGATCACTTGAGATCAGGAGTTGGGGACAGCCTGGCCACCATGGCAAAACCCCATTTCTACTAAAAATACAAAAAATTGCCAGGCACGGTGGCTCATGCCTGTAATCCCAGCACTTTGGAAGGCTGAGGTGGGCAGATCACCTGAGGTTGGGAGTTCCAGACCATCCTGGCCAACATAGTGAAACCCTGTGTCTACTAAAAATACAAAAATTAGCTGGGCATGGTGGTATGCACTTGTAATCCTAGCTAGTAGGGAGGCTGAGGCAGGAGAATCATTTGAACCCTGGAGGTAGAGGTTGCAGTGAGCCAAGACTGTGTCACTGTACTCCAGCCTAGACAACAGAGCAAGACTCTGTCTCAAAAAAAGAAATAAAATTGTTCAAGCTATTCTCCTGCCTCAGCCTGCTAAGGAGCTGAGCTAGGATTACAGGCACCTGCCACCACACCCAGCTAATTTTTTTATGTTTATTAGAGACAGGGTTTCACTATGTTGCTTGAACCTGGGAGATGGAGGTTGCAGTGAGAAGAGATTGCATCATTGCGCTCCAGCCTGGGCAATAAGAGTAAAGTTCTGTCTCAAAAAAAAAAAAAAAAAAAATAGGCCGGGCACGGTGGCTCAAGCCTGTAATCCCAGCACTTTGGGAGGCCGAGGCGGGTGGATCACGAGGTCGAGAGATCGAGACCATCCTGGTCAACATGGTGAAACCCCGTCTCTACTAAAAAAATACAAAAAACTAGCTGGGCGTGGTGGCGCATACCTGTAATCCCAGCTACTTAGGAGACTGAAGTAGGAGAATTGCCTGAGCCCAGGAGGCGGAGGTTGCGGTGAGCCGAGATCGCGCCATTGCACTCCAGCCTGGGTAACAAGAGCGAAACTCCGTCTCAAAAAAAAAAATTAGTTATTAAAACAACTTTATAAATGGCATTTGTCTACTTTATCAACGAGGGAATAGAGAGAGAGTGGATGAAAAACGTGTAAAGTTTTATGCTTGAATCTAGAAGCCACCAATTCTCCCTCTAATCCTCTAGTGACTTACAAGGGAAGTATGGATCTTTATAAACCTCGGGATAACTAAACTTTACTGAAGCTAAAATCTGGGTATTAAAGAAACTGTCAATAATTAGAGGAATGTTTAATGATACTTCAAAGCATAAAGGATACTAACTATCCTTCAGAAATGGGAGCGATCCAGAAATCTTCACACACTAGATTATGACCATGATCAGAAAAATCTCAAAGCAGATACACAATATAAGGAAGAGATAATGCCTTGTTAGACTTGGAGAAGGGATAGTCACTTGACGTTGATCAGAAGGAGGTTGGGCAACTTTTACACGTTGGAATATATAACTAAGATTATAAAGGGAGCCTAGGTGATATACTTGGGCTTCTTTTCAAGTTTATTTTCCCCATTTTAACTCAGATACATCCAGCAGCCATGGCTTAAAAGCATATGATCAAAGATTAGAAAACATAACTTACAAAAATGGAGGTGATCCCTCATGTTGTCAGGCAGTATCAAAACAAACAAAGAAAAACAAAGGTGGTGATGGTCAGAAAAAGGACATAAAAAAGACCAAGATACGTGTATGTCTCAGATATGCTGCACTAACTAGTCTTGTTTTTAATGAGTCTGTGTTTATTAAAAAAAAAAAAAATCGACGAGGTAAGGGTGAAGTCTTTTTTGTCTTTTAGCAGTTTTTTCTTTTGGGCTAAGTCCATGATAAAAAAACTACCATGCAAACAGCAAATAATTCTTTCGAAACTGGCCCCCGCTTCATTCCTCTTTAACCCAACAGATCTTGCCGTTTTCTCCAAGCTGCACAGTTCCACTGGCCACCAGCTGGAGGGCTGCTGGGAATATTTTGTGTTCTGCTAACTTTACTCTTTCAGAAAGAGTTGTGACAGTGTCACCCCTCTTCACGGGAACAGCTTCTTGCAAAATAATTTGTCCAGCATCTACATCTTCCTGGAAAAGTAAGCAAAAGTTTTAAACATTACCTTCTAACCAGTGTAATTGACATCTGAACACTAATATTAGATTGGTAGAAAAAGACATACTCACAGCTACAAAGTGTACAGTGCACCCAGTAACTGTGACTCCGGTTTCCAGGGCTTGCTCATGGGCATTTGAACCCTTAAAAGAAGGGAGCAAGGATGGGTGGATATTGAGCATTTTTCCTAAAAGTGAAAAGGGCATAGTGGTCAGAATTTAAAAATCCTGGGTATTCTATTGAAGGAATATATTTTCCTATCTAGATCAGAAGTCAAACAGGAGTTGGATTTCTGGGCTGGGTGTTTCCTTTGCCAAACACAGAAATGAGGTAAAAGTAAGTTCTCATCTAAGAAGGCCCCGAGAGCAGCAAGCACCTGCCCTGCACAGCGAAGTACACACTGGGGTGCTCTGAATAGGTACCCATGGTGACAGGAAAGTGGGGAGTTTAAGCTGAATACCAGCTTGTTGCTGGCACATACTATTAAAAAGAAGTAAGAGGTTCTTACATAGTGTTTATGTGCTTGACTTCTTTTTTTTTTTTTTTTGAGACGGAGTTTCGCTCTTGTTACCCAGGCTGGAGTGCAATGGCACGATCTCGGCTCACTGCAACCTCCGCCTCCTGGGTTCAAGCAATTCTCCTGCCTCAGCCTCCTGAGTAGCTGGGATTACAGGCACGTGCCACCATGCTCAGCTGATTTTTTGTATTTTTAGTAGAGACGGGGTTTCACCATGATGACCAGGATGGTCTCAAACTCTCGACCTCGTGATCCACCCGCCTCGGCTTCCCAAAGTGCTGGGATTACAGGCTTGAGCCACTGTGCCCGGCCATGTGCTTGACTTCTAACCACAAAGTGACCTGTCCACCAGACAGATGCTAGATTAGTTCTGTATGGCTTATGTCACCAAAGGCATTGTATATTTTATATTACACTGCAACTGCTCTAACTACATTTACCTAAGAATACATAAACTCTTCGGAGGGAAAATATATTTATTGACCAACTGTGTGGAAACACACACAAATAGGATGCAGTCAAGGCTTTTGGGGAGGGGGCAGTAACGTAAGTATGTGTTTTCTGGCAATAATCTCTTCTTTGCCAACTTCTGGCAATGGTCTTTGCTTCCCAAGAGAGGATGGACTCTTCAGTTTGGGATATACAGAATCACTCTCTTTTGCTTCTAAACAAGGAAAGTCTTCTGAATATTTATTCAGAAGATGAAATATTATCTTTACAGCAATGTGAAATAAAACTAAGCTACATTAGAAAAAGTGATTAATTACAGCAAGCCAAAAAAAAAAATGGATACAGAACAGGTTAATAAATCATCATTGGGTCATTCTCTACAGTAAAACAAAGGATATTAAATTGTGACCTGTGTTAAAGTATTAACAAAATATCACAGTCAATAGTTCACTACTGGGATTGTTTGGCATGTTAACTGTTCTGGATACCATTTGCAACTGATTTCTCAATGTGATGTCAAATAATTTTTGCTTACCATTCCACTTTCTGACAAAGGGGCCAGAAAGAATTCTCATGAATCCTGCAAGACAGACTATGTCTATGGAGAACTCTTCAAGGACTAGGTCAATTGCGTTGTCAAATTCTACACGATTTTTATACAGTTTATGATTAATTACCTGTAATACAAAAAGATAAGCACAGCTTTTTCAATTAATTAACAAAAATAGTTTAACATACTTCACTTCCTTGTAAAGATATACCTGATAGATTATTAAGAGAGGGACAGGATGAAGGAGAAGGCAACCCCAGCACCCACCCAAAATGCCTAAGTGCAAAGAACAAGTGCCCCACAGACCTGGGTCCTGTGAGGGCAGATTACGAGCTTAAATACGGCCCACAGGAAAGATACTTTCTCAAGTAACTTACTCTGGTGGGAATACCAGCTCTTTCTGCTTTATCTAACCCAGCCACTGCGGCTTTGTTGGAGATAACAACATCAATTTGTGCAGAGCTATTTGGTTCCCGAGTACTGTCTATGAGTGCTTGCAGGTTCGATCCTAAGAAGGGAGAAAAACACCAGTGAGCTCACACTTTTTCTTTTCTTTTTTTTTTCTTTTCTTTTTTGGGGGACACAGTCTCTATCGTCTAGGCTGGGAGTGCAGTGGCATGATCTTGGCTTACTGCAACCTCCGCCTCCTGGGTTCGATTCTCCTGCCTCAGCCTACCAAGTAGCTGGGATTACAGGAGCTCACCAACATGCCTGGCTAATTTTTGTAATTTTTTTTTTTTTTTTTTTTTAAGATGGGGTTTCAACATGTTGGTCAGGCTGGTCTTGAAATCCCGACCTCAGGTGATCCACCTGTCTTGGCCTCCAAAGTGCTTGGATTACAGGCGTGAGCCACACGGCAAACTTGGATTACAGGCGTGAGCCACCACGCCCGCCCTAATTTTTGTATTTTTAGTAGAGATGGGGCTTTCAACATGTTGGCCAGGCTGGTCTCGAACTTCTGACCTCAGGTGATCTGCCTGCCTCGGCCTTCCAAAGTGCTGGGATTGGAGGCGTGAACCACTGCACCCAGCCTCACACTTCTTATAAAAAGGTACGCGCTTACTCTGGTCGTTGGGACTCACTTCCTCTCCACGGGCCCCGCCCAGGCGGCTGCCATGACCTGCCTGGGCGCGGGGAATAGAAAGCCGGAAGGAGCAAGACGAGTTCAGTTTGCCGTGGGGCTGTTTGGAAAAACCCAGGAGAAGCCACCCAAAGAACTGGTCAGTAAGTGGTCACTGCAGATAAGAAAGGAAATGAGAGTTGTTGACAGGCAAGTAAGGGATATCCAAAAAGAAGAAAAAGTGAAACGATCTGTGAAAGATGCAGCCAAGAGCAGCCAGAAGGATGTCTGTATAGTTCTGGCCAAGGAGATGATCAGGTCAAGGAAGGCCGTGAGCAAGCTGTATGCATCCGAAGCGCACATGAACTTGGTGCTCATGGGGATGAAGAACCAGCTCACAGTCTTGTGAGTGGCTGGTTCCCTGCAGAAGAGCACAAAAGTGATGAAGGCGATGCAAAGTCTTGTGAAGATTCCAGAAATTCAGGTCACCAGGAGGGAACTGTCCAAAGAAATGATGAAGGCTGGGATCATAGAGGAGATGTTAGAGGATACTTTTTTTTTTTTTTTCTTTTTTTGAGACGGAGTTTCACTCTTGTTGCCCAGGCTGGAGTGCAATGGCGCGATCTCGGCTCACCGAAACCTCCGCCTCTTGGGTTCAGGCAATTCTCCTGCCTCAGCCTCCTGAGTAGCTGGGATTACAGGCACGTGCCACCATGCCCAGCTAATTTTTTGTATTTTTAGTAGAGATGGGGTTTCACCATGTTGACCAGGATGGTCTCGATCTCTCGACCTTGTGATCCACCCGCCTCGGCCTCCCAGAGTGCTGGGATTACAGGCTTGAGCCACCGCGCCCGGCCTAGAGGATACTTTTGAAAGCATGGATAATCAGGAAGAAATGGAGGAAGAAGCAGAAATGAAAATTGACAAAATTCTATTTGAAATTACAGCAGGGGCCTTGGGCAAAGCACCCAGTAAAGTGACTGATGCCCTTCCAGGGCCAGAACCTTCAGGAGCCATGGCTGCCTCAGAGGATGAGGAGGAGGAAGCAGCTCTGGAGGCCATGGAGTCCGGCTGGCCACACTCCGAAGCTAGGGGCTGCCTACCCACTGGGTGTGCACACACTCCTCTGAAGAGCTGCCATTTTACATGTCTCACCTCTGTTGTGAGGACTACCATTTTGGAGAAGGTTCTGTTTGTCTCTTTTCACTCTCTGCCAGGTTTGGGATCGCAAAGGGATTGTTCATATAAAGGTTGCGTAAATAAATGCATAATTTTTAGGAGAGAAAAAAAAAGGTATGTGCTATTTTGAATAGGAGATGGTCAAGTTTTCTGAATAAATGTCTTGGAAAAAGATTGGTGATATGTGAGGCTTTTAAATTCCCTTTCTCCTTCTTTGCACAGGCAACTAAAGTAAATATGGAAAAAGCTGTATAGCAATGGAAACAATCAACAAAGTGAGGGGACAACCCATAGAATGGGAAAAAATATTTGCAAACTACTCATCTGACAAGGGATTAATAATATAAGGAGTTCAAACAACTCAATAAGGGAAAAAATCTAATACTCCAATTAAAAATGGGCAAAAGATGCCGGGCGTGGTGGCTCAAGCCTGTAATCCCAGCACTTTGGGAGGCTGAGGCGGGTGGATCACGAGGTTGAGAGATCGAGACCATCCTGGTCAACATGGTGAAACCCCGTCTCTACTAAAAATACAAAAAACTAGCTGGGCATGGTGGCGCGTGCCTGTAATCCCAGCTACTCAGGAGGCTGAGGCAGGAGAATTGCCTGAACCCAGGAGGCGGAGGTTGCGGTGAGCCGAGATCGCGCCATTGCACTCCAGCCTGGGTAACAAGAGCGAAACTCCGTCTCAAGAAAAAAAAAAAGGGCAAAAGATCTGAATAGACATTTTCTTTTCTTTTCTTTTTTTTTTTTGGAATAGACATTTCTTAAAAGAAAACACACAAATGGCAAACAGGTATATAAAAAGGTGCTCAACATCACTGATCATCAGAGAAATGCAAACCAAAACTATAATGACATATTGTCTTGCCCCAGTTAAAATGGATTTTATCCAAAAGACAGGCAGTCACATGCTGGCTAGGATATGTAGAAAAGGGAACCCTCACACACTATTGCTAATGTAAATTAGTTCAATTACTATGGAGAACAGTTTGGAGGGTCCTCAAAAACTAAAAAAAAGAGCTACCATATGATCCAGCAATCTCACTGCTAGGTATATACCCAAAAGAAAAACAATCAGAATATCAAAGAGTTATCTGCAGTTTCACATTTATCCTCCATAGCCAAGATTCGGAAGCAACTTAAATGTTTATCCACAGATGAATGGATAAAGAAAATGTGGTACATTATACGATGGAGTACTATTCAGCCATAAAAAAGAACAAGATCCTGTCATTTGCAACAACATGGATGGAACCAGAGGTCACTGTAAGTCAGGCACAGAAAGATAGATCTCACATGTTCTCACTTATTTGTGGAAGCTAAAAATTAAAACAATTGAACTCATGATGATAGTGCAATGACAGTTACCAGAGGCTAGGAAGGGTAGTAGGAGAGAGGAGGAGAGGGGATAGCTAATGGGCACAAAAATATAGTTAGAACAAGCAAAATTTAGTGTTTTACTAGCATAAGAGGGTGACTAGAGTCAACAATAACTTATTAATACATTTTAAAATAACTGAAAGAGGCCGGGTACAGTGGTTCACGCCTGCAATCCCAGCACTTTGGGAGGCCGATGCGGGTGGATCACCCTGAGGTCAGGAGTTCGAGACCAGCCTGGCCAACATGGCAAAACTCCATCCCTACTAAATACAAAAAAATTAGTTGGGCATGGTGGCAGGCACCTTTAATCCCAACTACTTGGGAGGCTGAGGCAGAAGAACTGCTTGAACCTGGGAGGAGTTTGCAGTAAGCCAAGATTGCACCACAGCACTCCAGCCTGGGCAAAAGAGTGAGACTTTGTGTCAAAAAAGTAGAAAGACTAAGAATGCTGAAAAGGCAAAGACAAGCTTCATGATTCTCCCCAGCCCCCAGACTCTGCCAAGAGTACCCTTACAATCTGAAAGAGTGCAGGGAGGAAAGAAGGGGCATTCAACAGCTCTACAGTGAAGAAGCAGCCACATCTCACCTGTTCCGGATATTAAGACAGCCACTCTGGCCTTTTTTTGTTCAACAGAGAAATGATTTTTCGGGAAACCATTCTTCAACACTGACCCATTTATTTGCATGCTTTCAATCAGATTCTTGACTTTCACACAGGGGGAACCTTCATTTCAAGCAAATCCATAAATAACAATTGTGAATTAACAGGAATAATGGAAAGAAAAATATTTTATGAAAAGGGTATATTTTATTCTGAACATAAGATAATGCAAGGACTAAAATGAACAACACGTTTGTAGCACTTAACACTAGTCATTCATAAAAACTTCCAAAAGGTGAACATATGTAATTACTTCAACTAAGAGCTGCAGATTACTATCTTGAAGCACACAGTGGATCTATTATTGCCTGCCAGTATTCTGCCCATACTCCCCAAGTCTTCCCAGTGAAACCACTCACAGTAGTGCCATGACCTCCTGGTCTCGTGGGTAAGCATGTGACCCAGCAAAGCTATTTAAAGAATTGATATGGGATGTTAAGAAAGAGAAGAGTGTCTCTTTCTTATTGTAACGTGAGCTGAAGGATGCAATCTTTCTGACCCACTTGAAAATGAATCCTTCACAATAGAGGAAAGAAAGGCAGACACCGGTAAAGTCAACAAGGTCTGATTTTTTTGTAATTTTTATTTATTTATTTTGAGACGGAGTTTCCGCTCTTGTTACCCAGGCTGGAGTGCAATGGCGCGATCTCGGCTCACCGCAACCTCCGCCACCCAGGTTCAGGCAATTCTCCTGCCTCAGCCTCCTGAGTAGCTGGATTACAGGCACGTGCCACCATGCCCAGCTAATTTTTTGTATTTTTTTTTTTTGAGACGGAGTTTCGTGTTTTTTTTTTTTTTGTTACCCAGGCTGGAGTGCAATGGCGCGATCTCGGCTCACCGCAACCTCCGCCACCCAGGTTCAGGCAATTCTCCTGCCTCAGCCTCCTGAGTAGCTGGATTACAGGCACGCCCCACCATGCCCAGCTAATTTTTTGTATTTTTTTTTAGTAGAGACGGGGTTTCACCATGTTGACCAGGTTGGTCTTGATCTCTTGACCTTGTGATCCGCCCGCCTCAGCCTCCCAAAGTGCTGGGATTACAGGCTTGAGCCACCGTGCCCGGCGTTTTTTGTATTTTTTAGTAGAGACGGGATTTCACCATGTTGACCAGGATGGTCTCAATCTCTTGACCTCGTGATCCACCCGCCTCGGTCTCCCAAAGTGCTGGGATTACAGGCGTGAGCCACCGTGCCCAGCCTGATTTTTTTTTTCTATTTTTTATTTTTGTGACTCTTCTATGGATCATTTCAATTTTAGTATATATGCTGCCGAAGCAAGCATGTGACATCTTTGTTAGCGAATCTGAGTGGATTTTCTGCCCCTCTGCCAAGTTCTAGCACTTCTAGCAGAGTCCTGACTGATACAGCACTTGTCAGGGTGCTCGCTTGCTATTCCTTGAATCGAGATGAGTGACACAGCAAAGCCACAAGGTCCTGTATGCAGGGAGATTACTTTGGGAAGTGATCCTGTGGGGTGTGGCTGTGTATGCGTGAATTCTCCAAGTTCTGAGGCAGAAATGAAGAGATATGTGGTATCCCTGGGGTGGGTGCTGTCATGTTACATCTGTGTAAAGATTATTGCCATAGCTATGGCTCCACTAAAAGGTGGGCAGAAAGCTTGTGAGGCAAGGCTGAGGTATAGCTAAAATTATATGTCTACAAATGAATAAAGAGCAAGTACCTTCAGCTCGTGCAACTACGCTGCCAATCACCCAGGCTTCTTCCTTTTGCTGCTGGATATCCCTCAGAATCTGCTCTGTCTGCTCCTTTGATACCACGATGGCAGCGCCAATCCCACAGTTAAATGTTCTGGCCATCTCTTCCTCGGAGAGGTGTCCTTCCTGCTGTAACCAAGAGAAGACCCTGGGGATCCTCCAGGTCTGAGCATCTGAAAACAGACATGAATTGTTTGATTATCTCACCACCTCACACAAAGTACAAAAACGTGCACATATTCAAAGACTGGAAACTATAATCAGGCTCTGCTATTTTACGTAGGGCAAAACTAGAAACCACCCCTGAGAACTTTTTATTTGAAATTCATTTGTGCCTTAGATATTAAGAACATTTTTTTGTTGACATACTTGGCCAGTACTCACAATTGAGTGAGGTTTTGTGCTACATTAACTAACTAGACTTAGACATTCCTTAACGGATTAGATGAGCTAGTAGCTGAGTTTCAGCAAAGGCCAGTATACTATCCTTCTTTTTTTTTTTTGAGACAGTCTCATACTATTGCCCAGGCTGGAGTGCAGTGGCCAGATATCGGCTCACTACAGCTTCCACCCCCCGGGTTCAAGTGATTCTCCTGCCTTAGCCTCCTGAGTAGCTGGGACTATGGGCATAGTCCCAGCTGGATTACCATGCCTAGCTAATTTTTGTGTTTTACCGTGTTGGTAAAGAGATGGTGTTTTACCATGTTGGCCAGGCTGGTCTCAAACTCCTGACCTCAGGTGATCCGCCTGCCTTGGCCCCCAAAAGTGCTGGGATTAGAGGCATAAGCCATCGCACCCAGCCGCCATGTATACCATCCTTTTGTGAATGTTTGGCTGGGTCTTCCTAATGACCAAAATGCATCCAAAGTACAATGCAAAACTAGATAGCTTACCTGCATGTTTAGAGAAAATGCATACATTATTCAAGAAAAGGTATGCTAATGGAAGGTAGATCAACACCCTGTCCCTCACATTCATTTTAAAATTTAGACTTCTTAGGTCTGCTATAAGAATTTTTGGCCAGGCATGGTGGCTAATGCCTGTAATCCCAGCACTTTGGGTGGCCAAGGCAGGCAGATCACAAGGTCAGGAGTTTGAGACCAGCTTGACTAACATGGTGAAACCCTGTCTACTGAAAATACAAAAATTAGGTGGGCATGGTAGTGCATGCCTGTAATCTCAGCTACTAAGGAGCCTGAGGCAGGAGAATCGCTTAAACCTGGGAGATGGAAGTTGCAGTGAGTCAAGATCACGCCACTGTATTCCAGCCTGGGTGGCTGAGCAAGACTCTGTCTAAAAAAAAAAAAAACCAAAACAAAAAAAAACATAAAGAATACATTCTCTTGGCTGGGTGTGGTGGCTCATACTTGTAATTCCAGCACTTTGGGAGGCCAAGGCAGATGGATCACGAAGTCAAGAGATTGAGACCATCCCGGCCAACATGGTGAAACCCTATCTCTACTGAAAATGCAAAAATTAGCTGGGCATGATGGTGCATGCCTATAGTCCCAGCTACTCGGGAAACTGAGGCAGGAGAATCACTTTAACCAGGAGCGGAGGTTACAGTGAGCCAAGATTGCACCACCGCACTCCAGCCTGGCAACAGAGTGACACTCCATCTTAAAAAAAAAAAATTCTCTCTGGTCACAAATAATACAACAAAAATCTCTTAATAAAAATTTTTAGGTAAAGGCCTATATACACACGACATTCCTGAATAATAAAAGAATTTGGATAGTTCTTTGTAATCTACAATTATGGGATCTGTTCTTTTTTTTTTTAAATACTGAATTAAATTACTTATGATGCTCTAAGGAAAGGGAAGCCAATGTGAATTAAGCTTCTTATTAAATAATAAGGTTTATGATCAGTTACGCCTATTTATTTGGTATATTTACTGGATTTTTTTTTTTTTTGAGACAGGATCTGGCTCTGTTGCCCAGGCTGGAGTGCAGTGGCATGAACATGGCTCACTGTAACCTTGACCTCCCAGGCTCAAGCAATCCTCTCACTTCACCCTCCTGAGTAGCGGGGACTGCAGGCACACAACACCATGCCTGGCTATTTAAATTTTTTTTTTTTTCTGTAGAGACAGGGTCTCACCATGTTGCCCAGCCCAGTCTTGAACTCCTGGGCTCATGTAATTTTTCTGCCTTGGCCTCCCAAAGCGCTGGGATTATAGGCATAACCCATCATGCTCAGTTAATCATCAGTGTTTTAATACTTTGGAGTTGATATATATATATATTTTGAGACAGTCTCTCTTTGTCACTTAGGCTGGAGTGCAATGGTGTGATCTGGGCTCAATGAAACTTCCGCCTCCTGGGTTCAAGTGATTTTCAGCCTATCGAGTAGCTGGGATTACAGGCATGTGCCACCACACTTGGCTATTTTCTTTTTTTCTCTTTTTGTATATTTAGTAGAGACAGGGTTTCGCCATGCTGGCCAGGCTGGTCTCGAACTCCTGACCTCAGGGGGATCCACCCACCTCAGCCTTTCAAAGTGCTAGGATTACAGGGATGAACCACCGTGCCCAGCCTGGAGTTGATAAAATTTTAAAAATGAATCACATGTCTATGACTCTCAGATTCAATTCCATTTATACTAGCCAGGAAATGTCCATTCTTAATAGTTGAGCTCAAAAGATTTAGTAACTACATTGTTCACTGTGCTCTCACTAGTTAAAAGTCAATAGCGGCCAGGCGTGGTGGCTCAAGCCTGTAATCCCAGCACTTTGGGAGGCCGAGGCGGGTGGATCACGAGGTCGAGAGATCGAGACCATCTTGGTTAACATGGTGAAACCCCGTCTCTACTAAAAATACAAAAAACTAGCTGGGCGTGGTGGCGCGTGCCTGTAATCCCAGCTACTCAGGAGGCTGAGGCAGGAGAATTGCCTGAGCCCAGGAGGCGGAGGTTGCGGTGAGCCAAGATCGCGCCATTGCACTCCAGCCTGGGTAACAAGAGCGAAACTCCGTCACAAAAAAAAAAAAAAAAAAAAAAAAGTCAATAGCAACTTAAAACTAAACAGTGGTATATCTATAAAATGGAATACTTGTTATAAACAATGATGCTATTAAGACAATTAGATAATGATGATATATTAAATGGCAGGGCAAGTAGCAGATTACCAAACTATGATCTTGTTTTAGCAAAGTTTTACAAAGTATTTATAGAAAAAACACTGACAGACTAAGAGTCTAGTTTCTACAAATGAACAAGTACTTTGTGAATAATATAAGTTGTAATTTTAATGTGAGAAAGTCCTAACTGGGTGTGGTAGCTCATGCCACTAATCCTAGCACTTTGGGAGGCCGAGATGGGCAGATTGCTTTGAGCCAAGGAATTTGAGATGAGCCTAGGCAACGTGGTGAAGCCCTATTAAAAATACAAAAAATAGCCAAGTGTGGTGGCATGTACCTATGGTCCCAGCTACTCAGGAGGCTGAGGTGGGAGGACTGGGGCTACAGTGAGCAGTGATCGCACCACTGAACTCCAGCCTGGGTGACAGAGCAAGATTCTGTCTCAATAAAAAACAAACAAAAAAAAACCCAAAAGTCCTTACTTAAATATGTTGTCAAAGTATGATTACTAGAAGAAACTTTAAAGGCTGATGCAAGGAATTGTGCAATGGCTTTTATTGGAATACAGATATTTGTGTAACTCAAAATGTAACTGCTTTCAGGAATACAGCCATATCAACTTTCAGTTTCTTTCTTTCTTTTTTTTTTTTTTTTTGAGACACAGTGTCACTCTATTGCCCAGGTTGGAGTGCAGTGGTGCAATCTTGGCTCACTGCAACCTCTGCCTCCTGGGTTCAAGTGATTCTCCTGCCTCAACCTCCAGAGTAGCTGACAGACTAAGAGTCTACATATGCATACTACCATGCCTGGCTCATTTTTTGTATTTTTTTTTTTTTTTTTTTTTTGAGGCGGAGTTTCACTCTTGTTACCCAGGCTGGAGTGCAATGGGGTGATCTTGGCTCACTGCAACTTCCGCCTCCTGGGTTCAAGCAATTCTCCTGCCTCAGCCTCCCGAGTAGCTGGGACTACAGGTGTGCACCACCATGCCCAGCTAATTTTTGTATTTTTAGTAGAGACGGGGTTTCACCATGTTGACCAGGATGGTCTCGATCTCTTGACCTCATGACCCACCTGCCTCGGCCTCCCAAAGTGCTGGGATTACAGGCTTGAGCCACCGCGCCCGGCCTTTCAGTTTCTTTTTCTTTTTTTCTTTTTTTTTTTTTTTTTTATGAGAGGGAGTTTCGCTCTTGTTACCCAGGCTGGAGTGCAATGGCGCGATCTCGGCTCACCGCAACCTCCGCCTCCTGGGTTCAGGCAATTCTCCTGCCTCAGCCTCCTGAGTAGCTGGGATTACAGGCACGCGCCACCATGCCCAGCTAATTTTTTGTATTTTTGGTAGGGACGGGGTTTCACCATGTTGACCAGGATGGTCTCGATCTCTTGACCTCGTGATCCACCCGCCTCGGCCTCCCAAAGTGCTGGGATTACAGGCTTGAGCCACCGCGCCCGGCCCCTTTCAGTTTCTTAATGAGGTGACTACTATGTTGTTTTTAACTAGTGGTGTGCTAGAGCCAGCTTGCACAGGCTGTTAAATAGCCATTTTTAAAGCAGCTATCATGGGAGTATTTACAACACAGGAAGTGGGAAATACACAAATCAGTCCTGCCTCCTTTTACCATTTACCAGCAGGCCACTGTTTTTAATTATTTGAAAAGGATGATGAAGGAACTACTTCTTAAGGTTCTTGTTTATGCTCACCAGAAAGCATGTCTACTTAAGGAATGTCTTTTTTTTTTTTTTTTTTTTTTTTTGAGACGGAGTTTTGCTCTTGTCACCCAGGCTGGAGTGCAATGGCGCGATCTCGGCTCACCGCAACCTCCGCCTCCTGGGTTCAGGCAATTCTCCTGCCTCAGCCTCCTGAGTAGCTGGGATTACAGGCACGTGCCACCATGCCCAGCTAATTTTTATATTTTTAGTAGAGACGGGGTTTCACCATGTTGACCAGGTTGGTCTCGATCTCTCGACCTTGTGATCCACCCGCCTCGGCCTCCCAAAGTGCTGGGATTACAGGCTTGAGCCACCGCGCCCGGCCGAGGAATGTCTTAAACCACTTCTACGAACCCTTCAGCTCCTTACTATGCTCAGTCCATGGACCTGAAAAAGACTCCCATTTAGCCTGGCCTGTCTGTTTTGCTTCCCTTGCCAATTTCCTCACTTGGCACACAACCTACCTCTGACTCTTCAGTTCTCTCTGAGCTTCACACATGCTCTGACTCTCTCGTTAGCTCACCAAATCTACTCACCTCTATCTCTGACTGCTTATCCCCCGTCAATGACCCCAATACCTGCTTAATCCAGCTGGATCAACCCAACCAATCTATTTTTTCCTGTTCTTGCTTCAAGGCTATACATGCTTTTACTCTCGGAGAAAAACTACGTAAGCAGCTTTAGCTTCATTTGTGCCTTCAGTCTTGCTAGCTGTCTCACTTCTATTTACGACCTTGACTGCTTTAACCACTCCTCTCATGCTCCCACCCCCAGGCCTGCTCATCTCACTAATACTTCACAGGGAGGTTATTTCACATCTTCACAGGGAGGTTATTTCATGTGAACTCCCTCAGTTTCTACTCCTTCAAACCAATGCTGAAAGAGTTCATTTCTTTGCCTCTTTATCCTATAAAAACAGGGAGGGAAGACTGTCCCTCACTTTTGCCATATGCATAAAATTATTCTACTTTTTCTTTTACCAGTATGTTTCTTCAAACAGGAATCTTTAACCACCGTCTCCACTACTCTGCCACAACAATCTGGTGGATGGTATCCATGTCCAGCAAGCTGCCTTTTGGCCTAACTCTGAAATACACTGGTCTCTTTCTGGTGCTTATCCTAGATCTCTGTGCTGTACCTGACACTGTGGACCAGTGTCATGTTAAAATCCTATCTTGGGGCTCGGCGGCTCATGCCTGTAATCCCAGCACTTTGGGAGGCCAAGGTGGGCAGATCACTTGAGGTCAAGAGTTTGAGACCAGCCTGGCCAATATGGTGAAACCCTGTCTCTACTAAAAATATAAAAATTAGTCGGGCATGATGGCTGGTGCCTGTAATCCTAGCTACTCAGGAGACTGAGGCAGGAGAATCGCTTGAACATGGCAGGTAGAAGTTGCAGTGAGCTGAGATCATACCATCATACTCCAGCCTGGGCTATGGAGTGAGACTCTGTCTCAAAAAAAGGAAAAAAAAAAAAAACTCCTACCTTGGGTTTGATGATAATACTTTTACATGATTTACCTCTCCTTTGAACTGTTCTTTTCAGTCACTCTGAGAAACAACCTTTTGGTCTCCTTCATTCTCTTGGCTATAACTATTACTATGTGCATACAACCAACCAATTTATCTTCAGCCTGACTTCAACTTCTGCTCATAGTCACTTTGGAATAAACACACGGACGATTTCAAAAACTTCCTACTGCAAACTTACTCTTCCCATGTTACTGATGTTATCACCTACTCACCTGCTTAACTAGAAACCTGAGACTTTTTTTATTTCTAAGCATAAAATGATTCTCTAACGCGCCTCCCTTCTCTATGCCTTGGTGTAGGTCTTTTCATCTTGCATGTGGATTACTTAATAGCTACCATTTCCGTTCCTGGCATGTAGGGCTCCATCTGGATAGAGCTTGAAGTTACCCCCTTGGAGGATCTGCTTAAGAGTACTTCAACTTTATATAAGCCAATTACATGACAATACTTTATGTCCTATAAATACAGATAACGAAGGAAAAGGAGATAGAAAAGGGTCAACCAGTTTTTCCCTCCCCAAACCCCCTATGACTGAGAATTTTCCATGTGTAATCATGTGTGCACTAACTACCCATAGAGTTTTCTCCCACAATGCCTTTTTTTCTTAGCAATTTTCTGAACAGAAGTTTGTCTTAGTGACCTTACCTAAATCTACCCCAAATTTCTCAGGGAGGACTCTGGGGATGTTCTCTAGTAATCCTCCACCAGTAATATGGGCAAAGGCTTTGACATGTCCTGAACGTAAGACAGGTAACAGTGAATGGCTGTAGATTCTGGTTGGCGTGAGAAGTAACTCCCCTGTACATTGGAAAGAGAAGACAAAAAACTTAGCCTATGAATAGAAAACCAAAACATAAAAAGCAACTCTGAAATGGAGAATGACACCAGTTCTACAAAAATGACCAAGAAGCAAACTAAGGTAATTCATTTCCTTTTAGCTCTAAGTAATGAGAGACTAAAACCACTAAATGGTTGCCCAGACATTTCCAAGCAGGACAGTGTAAACATAAGGGAGGTTACCTAAAGTCTGGTCACCACAACCATCAGGTGCTGGAGAGGAGTACTGAAGGGAAGATTTTGCCACAATTTTCCTCACAAGGCTAAATCCATTGCTGTGAAGACCAGATGAAGCTATTCCAACAACAACATCACCCTCAGTGATTATTTCCAGGTGAGGGAGTTTCTGATCTCGCTCCATGGCACCAACGGCAAATCCAGCTAGGTCATACTCTCCAGGGGGATACATGTCAGGCATTTCTGCTGTTTCACCTCCTGGTGGGATAAGACAAGAGCAAAAAATCACAGAGTATTTATAAATCTGTCTAGGAAACAGTGGCACAGGCTACTCTTAACATGAACAGTTAACACGTGACTACATCCTGCAAACATCTAATAAAATGTACTATTAGCTGTCTGACAGAACTTTCCACCAAGCATGATTTCAGGGGAAATAGCTCTCATTTCCACAAAGAATAAGATAAGGTAACACCTCTACCAGTATATATGCAGCCTCCAAACACCACGCCTTTCACAGAATGAATGCTCAGTTGAATATAACATCATTTCTATAGCTTGCTTAGTTTCAAAACTGTTTTCATATATATTTGGTCTTTATAATCAGTCCATTTTTCAGGTGATGGTATAGCCTTAAATAAGTGACTTAACCAGGACTGCCCAACTCCAAATACCCCATTTTAAAAAATATAACATTTTGGCTGGTCCAAAGGTACTGAGTTATCTCAATTGATTGTTCACAGTCAGTTATAGATTGAACTCCTTGTTCTACTCTTTCCCCACTTCTCACTACTGTACTTGCCTAGAAAAAAAAAAAAGTATAACATTTTACTTATATCATGTCAAGATAAAAGGTATAGGCAGACTCCAAATTAGAAGCTGTGTTCTAAATGGTGGTTGAAAGGCAATTTTTGTTTGTTTCAAACTTTATTCCCAGACTTCTTTAGCTTAATTAGCCACAAAGAAAAAATCATGGGCTGGGCATGGTGGCTCACACCGGTAATCCCAACACTTTGGAAGGCCGAGGCAGGTGGATCACATGAGGTCAGGAGTTCGAGATCATCCTGGCCAACATGGCGAAACCCTGTCTCTACTAAAAACACAAAAATTAGCTGGGTGTGCTGGCCTATGCCTGTAATCCCAGCTACCTGGGAGGCTGAGGCAGGAGAAATGCTTGAACTCGGGAGGCAGATCTTGCAGTGAGCTGAGATCATGCCACTATACTCCATCCAGCCTAGGCCACAGAGCAAGACTGTCTCAAAAGAATAAAAAAAAAAAAAAAAAAAAAAAAAAAGAATAAATTGTATATAAGTAAAAACTGAAGAGCTGCAGTGTCCAAGGGGTATGGGTCTTAAAATATTAGAGATCTAGATTTTATCAGATTCATAAACAATTTTAAAAAGCAGTTATTATGTAAAATAGCATCTCCTAGTTACTTCTTCACGTTTTTTTCTTCTTCAGAAGTTAATTCAGTTTGCCTCATTCTTGGAAGCTTCATCAAAACTCTTCACAAGATCTGGAACTTCATCATCATCATCCCCTCCAGTAGCAAGCAGTGCTTTTCCATCCACGGACTGGCAGAGCTTCAGTCAGTCCCCTTAAACTAGTCAGACTGTCTGCACCAAGCTGCTTTAAGGTGCTGGTAGCACTGTCAGCTGCTTTGTCTCAGCACGGCCTGTAATGGTGAAAGTGTTCACTGCCCCAGAGATACCTGAACTTTAGGGTTGTTAAAGTGGATCACTGGTCCTTCATTTGTAAACATACTCACCTCTTCAATTCCAGAGATATTGTTTACCCTTAACTTCCTTAGGAGAACTGAAATTCTTATCATCTGCTGTAGCTGAACCACCTTTCTGTTTATTTTCCATCGACACACACTTGTGCCTGCAATTTGGTTGTTTCTTTCATCTTTTCAGAGTGTAAAAGGGTCATGTTGGTGACTAGGGTTGGTGCTCAAGGAATCTTGGGTAGAACAGCTGAGATTAGGTACACACATGTGGGGATGTAAGATGGCAAGATTTCTGGTTTAAATGGTCATATAAAAGAGGCTGTTTCATTGGGAGGCTGCAATGGGCAGATACTTTGAGCCCAGGAATTCAAGACCAGCCTGGGCAACATGGCAAAACCCCTCTCTACAAAAAGTACAAAAATTAGCTAAGTATGGTGACACATGCCTGTAGTTCCCAACTACTTGGGAGGCTGAGGCAGGAGGATCTCTTGAGCCCCCAGGAAGTCGAGGCTGCAGTGAGCTGTGACTGAACCACTACACTCCAACCTGGGTGACAGAGAGAGACCACGGACCATGTCTTTTTTTTTTTTTTAAATAAAAATAAAAGCAGTTGTTTTGTTCCTTGATCAACCTACAGATTCATTTTGCTCAAACATTTAATGTATAGTTAAACATACTTCTATAAAACTTATGCATATGTTATTATTTATGTCACTTCTGTGGGAAAATTTGGCTTTCGTTAAGATTTGGAAAGCCAGGAATCCATCTGCCTCCATCAAAGGGCCAATAAGGAGGAAATAACTCCTAGACCTGTTTGTTGAGGAGGCTACTGAGACTGATGGGGATGTAAAAGGTGGCCAAAAATTGGGAAGAAAGATAAGGCATGCATGACAGTTTAGGAGTACAGGTCTAGCGGACAAATCGTTGAGTAGGGCTTTGAAGGTAGCACGCTCAAAATTTAATTCAGATAGTTTTATCTGTATTTCATTTGCTGCATCCTGTGATACAGTTTCTCTTGCTAGCTATGTTGGCACCGAACACATTTTTACATAGAGCTAAAAGACAGTAAGAAGAATGACATGTTATTGATTAAAATGGTTGATCATACCAAGGAGAGCACATCCAGCTTTTCCACAGGCTTTAGCAATTCCAGCAATAACAGCTTCAGTTACATTGAGGTCAAGTTTTCCACAGGAAAAGTAATCAAGGAAGAAGAGGGGCTCTGCTCCTTGTGCCAGAATATCATTCACACACATTGCTACCAAATCCTGACCAATGGTATCATGTTTATTGCACAGCTGGGCAATCTATATAAGAACAATATAAACACCCACATTAGGGAATAAGTTCCAAATTGTATTTTATCCATTTGGCTAGCCACTCTTAACACCTAAAAACAAAAGAACACTAAATTCTGACAAGCTACTTGGTCTAAAAGTATCCCCTTTTATCTTCTAAAATACCGTTCCATCAAATATAACCTAAATGATAATTTGTTATTAGAAATGTACAGATATTTTAGCCATTTTACATGATTTGGTAGTTTTTTTTAGTTCATATATGTCAAGAGAAGAAAAATGTATATTTGATAAACAGTAAATTTCCTCTTATCTTTCATAAAAGCCCTTTATTCACAAAGGTGTCTGATTACCTTTAGTTTAGTTCCAACGCCATCTGTTCCAGAGGCCAGAAGGGGATCCTTGAAACCAGCTGCTTTTAAATCAAAAAGACCAGCAAAACCTCCAAGATCAACGTTACAGCCTGTTGGAAAGGAAGTTAATTACTTGCTACATTTTAATAGATTAAACATGTAATTGTTTAAATGTCTACTAGTTTTAAAAAAATCAGTATAGTTAGCAGCCTGTGAAAAGTATTTCTGGAAGAAATAGATGACTGGGTTAGAACAGCTGTTCTCAGAGGCCAGGCGTGGTGGCTCACGCCTGTAATCCTAACACTTTGGGAGGCCAAGGTAGGTGAATCACCTAAGGTCAGGAGTTTAAGACCAGCCTGGCCAACATGGCAAAACCCCATCTCTACTAAAAATACAAAAATTAGCTGGGCATGGCAGCACATGTCTGTAATCCCAGCTACTTGGGAGGCTGGGGAAGGAGAATCACGTGAATCCGGGAGGCAGAGGTTGCAGTGAGCCGAGATCATGTCACTGCACTCCAGCCTGCGTGACAGGAGTGAGACTCCATTTCAAAAAAAACCCCCCAAAAAGTTGTTCTCAGAGATGATATTATCAAATCAACTGGGGAGAATGTAATTATTTAATAGATTAACATGCAACATGTTAATAGGTTAAACATGCATATATATAGGTATATATATGTATATACGCACACACACACACACACACACACACATATATATATATATATATATATATATATACCACTTCTTCATAAGAATGGTTGAAACAAGAGATGTCCTTCCTATGAGAGATTGCACCATGTGCTCCAGAAATGATTAAGACAGTAATTAAATAGTAAAGACCAGCTGGAAGCAGTGGCTCACACCTGTTATCCCAGCATTTGGGAGGCTGAGATGAGCAGATCACCTGAGGTTAGGAGTTTAAGACCAGCATAGCCAACATGGTGAAACCATGTCTCCACAAAAATACAAAAATCAGTCAGGCATGATGGCAGATGCCTGTAATCCCAGCTACTCGGAGGCTGAGGTGGGAGAATCACTTGAAACCAGTTGCAGTGAGTCCAGATGGTGCCATTGCACTCCAGCCTGGGTGACAGAGCAACACTCCACCTCCAAAAAAAAAAAAAAAAAAAAAAAGGCCAAGTGTGGTGGCTCATCCTGTAATCCTAGCACTTTGGGAGGGTGAGGCGGGTGGATCACCTGAGGTCAGGAGTTCGAGACTAGCCTGGCCAACATGGTGAAACACCATCTCTACTAAAACTGCAAAAATTAGCCAGGTGTGGTGGCAATCACCTGTAATCCCAGCTCCTTGGGAGGCTGAGTCAGGAGAATGGCTTGAACCGGGAGGCAGAGGTTGCAGTGAGCCAAGATTAGTATCATAGATGAGAAATGCTTTCCTTAATATTAAAGACAAGAAAACAGAAGACTGGGTTTGGTTTAAGCAGGGCAAAACTTACAGTAACCAAGCATTACTTTGGAAAAATTTCCTCAGTTAAATACAAAACCCAAATCCATTCACAATGTATGTCAAAGTTAATGAATTAGCAAAGTGTAGGATCACGTACCTGATCTGGAAGTAGCTTTTGCTAAAGGCTGAATTTTCTTGACCAGCATATTTCCAGCTACAATGTCTACTCCAGATCCCTTGTAAGTTAAGCCCCTAAAGAATTAAAAGCAAAAACTGAAGTCATCACCCAAACACCAGGGAAAATTATTTTAATCCTAAGACATTATTTAAAGCAAAGATATCCCAAGTGATTTTCACATCCCCTAAAGTGCTTAATTGTTTTTCCCTGATGAGTCATAGTAAATGAAAGTGCTTAAGATTTTTAAAGTCAGTACCTGGGCCCCATCTATACAGATTCTGATTTAACTGGTCCAGGGCAGTCCCTGGGAATGGATATGAGTTTGAACAATTTCCCCAGTTGATTTGATCACATCATCTCTGAGAACCACTGTTCTAACTTAATCATCTACTTCTCCCAGAAGTACTTCTCTCATGCTGCTAAATATACTGATTTTTTTAAAACTTTTTTTTTCATATTATGGTAAAATATACACAACATAAAATTCAGCATCTTAACTATTTTTAAGTGAACAGTTCAATGGTATTGAACACATTCATGCTGTGCACCCAGCACCATCATCCATCTTCATAACCCTTTATCTTGTAAAACTGAAACCCTGTCCCCATTAAATAACTCCCCACAAGGCCGGGCACAGTGGCTCATGCCTATAATCCCAGCACTTTGGGAGGCCGAGATGGGTGGATCATGAGGTCAAGAGATCGAGACCATCCAGGTCAACAAGGTGAAACCCCATCTCTACTAAAAATACAAAAATTAGCTGGGCATGGTGGCGCACACCTAGTCCCAGCTACTTAGGAGGCTGAGACAGAATTGTTGAACCCAGGAGGTGGAGGTTGCGGTGAGCCAAGATTGTGCCATTGCACTCCAGTCTGGGTAAAAAGAGTGAAACTCCGTCTCAATAAATAAGTAACTCCCCACCCCGCACTCCCCCAAGACCCTGGCAACCATCTACGTAAAAGTAGATATACTGGTATTTTGCCACCTTTCTCAGTCCAATTTTGGTATAAACTAGAGAGAAATGCCTAAACCAAGTCAAAAAGGTAAAAATCAGGGTTGAAAACACTGTACACAAGTATCCCTAAATAAACTTGAGTTCTTAATTGCAAGAATATGTAACTATATCTGACCTAATAGCTGAGGACAGTGAGAAACACCATGACAAAAGTGAAAGCAGGTGCATCATTTCTTTCTGCATAGGACCTACAAGTAGGAGCAGTACATTTAGAGATCAAATCTGTGAATGATACTGCAGATTCTAGTCTTGACTTGCAAAAATGAGAACTCTGGCCTGCTAGGATGCAGTGACACATGAAATCTTTTATGAAAAACAAGCTGCTTTGCTTTTATATTTTATATGTGCCTTTTAAGAAAGCATAAAAAGCCGGGTGCGGTGGCTCAAGCCTGGTTGAGGTTGCGGTGAGCCGAGATCGCGCCATTGCACTCCAGCCTGGGTAACAAGAGTGAAACTCCGTCTCAAAAAAAAAAAAAAAAAAAAAAGAAAGCATAAAAAATGAAATTTTTATGGCTCAAGCCTGTAATCCCAGCACTTTGGGAGGCCGAGGTGGGTGGATCACGAGGTCGAGAGATCGAGACCAACCTGGTCAACATGGTGAAACCCCGTCTCTACTAAAAATACAAAAAATTAGCTGGGCATGGTGGCGCATGCCTGTAATCCCAGCTACTCAGGAGGCTGAGGCAGGAGAATTGCCTGAGCCCAGGAGGCGGAGGTTGCGGTGAGCCGAGATCGCATCATTGCACTCCAGCCTGGGTAACAAGAGCGAAACTCCATCTCAAAAAAAAAAAAAAAAAAAAAAAAAAAATTAAAAAACCACCCACCACCACCAAAAAAAAAAAAAGCTGCCAGAATACAATTGGAGTTGAGAGCATTGACAGTTAACTCAAATAAAGCCAGCAGCTCAGGGTCACTCTCAGATAAGAAACAAAGACTGATGTAAAGATCTGGGAGCAACTAACACTGTGGCATCTCAATTTCTTCATCTTTGTAACTTAAATAATTCAGACTAGAATTAAGACTGCAGTCCTCTGAAATAGGTCATTTCAGTGGAATCTAGTCACTTTTAAATGAAAAATTTTTAGCATGGCATTTTTATGTTCTTGATTCTTCAAAAATCTGTATTTAAACTTTAAAAAAATTGCCTCTTGGTAGCAGTATAGCTTGAATTAAGTTGGTAAAAAATTTTCATTTTGTCTTAAAATACATTCATTATCTGTAAATGAACTTCAAGAACAATTGTAAATGTGATATATTCTTAAGAAATCAGGTCAGGCATGGTGGCTCTCGCCTATAATCCCAACACTTTGGGAGGCTAAGTGGGCGGATCACCTGAGGCCAGCAGTTTGAGACCAGCCTGGCCAACATGGTGAAACCCCATCTCTACTACAAAAATTAGCTGGGTGTGGTGGCAGGCACCTGTAATCCCAGCTACTCGGGAGGCTGAGGCAGGAGAATCGATTGAACCCAGGAGGCGGAGGTTGCAATAAGCCAAGATTGTTCCACTGCACTCTAGCCTGGGCAACAAAAGCAAAACTCTGTCTCCAAAAAAAAAAAAAAAAAAAAAAAAAATCAAAACACACACATCTCCAACGAATATTTTATTGATTTTACAAATGAATAGTTTGTACATACCAACAATGAATCAGTAAGAGGTCAAAAAATATTTTAGTAATAGATATAAACACAGTGATAAAATGAGACTGTCAAATTTTACAGTATAACCAAATCAAATTACAAAGTTAGGTGATCACTATTTTCATCTTAAGTTCTTTGATAAAACCAGGAACTATGTTTCGAATACAACACTAACTATGTGAATAAAAATCAGTATCAGGCCAAGTGCAGTGGCTCGTGCCTATAATTTGGGAGGCCACAGCAGAAGGATCACTTGAGCCCAGGAATTTGAGACTAGCCTGGGCAACATGGTGAAGTCCCATCACTACAAAAAAATACAAAGAAATTAGCCAGGTGTGGTGGCCTGGGCCTGTAGTCCCAGCTACTTGGAAGGCTGAGGCACGAGAACTGCGCTCCAGCTTGGGTGACAGAGTGAGACCCTGTCTCAAAAAATTAAAAAAACAAAATAAAAAAATACAAAATCAATGAAAATCAATACTACTGTGATTTTGCTCAACTTTTCAAACTTAAGCTATTATGAAGTTTTTCCCATTTTATTTGAATATTGCTATAACCAGTTTTGATTCAAACAAAATACAAACCAAGATCGTATCAGTCCCATAGGCAGAAAAGAATACTGAATGGCTTATGATAGGGTTAATGAAATGTTCTATATAGCCATTTAGGCCAGTTTCTGAAATGGCACTAAGCTAACTTGCTAAGAGTTTTACCTGGGCTGCTGGAGGAAAGCTATGGCACGAAAGCCGATGTCTTTCCTATAAATTGCTCCCTCAAACTTTATAGCAGCTAGTCCTTTCTTGGCTTCCTCGAGGGCTGATACGAGATTTTCCCGGATGGCTGTGACTGCAAGAACTCTACCCCCCTGAGTTACTACTTTGCCATTTTTGAGGGCAGTGCCTGCATGGAACACCTCTAGTCCTTGAGCTTGAGCCTCAGGAAATCCTGGAAGAGAGCATATTTCACATATGATTTGAAATAACAACAGTATTTCACATTGTGAAGTGATTTACAATTTCTACAACTTTGTTGTTTTTTTTTAAACTTGGCTAGGTGTGGTGGCTCATGCCCATAATCCCAGCATTCTGGGAGGCTGGGGTGAGGAAGATTGCTTGAGTCCATGAGTTCAAGATCAGCCTGGGCAACAGAGCAAGACCTTGCCTCTATATCAATCAATCAATCAATCAATCAATAATAAAACAGCCAAGTGCAGTGGCACACACCGGCTGAGGTGGGAGGATCACTTGAATTTGGGAGTTCAAGGCTTCAGTGAGGTTTGATTGCGCCACTGTTCCAGCCCCAGCAGCAGAGTGAGACCCTGTCTCAAAATAAATACTTAAAAATTAAAAATAAAAGATCTTTATCTCCTTTAAAAGAACCTTCCCTATCAGACAGGTCTATTTTTTTTTTTTTTTTTTGAGACAGTCTTGCTTTGTCGCCAGGCTGGAGTGCAGTGGCTCGATTTCAACTCACTGTAACCTCTGCCTCCTGGGTTAAAGCGATTCTTCTGCCTCAGCCTCCAGAGTAGTTGGGACTACAGGCACAGGCCACCACATCCAGCTAATTTTTGTAGTAGAGATGGGGTTTCACCATGTTGGCCAGGATGGTCTCAATCTCTTGACCTCATGATCCGCCGCCCTCAGCCTTCCAAAGTGTTGGGATAAAGGTGTGAGCCACCATGCCTGGCCCATACAGGTCTTAGTGCAATATAAATAGTAAATAAACCTGTCTCCTAAGAACTGTCTGCTATTTTAGGATGACAGCATGAATTCTTGTGTTATTGTAAATCTCATTATACAAGCAATTGTTTAATGAGGAAAGAAAAATCCTGTATTTGAGCACATCAATCTTTTCCTTAAAAGTAAGGTAACTTCCTTTTTTTTTGAGATGGAGTCTTGCCCTGTCACCCAGGCTTGAGTGTGCAGTGGTGTGATCTCGCTCTCTGCAACCTCTGCCTCCTGGGTTTAAGCAATCCTCCCAGCTCAGCCTCCCGAGGAGCTAGTATTATAGGTGCACCACCACGCCTGGCTAAATTTTTTGGTATTTTTAGTAGAGACGGGGTTTCACTATGTTGGCCAGGCTGGTCTTGAACTCCTGACCTCAAGTGATCTGCCCGCCTTGGCCTCCCAAAGTGTTAGGATTACAGGCGTGAGCCACCACGAGGGCCTGTAAAGGAACTTCTTTTTATCACAGTTACTCAATTAAAGCTGCTTCTTTCTTTTTTATTTTTAAAATTTTTTTGCCATAAACCATGAGACTTAAGTTTCTTTCTTTTCAATATAACCAGTATGGTCAGTACAATGCAAAACATAAGTAATCTTTTCACTAACATAACACTTGTACGATTTTAAGAGAAATTTGGCTTAAATTAAGTTTTGGGGTCAGCCCCAAATTCCTGCTACTTCCTTGTAGTCTGAGATACAGCCATATATACACACACACACACATATATATTTATAAATATATATGTATAAATACATATAAGTATATAATATATAACACGTATTACATATATATATATTTTTAGAGATGGGGTTTTACCATGTTGGCTAGGCTGGTCTCAAACTTCTGACCTCAGGTGATTTGCCCACCTTGGACTCCCAAAGTGCTGGGATTACAGGCGTGAGCCACCACACCCAGCCTCAGATAAAGCTTTATACTTAAAACATTATTAGATTATATTTTCTAAATTTTAAAGTGACGAAGGGGACAGTTTACATAAAGATAACACTTTTTTTGGCCGGGCGCAGTGGCTCATGCCTGTAATCCCAGCACTTTGGGAGGCTGAGACGGGTGGATCATGAGGTCAAGAGATCGAGACCATCCTGGTCAACACGGTAAAACCCCGTCTCTACTAAAAATACAAAAAAAATTAGCTGGGCATGGTGGCGCGTGCCTGTAATCCCAGCTACTCAGGAGGCTGAGGCAGGAGAATTGCCTGAACCCGGGAGGAGGAGGTTGCGGTGAGCCGAGATTGTGCCATTGCACTCCAGCCTGGGTAGCAAGAGCAAAACTCTGTCTCAAAAAAAAAAAAAAGATAACACTTTTTCTTAATTTTTAGAAAACTATTTTATTTCTTCTGGTGGTCTTTTTTTCCCATCTCCATTTCTCTTCTCAGAGTCTTATTTGGTAGTTTGTTAATACACATCTTCCCTGAGTGTTTTTATAACACAAAGCCATTTAGTGATTCTGAATGGCTACTTTGCCTGCCAGTAATGGTAAAACCCAATATTGCTCTGGTAGAACTATTATACTTGTTACTTAAATCTTAGGGAAATTTCACCAATGCAAGGGATCTTAGTGCTGGCCCATTTCCTTCTTTGTCCATATCCAAAAGCAACCAATTCCTAACTGTCTATCTGCCATACATGGGATTCACAAGGCAATGGACTCTGTGTCTGGGTAAGACAGTTGATGGGGTTTTTGAATGAAATACACTACTGGAGGCCGGGTGCGGCAGCTCATGCCTGTGATCCCAGTACTTTGGGAGGTTGACGTGGGCGGATCACTTGAGACCAGGAGTTCAAGACCACCCTGGCCAAGAGGATGAAATCCTGTCTCTATTAAAAATACAAAAATTAGCTGGGCCTGGTGGTACACACCTATAATCCCAGTTACTCAGAGGCTGAGCCAGAAGAATTGCTTGAACCCAGGAGGCATAGGTTACAGTGATCTGAGATCGCACCACTCCATTCCAGCCTGGGTGACAGAAATAGACTCTATCTTAAAAAACAAACAAACAAAAAACCCAAATACACTATTGGAGCACTGGGAGTAGCCAAACTACAGCCTGCTCAGGGTCACAGAGGTCTGCCTTTGCACTTATGGCAATGGAACTTAGATTTAAGATCATTTAACTAGATGTTTCACCTACTGAGAAGACAGAGAAAAAAAAATAGAAGGATACACTTTTGAAACTGTTTGAATTTTACCATCCAAGTGAGTATGGGGGTGCACTGTAAACTGGGGGTCAAGCCACACAGGGCCATACGCATTGCGATAATTCAGACTTCACCTCTATGATGTATCTTATTGATATACTTTATACTAATGTTCCTCTGATTCTCACAGAATCTCATTATTACCCAGGCTCTAGGCAGATGGAAGCGGAAGGCTGCACTGGGTGACACTCTGGAGATGTGGTTCTGCCACTTATGTCTTCCTTGCACAGGAAGGGAAATCAACAGTTCTTTGAATACAGTATTTGTGGATATTTGAACACGCATATCCAATAAGCAACCCGGTTATGTTAAGACCCTCTGAAAGGTTTCTGATGGCTTCACATTCTTATCAAGAGCAAGCTTTAGTGTGGGAGGGAGGTCTGCTGTGGCACTGCCACTAGTCACCTTGTACTCCAACCTCCTGATCCCTGACATTCACCTGTTATCTCTACACCCTTGGTGTAGTCTCCAGGATAACCTTTACTTGCCATGACGACAGTTAGGGCAGTGTGGTTTTCTAGCCAAACAGGCAGAGATGTGCAGAGCAGGCCATCTAAGGTAGACTGAATCACTTCATAAAGATCACTTTTAAGAAGTGGGAGGATTACCTGGAAAAACATAATCCACATGGCAGGTGAGATAAATTTTAGTTTTCCTTAAACATTTTATTCACTGGGGTACTAGCAGAACTTGCATGAATTTCCCAAAGTAATTATTTCCAGGCTGATAAATTCCAAGATTAAAATAACATATATCTTCTACAAAGTAATACTTTCATATTTTTACCCACTTGGCACTCTGGATCACCAAAACGGCAATTAAACTCTAGAACTTTTGGGCCATCCTTGGTCAGCATTATTCCAGCATAGAGAATACCTTCATTTAAAAAGAAAAGCAAAAAAAAAGAGAGAGAAAGGAAATCTGTAATGAAGACACTGTATTACAAATATAAAATCTATCACATAAACTTCTAATAATCAAAGATTTGGAAAAAGCATAAATGTTAAAAAAGTGGTGAAAAAAGAGGATGGAAAACAAGTTTTATCGAAAGTGGAAAGTGACTCTACAAGTAATGTCAGTAGCGATGTGGGTGTGCCTACCTGTATATGGAGTACCCTCTTGCTGCATGCCATCTACTGTCCTCTGAAGAATAGTATTTTTAATTTTTAGTAGCAGATCATTAGAAACCTAGAGAATGTGCAAAAACACTTGAATGTAAGCAGTACTTTAGGACGTCTAAGTAGTATTACAGGGGACAATGGAAGGAGATGAGGAGGATAACTCACGTTTTTTTTACTATCTGAAACAGGCTGAGCACTTTGAATTAAAAGAATTTAAAGTTTCTGAATCCTCACAATGACACTATCAAGCAGGTATTTTAGCATTATGATTTTCAAAAATATGCATAGGAAGGGAAATATGCACACCCTTAAAAGAACTAGCCAAAAATAATTTCCCGAAACATAATAATAAAAATGAAAGAAGTTCTCTCGTACCCTAAGGCTTCTTTGTATTCTTCTACTTACAGTATATGCTACATATTTCATAAGCCTATATATGTAAGAATCTGGGCTTATGAATTTAATTGTAAAAATCAGAACCAGAAATAGGTCTTAGAATCCACTGTTATCAAATGGTAGTTTTTTTGTTTTTTGTTTTTTTAAATAGAGACAGGGTTTCACCATCTTGGCCAGGCTGGTCTTGAACTCCTGATCTCATGATCCACCTGTCTTGGCCTCCCAAAGTGCCAGGATTATAGGCATGAGCCACCGTGCCCGGCCCGCCCCCCCACCTTTTTTTTTTTTTTTTGAGACGGAGTTTCGCTCTTGCTACCCAGGCTGGAGTGCAATGGCGCGCTCTCGGCTCACCGCAACCTCCGCCTCCTGGGTTCAAGCAATTCTCCTGCCTCAGCCTCCTGAGTAGCTGGGATTACAGGCATGCGCCACCATGCCCAGCTAATTTTTTGTATTTTTAGTAGAGACGGGGTTTCACCGTGTTGACCAGGATGGTCTCGATCTCCTGACCTCGTGATCCACCCGCCTTAGCCTCCCAAAGTGCTGGGATTACAGACTTGAGCCACCGCGCCCGGCTTTTTTTTTTTTTTTTTAAATTAAGACAGGGTTTCACCATGTTGGTCAGGCTGGTCTTGAACCCCCAATCTCAGGTAATCCACCTGCCTTGGCCTCAAAAGTGCTTGGATTACAGGCGTGAGCCACCATGCCTAGCCCAAATGGTAGTTTTAATACAAGTGTTGGGATTACAGGTATGAACCTCTGTGCCTGGCCTATACTTATAAAATCTTTTAAAAAATGAAATTTGGTTTATTTTTAAGATTTTAAAATAAATAAAAGATCAAAAATATATAAAGGGGGACTCTATTAGCACAATTATGACTATCATCAATCAAAAGAATAGGTGAGTTTTTGGACTGTTAACCTACTTATAATACATGCCAACGATGCAGATTCCTTATAAAAATTGTGTAGGGATTGTTTGGAAATGTGCTGTCTATTACAAAGTAGAAAGATCAGAACAAATTCTGATCTGACTTGGTTCTCAATTCATATCACACATACACAGATATACACACACACACAACACTTTTGTGGTGAACCATGGAGTTAGCCAAAGATCAATCTAAGACCACAATAGGCTCATATGTGTTAAAAATTGGGTATAGAGAAGAGGGAATAGGAGGATCTATTCAATCCATACTATACTTTAGATTGGCTTATTTTAGTTCTTCAAAGGCTTTTAGGAAAAGTTAGTTTTAAAGACCAGAAAAGACACTTTTAATTGCTGATTAGGAACATAATTTATAGCAACAAACAGAAAACAAAACAAAATAGAAAAGTATCATCTAAGAGCTCTCTGAGAAAACCAAAAAACTACTACAAGCCATGAGCAGAGTCTTTGGGAAGTACCTGAGGTGCCGGACAATATGCTCCCATTCCCCCTGTGTTAGGGCCGCCATCTCCCTCCAGTAATCGCTTATGGTCCTGTGCTGGGGGCATGGGGGCCACAGTCTTGCCATCAGTGAAACATAGACACTATAAAGAAAACAAAATAGTCCATTTACGTTAAATGCCAAAAAGTAAAAAAATAATTTAGTAAGGCAAACTCTATGTCCCTTAATTCTTCTTTGAGGAAAAGTTTGCTTTTTTTTTTTTTTTTAAAGAGAAAAATGAACTAAATCAATAATATTAAGCTACATACATCAAGAATCATAACATAATCAACTTCTGAAGGATTTGTGATTTTTGAGATAAGTTAGGGAAAAACCAAGCAACTCTCAAAGGAAAAGACTTCAACCTTTCCTCCGCTTTAAGCTTCTAGGCATTAAAACTTGATTTAGGCTGGGTGCGGTGGCTCATGCCTGTAATCCCAGCACTTTGGAAGGTCAAGGCAGGTAGATCACAAGATCAGTTCAAGACCAGCCTGGCCAACATAGTGAAACCCCATCTCTACCAAATATACAAAAATTAGCTGGGCGAGGTGGCAGACGCCTGTAATCCCAGCTACCTGGGAAGCTGAGGCAGGAGAACTGCTTGAAGCCAGGAGTTGGAGGTTGTAGTGAGCCGAGATAGCACCACTGTATTCCAGCCAGACTCTGTCTCAAAACAAACAAAAACAAAAACAAAAAGCCAAACTGGATTTAAGGTGACTTTACTTCACTATTTATTAAGCAATAAACTTTCTGTGAAAGAAAAAGCATGAATGTTTGAATTAATCCAGAACCTCAATAGAGTGTGATGTAAGTTCAAGTGCCCCCACTAATACACTAGGAATGACTAACAGAGGATCATTTTTTTTTTCATTTGTATCCCAATAATAAAAGTATACAAATTCCTTTTAACTGCTGGGTTTATATTTTTAGATAAAGCAACCAGAATATATCAAGTCTTTTCTGGGGTATGTAGGTCAGATGACAGCTTTTTCTTTTTCTTTTTTTAAAAAAATCACTGGCTGAAGGCAAGTAAGACGGCATCTTTTCTTTTTGAGAGGGAGTCTCACTCTGTCTCCCAGGCTGGAGTGCAGTGGCATGATCTCAGCTCACTGCAACCTCCGCCTCCCACGTTTAAGCGATTCTCCTGCCTCAGCCTCTCAAGTAGCTGGGATTACAGGCGTGAGCCACCATGCCTGGGTAATTTTTGTATTTTTAGTAGAGACAGGGTTTCACAATCTTGGTCAGGCTGGTCTTGAACTCCTGACCTTGTGATCCACCGTGCCCAGTTAGATGACAGCTTCTTATAACGCTATAAACGCCAAAAAGATGAATATACATACAGACACCTCTTCTCCGTCAAGAAGTTCTTCAATGACAATTGTTTCTCCAGCTACCCCAAAGGTCTTCTCCTAATTGTAAGTTTAAAAAAAAGAGGTTTGGTAAGCTTTGATATTTACTTAGTTGACTTATAGCATTATCCAGCATTTGTATTATGAATCAGTGAGTAATGCAATTTCTCTTTTCTTTCAGAAAGACTCAAAAGGAACATATAAATGTTTCCTATTTTTAATGTGGCAATAGTATAGCTAACACCGGTACAGATGGAATGAACACATCTCTAATATTCTCCTGAGGATCTGGTGATCCAGTTTCAAATAATGTATGGGAAAAACAGATTTTTTCATTATCGCCTCTTAATCCTTACTTCCGATTATAATTACACGTTTTAATAACTATAGTAAAGCATGCCTGTGAAAATAGATTTCTACAAGGACAGAAAACCCACAAGGACTGATCATGAAAGACAAAGTATATTCATTCATTAGTTTACTTCTCCTAGACCTAACACGAGGGACAAATAACTTTTGCCCTCATGGATGGCTTGATTATTTATTTATATATTCTATAGCCTGAGGTTTTTCTATCTTTCAGTGGCAGACAACAAAGGATATTAGAATTTACTTCAAAAGAATACCATCATGGTTTAGTTATCAGTGTAAATCCCTAATAACTATTTTATAGAAATGGATTATAATACATGGAATTATAAAAAATAACTTAACCCATGTGCCTGCAAAATAGGTTTTCCTTATTGTGAGGAACAATTTTTTTTTTTTAGATGGAGTTTTGCTCTTGCTGCCTAGGTCGGAATGCAGTGGTGTGATCTCGGCTCACTGCAACCTCTGCCTCCTGGGTTCAAATGATTCTCCTGCCTCAGCCTCACAAGTACCTGGGATTACAGTCATGCACCACCACACCCAGCTAATTTTGTGTTTTTAGTAGAGACAGGGTTTTATCATGTTGGTCATGCTGGTCTCTAACTCCCGACCTCCAGTGATCTGCTCGCCTTGGCCTCCCAAAATGCTGGGATTATAGGCATGAGCCACAGCACCCAGCAGTGAGGAACATTTTTTAAACTTAAAAAAGGGTATTTATGCAGTATGAATAGAAAAGTAAATTTTTTCAGAAGACTCGGCCTACCTGCATGATCTCCTGTACAGCTTTGCAGGCCTCTTCTTTGGTCTTTGCAACAATCACCCCTTTTCCAGCCGCAAGGCCACTGGCCTTCACAACCAAAGCAGGGAAGTCTGCACTATGAAGACAGAGCAATCTTCAATATCCAATAAACCAACACAACTTAAAATTTTAAAATGCTGTGGGATTTTGTAATGATATGCTATAGTAAAAACTGAAAAGCAGAACGAAAAAAATTACTTATCATTCCAACACTATTTTGACATACTTCCCACCAGGAATTTTTCCCCCTATATTCTTTTATAGTTGCAATCATATAGTACCTATAATTTTGCTTTTTTCATTTATCATGCGATTACACAGGCAATATCTTTGGAAGAATAAACAGATGTATAGAGTAAATATGGTATAATCTCTAAGATACAAAGTAGCAAATAGTACTCTCATCCAAGTAGAAAATGCAGGTGTATATCAACAGCATAGATCATTTCTGTAAGCATACATTAGAAATTATCAAGTGGGCCTGGGGATCTGGAAGGAGACTTACCCAAAGTAAGTAACAAAACTGTTACTTACCTAAGGCATCTGGCTACTAGGAAATAATAATATTCAGTGTTTAAGAAACCCTGTAGGATGGAGAATGAATAAAAAATGAAACCGACCCAACTGAAAGGAAAACATATCAGGTACCCGAAGTGTCAACAAAAAAAAGGCAAAGGCATGTGTCTACTAACACTCATTAATTGCTCAATGCTTTCCATATAATAGAGAATAAAGGATGCTTAATCTTGAAATTTAAAATTCCAATAGTGGTGGCAGATGACCAAGTGATGATGACTCACTGTGGCAAATTATTGATCATAAAAAAATCAATATTCTTTATGTCATAAGATGCCACCGTGTTTGTCAATCTGGCTGTGAGACCTAGTGCTGTGGCTCATGCCTGTAATCCCAGCACTTTGGGAGGCAGAGGCAGGTGGATCTCTTGAGCTGAAGAGTTTGAGACCAGCCTGGGAAACATGGTATAACACTGTCTCTAACACTGTCTCTACAAAAAATACAAAAACTAGCTAGGCATGGTGGTATGTGCCTGTTATCCTGGCTACTTGGGAGGCTGAGGTGGGAGGATAGCTTGAGTCCAGGAGGCAGAGGTTGCAGTGAGCCAAGATCCCGTCACTGCACTTCAGCTGGGTGACAGAGATAGACCCTGTCTCAGTGGGGGTTGGGGGGGAACCCCAAAAACCAAAAACACGGCTGTGAAAAGAGCGCAGAACTGCAGAACTGAGTGCATTCTTTGCCGAGGAACTACGTAGATTTTATTAAAAATGTCATCTTCCTACAAGGCCACAAGATCATATAAACTCTATATGCAAAGAATCCCATTTTATTTTGGATCTGGAAAAAGACAACACACATATTTATTGAGGATTTTTTTTTTTTTTTTTTTTTTTTTTTTTTTTTGAGACGGAGTCTCGCTCTGTCTCCAGGCTGGAGTGTAGCAGTACGATCTCAGCTCACTGCAATCTCTGCCTCCCGGGTTCAAGTCATTCTCCTGCCTCAGACTCATGAGTAGCTGGGACTACAGGCGCACGCCACCATGCCCAGCTAATTTTTGTGTTTTAGTAAAGATGAGGTTTCACCATGTTGGCCAGGATCTCTTGACCTTGTGATCCATCCGCCTCAGCCTCCCAAAGTATTGGGATTAAAGGTGTGAGCCACCGCACCTGGCAGAGAAAGTTTTTTCTCTAATTATCTTACTATAATCTTGTGACAGCCTAAGGACCTAGCATTGCATTTTCAACATGGAAGTCTCATATATATATATATATATATATATATATATATATATATTTAATTTTTTTGAGACAGGGTCTCACTCTGTCACTTAGGCTGCAGTGCAGTGGCACGATCTTGGCTCAGTGCAGCCTCTGCCTCCTGGGTTCAAGTGATCCTCCCACCTCGGTCTTTAAAGTAGCTAGGACTACAGGTACACACCACAATGCCTGGCTATTTTTTTTTTTGGTATTTTTTGTAGACACAGGGTTTCACCATGTTACCCAGGGTGGTCTCTAATCGTTCAAGTGATTCACCTGCCTTGGCCTCCCAAAGTGCTGGGATTCCAGGTGAGTCACACGTCTGGCCATTGACCTGTATATTTAAATACCACAACAAAACAACAGTCCTTCATAGGCAGTCACCTACCTACCTCATAATGAAGCTGCAGGCCTCTTCAGGTTTTGTGAAAGCCTTCCATTGTGCAGTTGGGATTCCATGTCTGTCCATAAACTCTTTGGCAAACTTTTTGCTGGACTCTAACTGAGCTGCTTCTGCTGTTGGTCCAAAGCATCTCACTCCTGCAGACATCAGGTTCCCAACAATCCCTATTGATGAAAACAGTAGTATCAGGTGAACAAAGGTCTCCTCAGGGGCTTTTCAGCTTGAAGATGAATTAGTATCAGACTATAACTAGACAAGGCAGATGACTGGTGGCAGAGGATAACTAACTTTTTCACGTTGTCTGCTGGATAGAAATAAAATGCTCCTAACATGTTATTCAAGTCTAGTTGTTACATTTGCATATATAGATTATTAAACAGACACCAGAATACAGCAGAATGAAGACATACAAAATGTTTCCCATGGCTGCAAATTTGATCTCTAACTCATCATATAACTGATGCTTGGCAAAAAAATAATCTAGACTCTATAAATTTGAGAGTGAAAGTCTTTTTCCAATGTAATGTTACAAATTCTCATTTGTAAAATGAATTGGATTAGATGATCCCTAAGCTCCTTTTGGCATTGAATATGCTGTAACAATACATAGAAATGAACTTTACCAGCAGCCAGAGGTGCTTCTGGTCCAACAACTACAAATTCAATTTTCTCATCTTTGCAGAATTGAGCAAGGGCAGTGTGGTCACTGATCGAGACAGCTGTAAACAGAAAAAACGAACACACTACATTTACAATGCTGCTGAAATAAATTAAGTGTCTCACTCAAAACTAAGTTCTATACTTCCGTATGCTTGTTATCTGTTGGTTTTTTTTACACTGGTAGAGGTGACAGTTTCAACATGTGAAATTCAGAGGAAAGTGCATTAGGCTAACCAACAAAGCTCAGTTCTCTGTTTTCATTGCAGACAGGTAAATGAAAATACCAATAAACTTCCCAAACAGCCATAAAGTAACATCTGGTTCATTATATTCTTCATGTTACTAATATTGATCGTATATTAAAATAAAAACATACCATAAGATATACTCAGAAACTGGTCTTTTAATGTCATTCATTCAATTGTACTGAAAATCCACTATGTGCTAAGTACTGTACTTAGCATGGGTATTAAGATGTCAACACAAGCCAGGTCCTTATACATAATATGTTTACAATATGCTGTAGGAATGCTGCATAATAAATATACAAACAAAAAAATAGCAAATAGAAACAAATTAAGTGAATTTGATATAAAGTGAATTGAGAGGCTATTTCTGGTTGAGTCAGGAGGGAGTTCTTTGGGGCAGAATTGTTTAAGCTAAGAACTGAATGATGCTTTCAAGAGGAACCTCTCTTCTCCAACCTAAAAGTCAGGTAAATTTTCTTCTATGAAGTTTTAAGTAACTAGCAGTAGAATCAAACACATACTGAACATGGTTTGGATATACAGGTGCTCTCCTGCTTCACTGTATCTGGACCACCATTCCTAAATCAGCCCAAGTCTGAAATCACTCTGCCTTTGGTACAGGGTGTAAGAAGCGGTATTTGTGATGTACAGTTGTCCCTCATTATCCTTGGAAGACACATTCTAACACCTCTAGCAGATGCCTGAAACTACAGTGCTGAATCCCATATATATTATGCTTTTTCCTATACATAAATACCTGATAAAGTTTAATTTACAAATTTAAGCACAGTAAGAGGTTATCACTAATACTAAAATAGAACAATTATAACTATATGCCAGCATCAACTTTGGGGCCATTATTAAGTAACACCACCTGAGCACATGTACTGGTAACATGGCTACTAGGTAACAACATAGATATGCTGGACAAAGATTCACATCTCAGGCTGGAGAGCACAAAATTTAATCACGCTATGCTAGATTGCCTTGTAATGTAAAATGTATGAGTTGTTTCTGAAATTTTCTTTTTTCTTTTTTTTTTTTTTTGAGACGGAGTTTTGCTCGTTACCCAGGCTGGAGTGCAATGGCTCGATCTCGGCTCACCGCAACCTCCGCCTCCTGGGTTCTCCTGGGTTCAGGCAATTCTCCTGCCTCAGCCTCCTGAGTGGCTGGGATTACAGGCACGTGCCACCATGCCCAGCTAATTTTTTGTATTTTTAGTTGAGACGGGGTTTCACTATGTTGACCGGGATGGTCTCGATCTCTTGACCTCGTGATCCACCCGCCTCAGCCTCCCAAAGTGCTGGGATTACAGGCTTGAGCCACCGCGCCCGGCTGTTTCTGAAATTTTCAATTTAATATTTTTGGACTACAGCTGACTGTGGGTAACTGAAACTGTGGGTAAGCCGGTGACTACTGTATAGGGTCCAAATCCAGAAAAGGTAGGTTCCTCAATCTGTAGCAACTGCCTGAATGTGATCAGGATGGAGTACCATGCACTTTGGGTTAGTGGCTCCCGATACAACTAGCTGAGCGGGGTCAACTAAATCAGTATATCAGAGGGCAACAAGAGGAAGAGGTCTCTTTAATAGTCTTCAAGACTACTTGTAGTGGTCTCATGACAATATGAAGAGATTTTGATGGACTTGCCTGGATGACCTTAATTGTACAGACTGTCCCAGTCTCTAATAAACAGACATACCTCACCCCCAGAACTAAGATCCACGAAAAGGAGGTATTTTCTTTTCTTTTTCTTTTTTTGAGATGGAGTCTTGCTCTGTTGCCAAGCTGGAGTCCAGTGGTGCAATCTCGGCTCACTGCAACCTCAGCCACCAGGGTTCAAGTGAATCCCCTGCCTCAGCCTCTTGAGTAGCTGGGACTACAGGCACTCGCCACTACACCCGGCTAATTTACTGCATTTTCGTGGAGATGGGATTTCATCATGTTGGCCAGGATGGCCTCATCTCCTGATCTCTGATCCACCCACCTCGGCCTCTCAAAGTGCTGGGATTACAGGCGTGAGCCATTGCGCCCAGCCTAAGGAGGAATTTTCTAATTTGCCTTTTTCTTATTCTTTTTGGTCTTATATACATGCCATTATCTTCTCCCAGTTATGGCTTGTTGGGTCCATGCTCTTCTTTCCATAGATATTATGTGCCACATAGGGAACTAGGCACTGTGCACACCATGCAAAACAAGTCAGACAAGTTCCTTTCCCTCATGGAGCTTACGTTATAGGTTATATTCTAGTGGGGGAAAAGAACATAGGAGAGACACAATAGCGAAGTAAAAATAAACACATTCATGATCATAAACAAATGAAATGCAGATGGACACTTGCTTTTAGTAAGAAACTGTAGGAAAGATATAATTAAGGAGGCTGCTATATAAGTGGAGTTCTGAATGATGAGACAGACAGTCACGGTAAGGGGTGGGAACAAATACAAAGTCCAAGGCAGCAAGCTTCTGCTTGGGAAATTGGTAGAACAGCATGGATAGGGTATACTGAAAAGAGAGAAAGACATATATAAGATCAGGAAGGAAGGGCAGCCAGAAGACAGACTGCACAAAGGGCTTTGTAATGAGTTTTCTTCTAAGTATTATTAGAATACTGAGGAGTTTCTGAAGCTGCTGACAAGCTTTATGTAGTATATGAACTGACCGTTTTTTTCATTTTTGCCAATTAAGAGATAAGGGTGGAGGCCGGGCACAGTGCCTCATGCCTGTAATTCCAGCACTTGGGGAGGCTGAGGTGGGCAGACTACCTGAGGTCAGAAGTTAGAGACCAGCCTGGCCAACATAAAACCCTATCTCTTCTAAATATACAAAAAATTAGCCAGGTGTGGCACCACATGCCTGTAGTCCCAGGTACTTGGGAGGCTGAGACAGAAGAAATGCTTCAACCTGGGAGCCAGAGGTTGCGGTGAGCTGAGATCGTGCCACTGTACTTCAGTCTGGGTGACAGAGTGAGGCTGTCTCAAAAAAAAAAAAAAAGAGAGAGAGAGAGATAAGGGTTGAGATCTATTAGAGTTACAACTGCTATAAACTTTGTTTTTTTTAGACAAGCTCTCATCTCGCTCTTTTGCCCCGGCTGCAGTGTAGTGGCAAGATCAGAGCTCACCACAGCCTCGATCTCCTGGGCGCAAGCAATCCTCCTACCTCAGCATCCCAAGTAGCTGGCACCACAGGTGTGCGCAACCATGCCTAGCTAAATTATTGTATTTTTTTTTTTAGAGATTGGGTCTCACTACGTTGCCCAGGCTGGTCTCAAACTCCTGGGGCTCAAGGTCCTTCTGCCTTGGCTTCCCAAAACGCTGGGGTTATAGGCGTGAGCCACTGCACATGGCCAGAAGTTACATTTAATAGCAATGCTAAACTTTTCTTTTAAAAAGTACATATCAAAATGCCTTTAATCTGTATTAGGCACTTACTACTTTTCCAATGGCTGTGTTTCACCAGGTTTAAAACAGTTTCAGTTAAGAAAATGCCATATTCTAATCAATAGATTACTTTAAATTTATAACATATGGCAAGCATTCAAATTACCAAATAAATTTGAAGGTCAAGGAAAGAACTTAACCCTGAATAGCAATCTATCTTTATTATAAAGCACAGACATGGTTGACGGTTTACCATTAACAAATAATAACTATTACTCTCCACTTTAAAACATAATTACCGGTATTTGAAATCTTTTCAGAGCAGGCAGTGCCCGCATTTCCTGGAGCAACCAATACGCGTTGGACATGATTAGACTGTGCAAGTTTCCAGGCCAGCGTATGTTCCCTTCCTCCACTGCCAATTACAAGTACTTGGGCTGCCATTGCTCTGTCTGCAAAGCAGAAATTCCAAAGGAAAATGAAACCTGCAGAAAGAAAACCACAGTTGATATCTTAGGATGCACATTTTAGAAATCCAGAGCTGGGCATGGTGGCTCACGCCTGTTAATTCCAGCACTTTGGAAGGCAGAGGCGGGTGGATCACTTGAGGTCAGGAGTTTGAGACCAGCCTTGACCAACATGTAGAAACCTTGTCTCTACTAAAATATAAAAATTAGCTGGGCTTGGTGGTGGGTGCCTATAATCCCAGCTACTCAGGAGGCTGAGGCAGGAGAATTGCTTGAAGCTGGTAGACAGAGGTCCCAGTGAGCCAGGATCATGCCACTACACTTCAGCCTGGGCAACAGACAGAGCAAGACTCCATCTCAAAAAAAAAAAAAGAAAAACCAGGTGTGGTGGCTCACGCCTGTAATCCAAGCACCTTGGAGGCCAAGGCGGGCGGATCACCTGAGGTTGGGAGTTCAGGACCAGCCTGACTAATATGGTGAAACCCTGTCTTTATTTAAAAAAAAAAAAAAAAAAAAAAAAGAAACCCAAATTTGTAAATATAAATAATTATTTGTATTCATACAAATGACATTTTTATTAAATGATTCATTTTTGAAAAACTGGGATTCAAAATTTGAGAAATATGACTGTGGTCACAAGGGTAAGGGAGGTATTTTAAAGAGAAGGCAGACTGGCCTAGAGAGAGAGGTTAGAGTGAAACGGTGACTATCAGCTCTTTACCTGATAATCTACCTTCTCTGGGCTTCACTTTAAAAAGATTTAATAATCACTAAGCCTTAGTTATGAAATGTGTATGTTTTAGACTCTGAAGCAATTGTGCTTCAGATTCTCTAACAATTAATTGAAACGATTATCATTAAAAATTTGAGAAAGGAAAAGAAAAAACTCCGCTAAATTACAGTCTCGGAAGGAAAAGCTATTTTAGCGTAATGGAAAAACATATTTTACTTGTCATGTGTATCTAAAATAAACGGAATAAGTATTTTTTTTTTTCTTTTTTTGAGACAGAGTCTCGCTCGGTCGTCCTGGCTGGAGTGCAATGGCACGATCTCTACTCACTGCAACCTCCGCCTCCCGGGTTCAAGCTCTTCCCCTGCCTCAGTCTCCCGAGTAGCTGGGATTACAGGTGTGCGCCGCAATGCCTGGCTGATTTTTGTATTTTTAGTAGAGATGGGGTTCCACTATGTTGGTCAGGATGGTCTCGAACTCCTGACCTCCAGTATTCCACACACCTTGGCCTCTCAAAGTGCTGGGATTACATCGCATCCAGCCGGAAATAAACATCTTTAAATCTAGAGCAAATATTACATCTTTAGTTTGAATAAAGCATTAGCGTGGGAGAATTCTCCTGTTTACTCTAGTGGATCACTGAAAATAGCATTACCACCCACTGGTGAGGACGTCTGGGCTCCAGAGTCACAGCACCTTGGCCTGGGTAGAGACCCTGCCACACGTTAGCAGAGACACTGGGGGACTTCACTAACCTTGGGCCTCATTCATCAGAATGGGTAACATAAAGAGAGTATGACAGCTAAGTAAAGCCGTATCAGAGAATTTCGAGAATAAAAGAAAACAGAAACCAATTACAAAAGTTAACCAAGTAATCTACTAGAGACATTGGGTGCATAAAGAGAAATCCTGACAAAGTACGCCAATTTAGGGTTATGTCCTAAAAATGCATAAAGACACAAAAAGCCTTCACATCTTAGAAAGCAACAAAAGTGAAAGTGCAAACAAACTTCAGCTAACATTAAGTGAAAAAAGCACGTGGCCAACCCACACCCACCGCACTTACAAACAAGGCCAAAATGTCTATAAACCAGTTTCTAGAGTTTCGCTCAGTTCCCGATCTTAAATCTCCAAACCAAAGCCTAAGCCCGCTCTGTGTAAAAGCGGAGGAAGCTCTACGCACCGACACCGGGTGACCACCAGGCTCCAGCTCGCCCACTCGCCGGAAGTTGGCCCACCGGAACCGGAGCGGGACGAGCGCGGCACCGCCCCTCCCCGCCCCGCCCCATTGGTCCGCGCGGTTTTGGGTCTCCGCGGGGAGAATCTAGTCTGATTCCCTCCCGCCCTGGGCGAGGCCTGCCTGCTCCCCAGCCGACACCAAAGCCCTAGCACGTTTATAACGTGACAGCGACATGGGGTGCACGCGGTGTTTCCAGGAACTCCGAGTGGAGGGAGCACCAAAGTGCTAAATCCATGCTTAGCCAATTGTGCGCTGCTCACGAGTCAGGGCTGACCAGCTACTGTGGAAAAATCTGGTGACACGTCTGACACCTGATGAGACTAAAATGTACCAGGCTTTGAATGCCTGTCGCTTAGGACATCCGGCCTAATGCTTAAAAAATGAGGCTGGTTATAGGATGCACGGCGGGAGACAGGGCAACAGCCAGTTCTTCCTCACAACCCTGGGGGCGGGGGCTGAATAATTCTTTCCCGGATGCATTTCCTTGTCGAAGCGGAACTTGGCGCCACCTGCAAACGGTTGGAGGCTCTCTGTCAAACAGCGGGTTGCCCTTCTTGCTCTCCTTTCTCCTGGCCTTTAATCTCAGGCGCTTACGGAGCCTCCTACGGCTACCAGACACTGCTGGGGACTGGTAACTTGGACACAGCCGCCTCAAGAGAGACGGCTCCTGTAATGGCGCCTGCGTCAGACACTAACATGGCGGACATAGTCGTGCGCGGCGCAAACGTCAGCACCTCTACCCCAGCCGCTCAGAAACAGCAGAGGAGAGCAGCGCCGTGCTCACTGATTGGTCCCTCGGTGGAGCGGGCCGGTCCGGGCGTTCCCTTTGGAGCCAATCAGGAAAGCGAGAAACCGAATTGGCCGCTGCGCCTCCTCCCGAGGCATGCTGGGAGGCTGGAGGACTAGCGAGGAGGAGTTGAGAGAACGGAGCAGACGCCATGGCGACCAACATCGAGCAGATTTTTAGGTCTTTCGTGGTCAGTAAATTCCGGGAAATTCAACAGGAGCTTTCCAGGTAAACGCCTCCCAGAGTCCTTCTGCTTCCAGCGGACGGTTAGGGCCCCACCTAGCCTTCTTTGGCACCTTTCTTCGGAGACGATGTCGTTCTCGGCTCAGGCCCCGCTAGGGCCCCGCCTGGGCCTGGGATCCATTTTCCGGGCCGCCCCCCCCCCATCGCTCCCCCTCAGCCGCTCCCTTCCTTCACCTCCCCGAGGAACTTCGCCTATGCCGAGGTAACCCCAGACTCCATGTTTTAGAACTGAGTTAAGATGCTCATCCTTCTCTCCTGTTTGGTTCCCCCCTGCCGTAGGCCCGGTTGTCTACTAGGGACGGGCCTAGTTCCTTCTGCAGCTCCTCCTCCGCTGCCGCGTATCCCCTCCCCCTCTCTGCCTCCGCGGATTTCGCCGGCCGGTGCCTATGACCGGAAAGGGTCTCCAACGGCCGTTTCTTGGGTAATCTTAAATCCGCTTGATTCTTGCGAGCTTCAGACCGTTTGGGGGTCTGGATCTATTAATTAGATTATTCCGGGCCTAGTGTCCTGTATCTCTCAGACAGCCGTTCTAATGCTTAAATGTTTCAGTTAAAACAGCTTAAACTAATATTTGCTACTTTGTTAAAATACTCGAGGTGATGATGGAAAGGGACTTTGAAATGGTAGTGATTAATTATAGAAAAAGAAAGTGGACCCTTTGTATGTCTATTTTTCTTGCTACCCCTGCCCCAAATTACACGCTATTTTTGTCATTGCTGGTAGACTTTACGTAATTTGCGCTTGGCTTCACGATATTTGTAGGCGAAGAGATTGTTAAATAGGTGTTTACTCAGAAAGGAAAATAGTGTGTCATATTGTTCAGCTGTTGTCTTTCAGTATTTGTTTTGTTCAAAAGTTCAAAAGTAGGAAAGAGATCTTGAAACGTAAATGTTCCGAGTTCAAGTGTTTTTAACTGTATTTTAAAAGTTGAGAGCAAGAGTAGTACGTGAACTTGAAAATGGGGCGAAAACCAGTTTTAAGTGCCCTTAGTAATACAGGATTATTAGGGCAATGATGTATTGTTGCTAGAATTATCACTTTTGCAGAATGTTGTTTTTTAATTGGAAATACAGCCACTCACATTGCTTTGTAAATTTCTATGATATTGCTAGTAGTAGTTTAGGATGAGAAGAGACCCGAGCTAAGAGAATATAATTTTCCTGACAAATCGCTGGATGCAATAAGTAGTAGTTTGCTTAGTAACAAGCTGTGTTTTTATAGCTTGTAAAAGCTGATGTTTCCTTTAGAAAATGAGTGCTTTATTGTAGAAAATTTAGAAGACATGAAAAAGAAAAAAATGGTTATTGATACTCTCATGTCATTTCTTGTTTTTTTCCGCCTTGCGTTGTGTGATAACGTGATCTTCTTGTTTATATTGATCGTTTTTCCAGCTAATAACGTTGTGAACGAATTTGTCCCTCAGTCTCAGTGGACTTCTTCATGGCTGCATAGAATCCCATTGTAGGAATGTACTGTTGCATATTTAGGTGGTTTGAAATTTTCATTGCTTTTCGTTAATTGCAGTTAACAATTAGTAGCTTTAAGATGAAACCAGTTACTTCCTTGTAGATTAACTTTTAAAATCGTAATTACTTTTTTGATTTTTAAATTTCTGATAATTATGTACGTGTAAGTGCTTAGGAAAGTTGTAAAATAAAGTGCTGCAGAAAGAGTCTCTAAAAATATTAGACGAAGCGGTTTGTTACTAGAGGACTATTCAGCTTCTCTTCAAACAACGCATAATGCATTATCAGTCTGCAAACAAGTTTTTGATTAGTTGCCATTTCAGTGAGCTGTTATTTTTTTTTTTCATCTGTTTTCACATAAATTAGAGTAATGAGGCTGACATTTAGGTAGTTAAAACAAAAAGTTACCGAACTTTTGTTATAGATGGTGTGTAAGAATATGGCCTCTGGTTTGAGTACCAGCTTCACCTCTTAGGAGCTGTGTGACCTTCATCTAAGTTTTTTCATTTATAAAAAAAGAATAATAGTGTTGATCTCAGAGTTTTGTTAGGATTAAATAAGTGAATTAATGTAGAACAGTGTGACAGTAGCTAGTAGTCAATAAATGTTAAATATACAGTTCATTGTATTAGAAAACCAAATGTTCCTTAATAACATTTAGGTAACTACTGAATTTTTTTGGTTTTTGATCATTCAGGGTTTTATCAGGTAGTGGAGCATAATTGATGTGTTTTCATTTAGCTGAAATTTAAATTAAAATCAGACTGTTGCTGAAATTATTTGATTTTTCAAAATTTTGCACATTGACACAAAAATAGTAAAAATTACTGGGTGAATGACATGTTCTTACCTATTTAAAAATTTCTCTGGCTCTGTGGATGGAAAATGTGTTAAACCATCTATGCTTTTACTGTTGGTATAAATGCCTCTTGTTTTATGTCAGTTTTTTAAACCAGGATTCTTGATAATTGTGTAAAAATTATATGTTATTTTCCTTTTTAATCTTAGTGGCATTTCAGTAACAGTGTGATTCTGGATAGAGGTTATGGGTTACCTTTCTTATTCAGTGTGCCTGTGGCTAATTTCTGTGTTCCTCTCTACTATTGATGGTGATTGTGATTTATGCACAGGTGTGGCTTTAATGTAGCCGTGGCTTCTACCATAATGTTAGGCCACATGTTTTTAGATTTGTGACTGGGCTCTTACTAATTTTTCTCTTCTGAGAGAAATGTGGGTAACCCAAAAGCCTCAAGTTAGATTTCTGAAATTATGTTGTTTAAAAAAAGAGTATGCTTAGAAACCTGTTTTAAAGACTTTCTTAATTTTCATAGTTCTGAAAACTGTGTGTAAAAATGAAATGTTCCTATAAGTAATCATGTTAAGGAAGCATTATTAGTGGTGAATATGTGAAGTAGGAAAAAGGTAAAACGTGTGACAGTGCAGTACAACATGATTATTTTGATTAATTGGATTATTAATTTTTTTATTTATGACAAAATATTAATGAATTTTGATAACTTTTCATGTCAAGCGGAAGGAATGAAGGCCAGCTCAATGGTGAAACAAATACACCCATTGAAGGAAACCAGGCGGGTGACGCAGCTGCCTCTGCCAGGAGTCTACCAAATGAAGAAATAGTGCAAAAGATAGAGGAAGTACTTTCTGGGGTCTTAGATACAGAACTTCGATATAAGCCAGGTAAGTTGGAGATAATTAACTGTATCAAAACTTTTTCTTTTAAGATATTTTTGAAATTTGGAGGTTAATAGTATTAATTTTTGACTGCAGTATTTAAGATGTTTATTAAATTAAAAACTTAAGGCAGGGTGTGATGGCTCCGCCTGTAATCCCATCACTTTGGGAGGTTGAGGTGGGCAAATTGCCTGAGGTCAGGAGCTTGAGACTAGCCTGGCCAACATGTTGAAACCCCATCTGTGCTGAAAATACAAAAATTAGCTGGGCATGATGGTGGGTGCCTGTAATCCCAGCTACTTGGGAGGCTGAGGCGGGAGAATCTCTTGAACCCAGGAGGCGAAGGTTGCAATGAGCTGAGATTGTGCCATTGCACTCTAGCCTGGGCAACAAAAGTGAAACTCTGTCTCAAAAAAAAAAACTAAAAACGTCAGTAAATTTAAGCTTTTGTTTAATTGATTTAATGAAGACTTTCTTGTTTAAATTATCCTTTGGAAATATACTTCCACTGAGACACAAACGTCGATGTACTTGTTTGCATAATTTTTATCTTTGACTTAGTGTCAGTTTATTTGATTCAGTTTCTTAGTATCAAGAATTGGAGTATGAAAAAAAAAAAGAATTGGAGTATGGATTTTTATTAAGCAGTTGTGTAAAAACATCAATCTCACAAACTCCAGTGGATGGAGAGAGAGGAATCATTGCTTGAATATTTAGCATTTTTGGGAATGATTAAATAATTCATGTTTAGAAGTGGAGGATTTAGCCACAAAAATAAGTCATTACCTTGATTTAGTTCTGGAATCAAGTTTGTAATATAGTTGGTTTGTCCTCTTTTTTTGTGGAGTGGGGAGAGCTTTAGCTGTGTTTAGATTCATGACTATCACAGACTTTAGCTATGCTTAAATTCATGGCTCTGACAACGCTGATTAAAGTATAACTTAGCTAACATTTTGTATTATGAAACAATAGAAGTGATTAGTTTTGCTTCGGCCTATGTCAGATGTTGATTTATTTTTCCCGGTAGTCTTAACGGCTTAGATTTCTGATGAGTTTTTTTTTTGGATTCCTAAGATTTATCTAATTTTTTATTGGCATTAGAGTGAGTAAATCCTGTCTGGTTGTAAAGTTGAATATCAACTCCTATCTCTTTAGGGTATACAAATTCAAACCTTAAGTTACAAATTAAAGAGTAAGAATTCCTTCTTTAAAATCACTGTTCTGGCCTGGTGCTGTGGCTCACACCTGTGATCCCAGCACTTTGGGAGGCCGAGGTGGGTGGATCACGAGGTCAAGAGATTGAGACCTTTCTGGCCAACATGGCGAAACCCCGTCTCTACTAAAAATAAAAAAATTAGTTGGGCGTGGTGGTGCATGTCTGTAGTCCCAGCTACTTGGGAGGCTGAGGCAGGAGAATTGCTTGAAACTGGAAAACGGAAATTGGCAGTGAGCTGGATTATGCCACTGCACTCCAGCCTGGTGATAGAGAAGGACTGTCTTAAAAAAAAAAAAAAATCACTGTTCTTTTCTGAAATAGAAATATTTAAAAAGTTTATTTCTTAGTGGTTTTATAATAGTATTGGGGGAGAATGTTATTTTTATTAGAATGTAACATAGGTGTGATAAGGTAAAATTTAGGGTTCTCTATGAATGCTTTATATTTGTTGTTCAGATATTTTTGTACTCTATAGAAGCAATCACTAACCTCTGCCGAAAGCTTATTCTGTGTCAGGCATTGTTTGATGTACTTTGCATGTTTTAACTCACTTATCCTCTAACTCTAGAAGACACAAGTGTGTCAGTAATTTGGCCACGGCCATTATCCTAGTAAGTGATGAACTGATTAAGGATTCCAAAGTGACAGTCTGTTCCAGAGTCAGTGCCATGTTGCTTTCTGAATATACAAGGGTTAATAATCACAAAAATGATTTTATGTGGGTATTTTTTTTTTTTTTTTTTTTTTTTTTTTTTTGAGACTGAGTTTCGCCCTTGTTACCCAGGCTGGAGTGCAATGGCGCGATCTCGGCTCACCGCAACCTCCGCCTCCTGGGCTCAGGCAATTCTCCTGCCTCAGCCTCCTGAGTAGCTGGGATTACAGGCACGTGCCACCATGCCCAGCTAATTTTTTGCACTTTTAGTAGAGACGGGGTTTCACCATGTTGACCAGGATGGTCTCGATCTCTCGACCTCGTGATCCACCCGCCTCGGCCTCCCAAAGTGCTGGGATTACAGGCTTGAGCCACCGCGCCCGGCTATGTGGGTATTTTTAATGGGAACTATAGCAACTAATATGAAATATATTCAGTGATAAAAGTAGTTTAATTTTGCTATAATTTGAGAGTGGAAGAAATAATTTTAATAGAATTTAGTAAAACATCTTAATGTAATTCAAAATAAGTTTTGATGTTAAACTAATAATTTATTTTTAAACTATGAGTTGTAGAAGTATCAGAAAAGTAGCAGTCTCCAAGTTAACTGGTTTATGAAAAATAGTTTATTTGGTAACGATTCATGTAACATGAGGTGTTTATACTGTGGGGTTTTTTTGTTTTTGAGACAGAGTCTTATTCTGTCTCCCAGGCTGGAGTGCAGTGGCGAGATACCAGCTCACTGCAGCCTCTACCGCCTGAGTTCAAACGATTATCTTGCCTCAGCCTCTTGAATAGCTGGGATTACAGGCGTGTGTCACCATGCCCAGCTAATTTTTGTATTTTTAGTAGAGACGGGGTTTCACCATGCTGATGAGGCTGGTTTTGAATTCCTGACTTCATGATCCACCTGCCTTGGCCTCCCAAAGTGCTGAGATTACAGACATGAGCCACTGCGCCCTGCCAATACTGTGGTGTTTTAACACGGAATGTAAATATGGGCTTTGTGATTTAATCTAACTCTACTTTGGGAAATATCTGACAAAATTATTTCTATTACTTTCAGACTTGAAAGAGGCCTCCAGGAAAAGTAGATGCGTATCTGTACAAACAGATCCTACTGATGAAATTCCCACTAAAAAGTCAAAGAAGCATAAAAAGCACAAAAACAAAAAGAAGAAAAAGAAGAAAGAAAAGGAAAAAAAATATAAAAGACAACCAGAAGAATCTGAGTCAAAGACAAAGTCTCATCATGATGGGAACATAGATTTAGAATCTGATTCCTTTCTCAAGTTTGATTCTGAACCTTCAGCTATGGTGCTGGAGCTTCCTACAAGAGCGTTTGGCCTATCTGAGACCAATGAATCCCCTGCAGTTGTGCTAGAACCTCCTTTAGTATCAATGGAGGTATCAGAGCCACACGTCTTAGAAACTCTGAAGCCAGCTACAAAAACTTCAGAACTGTCAGTTGCATCTACATCAGTAATCTCAGAGCAGTCTGTGGCAGTAATGCCAGAACCAGCCATGACAAAGATTCTGGATTCCTTTGCAACAGCACCAGTGCCTACTACAACAGTGGTGTCGAAGTCATCTGAGCCAGTCGTAACAATGTCAGTGGAGTATCAGATGAAGTCTGTGCTGAAATCTGTGGAGAGCACGTCTCTAGAGCCATCAAAGATCATGTTGGTAGAGCCCCCAATAGCAAAAGTGTTAGAGCCTTCAGAAACCCTTGTGGTATCTTCAGAGACACCTACTGAGGTGTACCCTGAGCCAAGCACATCAACAACAATGGATTTTCCAGAGTCATCTGCAATTGAAGCGCTAAGATTGCCAGAGCAGCCTGTAGACGCACCATCGGAGATTGCAGATTCATCCATGACAAGACCGCAGGAGTTGCCGGAGCTGCCTAAGACCACAGCGTTGGAGCTGCAGGAGTCGTCGGTGGCCTCAGCGATGGAGTTGCCGGGGCCACCTGCGACCTCCATGCTGGAGTTGCAGGGGCCCCCTGTGACTCCAGTGCTGGAGTTACCTGGGCCCTCTGCTACCCCGGTGCCAGAGTTGCCAGGGCCCCTTTCTACCCCAGTGCCTGAGTTGCCAGGGCCCCCTGCGACAGCAGTGCCTGAGTTGCCAGGGCCCTCTGTGACACCAGTGCCACAGTTGTCGCAGGAATTGCCAGGGCTTCCAGCACCATCCATGGGGTTAGAGCCACCACAGGAGGTATCAGAGCCACCTGTGATGGCACAGGAGTTGCCAGGGCTGCCTTTGGTGACAGCAGCAGTAGAGTTGCCAGAGCAGCCTGCGGTAACTGTAGCAATGGAGTTGACCGAACAACCTGTGACGACGACAGAGTTGGAGCAGCCCGTGGGGATGACAACGGTGGAACATCCTGGGCATCCTGAGGTGACAACGGCAACAGGGTTGCTGGGGCAGCCTGAGGCAACGATGGTGCTGGAGTTGCCAGGACAGCCAGTGGCAACGACAGCGCTGGAGTTGCCGGGGCAGCCTTCGGTGACTGGGGTGCCAGAGTTGCCAGGGCTGCCTTCGGCAACTAGGGCACTGGAGTTGTCGGGGCAGCCTGTGGCAACTGGGGCACTAGAGTTGCCTGGGCCGCTCATGGCAGCTGGGGCACTGGAGTTCTCGGGGCAGTCTGGGGCAGCTGGAGCACTGGAGCTTTTGGGGCAGCCTCTGGCAACAGGGGTGCTGGAGTTGCCAGGGCAGCCTGGGGCGCCAGAGTTGCCAGGGCAGCCTGTGGCAACTGTGGCGCTGGAGATCTCTGTTCAGTCTGTGGTGACAACATCGGAGCTGTCAACGATGACCGTGTCGCAGTCCCTGGAGGTGCCCTCGACGACAGCGCTGGAATCCTATAATACGGTAGCACAGGAGCTGCCTACTACATTAGTGGGGGAGACTTCTGTAACAGTAGGAGTGGATCCCTTGATGGCCCCAGAATCCCATATATTAGCTTCTAACACCATGGAGACCCATATATTAGCATCCAACACCATGGATTCCCAAATGCTAGCGTCCAACACCATGGACTCCCAGATGCTAGCATCCAACACCATGGACTCCCAGATGTTAGCATCTAGCACCATGGACTCCCAGATGTTAGCCAGTAGTACCATGGACTCCCAGATGTTAGCAACTAGCTCCATGGACTCCCAAATGTTAGCAACTAGCACTATGGACTCCCAGATGTTAGCAACCAGCTCCATGGACTCCCAGATGTTAGCAACCAGCTCCATGGACTCCCAGATGTTAGCAACCAGCTCCATGGACTCCCAGATGTTAGCAACCAGCTCCATGGACTCCCAGATGTTAGCAACTAGCTCCATGGACTCCCAGATGTTAGCAACCAGCACCATGGACTCCCAGATGTTAGCAACCAGCTCTATGGATTCCCAGATGTTAGCATCTGGCACTATGGACTCTCAAATGTTAGCTTCTGGCACCATGGATGCTCAGATGTTAGCGTCTGGTACCATGGATGCCCAGATGTTAGCATCTAGTACCCAAGATTCTGCTATGTTGGGTTCAAAATCTCCTGATCCCTATAGGTTAGCTCAGGATCCTTATAGGTTAGCTCAGGATCCCTATAGGTTGGGCCATGACCCCTATAGATTAGGTCATGATGCTTACAGGTTAGGACAGGACCCTTATAGATTAGGCCACGATCCCTACAGACTAACTCCTGATCCCTACAGGATGTCACCTAGACCCTATAGGATAGCACCCAGGTCCTATAGAATAGCACCCAGGCCATATAGGTTAGCACCTAGACCCCTGATGTTAGCATCTAGACGTTCTATGATGATGTCCTATGCTGCAGAACGTTCCATGATGTCATCTTACGAACGCTCTATGATGTCTTACGAGCGGTCTATGATGTCCCCTATGGCTGAGCGCTCTATGATGTCAGCCTACGAGCGCTCTATGATGTCAGCCTATGAGCGCTCTATGATGTCCCCTATGGCTGAGCGCTCTATGATGTCCGCTTATGAACGCTCCATGATGTCAGCTTATGAGCGCTCCATGATGTCCCCAATGGCTGATCGATCTATGATGTCAATGGGTGCCGACCGATCTATGATGTCGTCATACTCTGCTGCTGACCGGTCTATGATGTCATCGTACTCTGCAGCTGACCGATCTATGATGTCATCTTATACTGCTGATCGTTCAATGATGTCTATGGCTGCTGATTCTTATACTGATTCTTACACTGACACATATACAGAGGCATATATGGTGCCACCTTTGCCTCCTGAAGAGCCCCCAACAATGCCACCGTTGCCACCTGAGGAGCCACCAATGACACCACCGTTGCCTCCTGAGGAACCACCAGAGGGTCCAGCATTGCCCACTGAGCAGTCAGCATTAACAGCTGAAAATACTTGGTCTACAGGGGTGCCATCATTACCTTCTGAAGAGTCTGTATCACAACCTGAGCCTCCTGTGAGTCAAAGTGAGATTTCAGAGCCTTCAGCAGTGCCTACTGATTATTCAGTGTCAGCATCAGATCCCTCAGTGTTAGTATCAGAGGCTGCTGTGACTGTTCCAGAACCACCGCCAGAGCCAGAATCTTCAATTACATCAACACCTGCAGAGTCTGCAGTAGTAGAAGAAGAACATGAAGTTGTTCCAGAGAGACCAGTGACTTGTATGGCATCCAATACTTCCACAATGTCAGCTGAACCAACTATGTTAACATCAGAGCCTCCTGTTATGTCAGAGACAGCAGAAACATTTGATTCTATGAGAACTTCAGGACATGTTGCTTTGGAGGTATCTACATCCTTGTTGGAGCCAGCAGTAACTACTCCAGAGCTGGCAGAGAGCATTCTGGAGCCGGCAGCCATGGCTGTCCCAGAGTCTTCAGCTGTGACTGTCCTGGAGTCTTCAGCTGTGACTGTCCTGGAGTCTTCGACTGTGACCGTCCTGGAGTCTTCAACTGTGACTGTCCTGGAGCCTTCGGTTGTGACTGTCCCGGAGCCTCCTGTTGTGGCTGAGCCAGAATATATTACCATTCCTGTGCCAGTTGTTTCTGCCCTGGAGCCTTCTGTGCCTGTCCTGGAACCAATGGTGTCAGTCCTTCAGCCTGCTATGATTGTTTCAGAACCATCTGTTTCTGTCCAGGAATCTACTGTGATGGTTTCAGAGCCTGCTGTCACTGTCTCCGAGCAGACTAAAGTAATACCGACTGAAGTGGCTATAGAGTCCACACCAATGATACTGGAGTCTAGTATCATGTCATCACATGTTATGAAAGGAATGAATCTACCCTCTGGTGATCAAAATCTTGTTCCAGAGGTGGGCATGCAGGAGATTCCATTGCATTCAGGTGAAGAGCCACATGCTGAGGGACACCTGAAAAGTGACTCTTATGAAAGTGAACATGGTATAAGTATAGACCTTAATATAAATAGTCATTTAATTGCTAAAGAGATGGAACATGATACAGTGTGTGCTGTTAGCACTAGTCCTGCTGGGGAAATTGGTGAAGAGAAAATTTTGCCCACCTGTGAGACTAAACAGTGCACAGTATTGGATACCTACCCTGGTGTTAGTGAAGCTGATGCAGGAGAAACTTCATCCTCTACTGATCCTCTTGCTCAGGAACCTGACGCAACAGGAACTACTAAGGGTATTGAATTTATCACAGCATCTACTCTCAGTTCAGTTAATAAATATGATGTTGAAGTATCTTTAACTACTCAAGATACTGAACATGACATGGTAATTTCCACCAGTCCTAGTGGTGGTAGTGAAGCTGATATTGAAGGGCCTTTGCCTGCCAAAGATATTCATCTTGATTTACCATCTAATAATAACATTGTTAGTAAGGATACAGAAGAACCATTACCTGTAAAAGAGAGTGACCAGACATTAGCAGCTCTCCTCAGCCCTAAAGAAAGTATTGGAGGAGAAAAAGAAGCACCTCTCCCTCCTAAAGAGACAGTGTCTGATTCAGGATTTTCTGCCAATATTGAGGATATTAATGAAGCAGATTTAGTGAGACCATTACTTCCTAAGGACATGGAACGTCTTACAAGCCTTAGAGCTGGCATTGAAGGACCTTTACTTGCAAGTGAGGTTGGACGTGACAAATCTGCTGCCAGTCCAGTTGTAATTAGTATGCCAGAAAGAGCTTCTGAGTCGTCTTCAGAGGAAAAAGATGATTATGAAATTTTTGTAAAAGTTAAGGACACTCATGAAAAAAGCAAGAAAAATAAGAACCGTGACAAGGGTGAGAAGGAGAAGAAAAGAGACTCTTCATTAAGATCTCGAAGTAAGCGTTCCAAATCTTCTGAACACAAATCACGCAAGCGTACCAGTGAATCTCGTTCTAGAGCAAGGAAGAGATCATCTAAGTCCAAGTCTCATCGCTCTCAAACACGTTCACGGTCACGTTCTAGACGTAGAAGGAGGAGCAGCAGATCAAGATCAAAGTCTAGAGGAAGACGATCTGTATCAAAGGAGAAGCGCAAAAGATCCCCAAAGCACAGATCCAGGTCTAAGGAAAGAAAAAGAAAAAGATCAAGCTCCAGGGATAACCGAAAGACAGTCAGAGCTCGAAGTCGAACCCCAAGTCGTCGGAGTCGGAGTCATACTCCAAGTCGTCGACGAAGGTCTAGATCTGTGGGTAGAAGAAGGAGCTTTAGCATTTCCCCCAGCCGCCGGAGCCGCACCCCCAGCCGCCGGAGCCGCACCCCCAGCCGCCGGAGCCGCACCCCCAGCCGTCGGAGCCGCACCCCCAGCCGCCGGAGTCGCACCCCCAGCCGCCGGAGCCGCACCCCCAGCCGCCGGAGAAGATCAAGGTCTGTGGTAAGAAGACGAAGCTTCAGTATATCACCAGTCAGATTAAGGCGATCAAGAACACCCTTGAGAAGAAGGTTTAGCAGATCTCCCATCCGTCGTAAAAGATCCCGGTCTTCTGAGAGAGGCAGATCACCCAAACGTCTGACAGATTTGGGTGAGTCATTATTTTAAAATTTAGTGGCATTGTAACAATGTTCTAAACCTTACTTTTTTCTGATTTTGAGTCAAGTGAAATATTTAGTTATTGGTATAGGGTGTTTTTGTTTTTAAGTTTTTATGATTAAGTTGGCCTGTATTTAGGAAATAACCAGGATCAGTGTATCGTAATTGGAGTTAAAAAGATCTGCTTTGGAGTATAATAGAACCAATGTATTTCCACACTTGAATGTTTTATTTTGTTTCAGTTATGTTGCCATAGCTAAAGATGGGAAGCAGAAGCAGATGTAGAACTATAGCTAAATTAAAAACAAGCTAAGTATATGCTCAGATTGATAATTGTATGTGTTCTAACATGCATCCTTGGAAATAAGCCTAGAATTACAGTGTTCCTTTTTTAGTAAGTTAACATATCTTAAAATGGCATTACTGGACTGTTAAATGTTGGCGAAGGTAATTCTGATTAGTATAGTTGGTAATGGAAGTGAGTAGGGAGTTTGGCATGTGGGGGTTATTTAATTGGGTAGTTAATACCAGGTAAATAAAGTTAAATATTCAGATCAGAGTGATTTTTAATAATCTGTTCTGCTTTACTTTAAAAATAAGTGCTCTAATTTCCCCTGATTTTAAATAGTGTGCAGAGATGATTAAAACTTGATTGATAAGCATGATTACCTACAATAAGTATGGATAATTTTATCGTTATCCCAGTATATTGGACATTTCTAGGCCAGGATTGTCTGAAGAAAAAGAGGTTGAGAGTAAAAAGGGAGAATCTGCATTCAGTTCAACAGAAGTATTTTGTTTTTATTCAAAGCAGAGGAACAGTATGTAACTCCTCAAGTGATCTCAAGTTGGTGGAGATATGAGTAAAATGCATACATGTCTCTTTTACCAAATAGTAACACTGTCTAAGAAACGGCACAATGTCATTACTATAATACTGATAGAGATAAGGTGCTTTAGGAACACAGTGGGAAAAGGAATGTTAATTCGGACGTAATGACAACTTATTAGAAGAGGTGGCCTATAGGCTGGGCACTGTGGCTCATGCCTGCAATCCCAGCCCTTTGGGAAGCTGAGATGGCAATCACCTGATTTCAGGAGTCGAAGACCAGCCTGGCCAACACTGTGAAATCCCGTGTCTACTAAAAATAAAAAATTAGCCAGGTGTGGCGGCACGCACCTGTAGACCCAGCTACTTGGGAGGCTGAGGCAGGAAAATTTGCTTGAACCTGGGAGGCGGTTGTAGAGTCAAGATGGCACCACTGCCCTCCAGCCTGGGTGACAGAGCGAGACTCTGTCTCCAATAAAAAAATAAGAGGTGGTACAGAGAGTGATTTAAGTTGGCTTTAGCAGGTTTGTATCTTAGAATATGTGTAGTAGGGTGATGATTATAGTTGTGTAGAAACCTGTTTTTTGTAGTATTCGAATGGGAAGCTCAGTATGTGGACTTAATTCTTTGAATGAGGCCACTGCTTAAAAACTTTGAACCATAGTGGTTTGATCACAGCTATAACTTTAGAGCAGAATATTGATGCCTGTAGTTTTTTTCCTTTATTTTTTTCTTTTCTTTTTTATTAGATACCCAAGTTCTTTGATGGACCTATGATGCCTTTAGTTTTGTTAGCATGTTAGACTTTTGGAAATATAAAATGTACAGCCTTTTAGGAAAACTGCAGCTTATATTTTTCTTCTTGCAGATAAGGCTCAATTACTTGAAATAGCCAAAGCTAATGCAGCTGCCATGTGTGCTAAGGCTGGTGTCCCTTTACCGCCAAACCTGAAGCCTGCACCTCCACCTACTATAGAAGAGAAAGTTGCTAAAAAGTCAGGAGGAGCTACTATAGAAGAACTAACGGAGGTAAGCTAGACAGAATTTGTTTTCATTCTTAAATGGATTATTCCAGTGATGTTGACTCTGGAGCGTGCCAAAACCCGAATTGTGGGGAGAACTGATAATGGCTGGCACCGAGTGGCCAAAACCCGAAATACAGATGTGGCAGCGGCAGAAGCTCTGTTTAGCAGGCCATTATCCGGGATGGCTAAGCTCCGCTAGCTAAAAGTTACTTCCCATTACTTTTGCTTTCCAGTTTTAGAAGCCAAACTGACTGAGGAGTGGGACGGTTCGTTTGAATGGAGGAGGTGTTGAGTGAGCAACACGCAGAAGCTCGCCTACAGTTTCGTTTCCATTCACGACGTGTTCACTGATCGCCACGAGTATACTGCATATACGCAAAGACACAGACAATCTTCAGAAATGATCTTTTGCCACCGGAGCTTGGAAATTAATAAGAATAGCTGGCCATTGCCTGAAAGGAACTTCTTTCGCATCAACATTTCGGGTTTTGGCTGTTTGGTACCAGCCATTAGCGATAATGGCCGGCCATTATCAGTTCTTCCTGCGGTTCGGGTTTTGGCAGTAACATATATATTTTAAACACACCTATTTTTGTTTTTAAAAGTTTGATCTTTTCAATTGAGGCTTTTTTGGGGCTTTGTTTTATTATTATTACTATTTTTTTGGTGTGGGTGGGAGGGGGGAGATGCTGAAATATTGCTGCTAGGATCCAGAAATACCACACTGTTTCATATATTGAAACTTGTTATTGGCTAGCCTTATGCCAGCCTGCCACTGTCAATATATTCTGTTCCCCTTGGTTACAAGCTTAATATACTCTGTGTTTTTGGCGAAATGAGCTTTTTATCCTATTGTAATATTTTCAATTAATAATAGATGTCATTAAATTTACTGCTTGTATAGAGACAGGTCTACCCAGATTTACTCTTGACCTTTTTATAAAGCCAGGTAATGGAGTCTGTTCCTTTGCATCTCAGAAGGAATTGACTTTGCTTTATGTATCAGACCTCATCAATTGCACCCTCTCCATCATGCCTTATTTTCCTTTCTTAAGTTCTCTTTAAACTCAACCCACAAAACATTTATGGAGAGACATGTTGCTATCTAATCCTGTTGCAAATATTTCAGGTCTTTTGTTTTGCCATACATTTGGGAAAATGTAAAGCTTCTGAATCTGTTTTCTCACTTAGATTTATTAAAATATGAATTATAACTTTTGTAAAAAAAACTAAGGACCTTGTAAAAGCTTCTATTGCTTACTTACCTAATTCAAGCTCCTTATCCAAAATGCTTTGGACACTTAGTATTTTCCTGTTTTTAGCCCCATCTTCAGCCTTCTTGTCCCCTCTAAGTTTCTTCTCACCCTTTTACCACCACCAGACTAGGATGACTTTTCCTTTTCTTACCAGTCTTTATTCTTCACTATGAAATTCTGGCTTAGAAATCTTCAGGGAATATTCCTTGATTCTCTTAACTCTGCCTGACTCTATTCTCTCTTAAGCCTTTGTTCTTTTAGCACTTATGTACTCACTTTGTATTATATCAGTTTGCACTTGTTATTGTGTTGCTCTGTAAAAGCATTCAATTATTTCATGTATATGTATTCCTTCTCTTGTACTAGATTGTAAGCTCCTTGAGAGCAGGGACCATGTCTTCTTCTTCTTTTTTTTTTTTTTTTTTTTTGTATTCCCCAGACAGTGCCCAGTACAGTGCTCTCTCTGCACATAGTAGGTGCTCAATAAATGTTATTGACTGACCAGCCAGAGTGTGTAAAATAGTAGTTAATATGCCAAGTCACATATCTATAACCTATCATGAATCTTGTTTAACTTTTGAAAGTTGCTTTTATATGGTTTTGATTCTAAGAAATTACATGTTCTATATAAAGCGTAAGATTTATCTTTTGTTTGTTTTTACTTTTAAAGAAATGTAAACAGATCGCACAGAGTAAAGAAGATGATGATGTAATAGTGAATAAACCTCATGTTTCGGATGAAGAGGAAGAAGAACCTCCTTTTTATCATCATCCCTTTAAACTCAGTGAACCCAAACCCATTTTTTTCAATCTAAATGTGAGTATTAGTGCTTATGGATTGGTAAAACAGTGTAACTTATGGAATTATTTAAATGAAACCAAGTGGAATTTGGTTTATTAATTTTTGTTTTAAATACTGAGAGAAATAATGGACAGTATAATTTCCTTCAGATTATACTATATGGAGCTTTAATAAACATTTTATTTTGTAGATTGCTGCAGCAAAGCCAACTCCACCAAAAAGCCAGGTAACATTAACAAAAGAATTCCCTGTATCATCTGGATCTCAACATCGGAAAAAAGAAGCGGATAGTGTTTATGGAGAATGGGTTCCTGTAGAGAAAAATGGTGAAGAAAACAAAGATGATGATAATGTTTTCAGCAGCAATTTGCCCTCTGAGGTAAGTAGGAGGAATATTATGTATTTTTCCTTTTTTATACCTGAATCTGCCATTTCATTGTTATTTTATATCTGATTTGGATTCTGTTTCACTCTTCTTAGGGCCGGGTTAAACGGCAGGGCCGGGTTAGACGACAGATGAAACAACCCGCAGCTTCTCATTTGACAGTAACTCGATGCAATTCACTTTGTGGAACCAAGCCACAAAGTGAAAAGCATCGAATTGCAGAGAACAGTGTTATCACATCCCTACCCAACATTGGGCCCTCCCTGCACTTGTGGGAAGGTAGTCCAAGGTACAACTATTTAGCTTCCCGATTTGCTTCAAGGCTCTATAGCTCTAGATTTTGGTGGTAGCAAATTTATTGGGTGGAGGGATTGAGTGGAGAGGGGCAGATCCTCAGGTTCAACACAAGAACTGGATTGGAAAAGGTCATTGTAGGCTGATGTGAGCATCTTGGGTACATAGCCCGTTGCCCTTAATGATGGTTTCTTACTGTTTCTCTGGGTTGTTTGTCAGATAGCCTTTAGTTATTATTTTTCCTTCCCTTTGCTACCTTGGCCCTTTTAAATTCTTGTGTTTAACCTAATGCTCAGCCTTGGTACTCCATTCCCTTCTCCTTCCCCTTTGCTACTATTAAAAGTCGGAGAAGTGGAATTCACACCTTGAAATTTCCGTGGGGCTATAGTTGTATCTTAATAATGCCAAGTGTCAAAACAACCCCATTAAAATGCCGCCTGATTAAATAATGTGCTGCTAAATATAGTGCACATGAAAACAGCAAGACTGTATATATATGTAAATATATATATATGTATCTTTGTATGTATCTCTGTATCTGTACCTTTGCTGTATCTTTTAATAAACAGTTTACTTTTATTTAACTTGTTGTGCAAAATCACGCTTGGGGGATGTGGGAGGGTGGAGTCTTAATAGGGGGGTGGGAATTTTAAATACTATAGATTAGTTGTCATCACCTCTTGCCCTTGGTTTCCAAAGCCCAGATTTTTGTCCAGGGACTGGACTAGATATCTGATGCCCATCTGGACATTTTTCTTACAGTTCTGGGATATGTAGGTCAAGAGACACCTGTACTCTTCACTGCAGGTTCCCTTCTTTGGCTTGGCCATATCATCATCTTCCAGTAAACACTTCCAATTCTACAAATAAATCCTGTTTATAAAATCAGAAAGTGAACAGAACCCAAATCAGAAACTTTTTGATAGTAGTACTTTTTTCCCCAAGCCATTCACAGGTGACATTTTCACTTTTTGTTTGTTCGACCTGCAGCATTTTGAGGGAACAACTTCTATACAGTGAAGTTGGACATGATAACTAGCCAGTGTAACTTTTCAGTTACTGGTGATAATCTGTATTCCCATGGAATTCAACAAGTGAAGCAAGTTGTCCCATCATCAGTTAAGGTCGGGCGGGGTGGGGATAGTTGGTTTGGATAATATTTTAGTGAGACCATTTGAATTGTTAATCCCCAAATCAGGCTACCTGCATATCTCAAGAGAGAAAGGTTAACTGACATTTGCAGCTGACTTAATCTTCTTGTAGTAGCTGAATATAAACCATGCAAGGGGGCTGAACAAACTTACTTAGAAATCCTAATATGTATGCTTTTACTAGTTAATTTCTTGCAGAGTTAGCAGTTAACAAGGAGTTGGGGAAAAAATAGGGAGAGAGTCTGTGTGACAGATATTTTCCAATGAAGTGAAGACTTAACAAAATAACTGCAGAATTCCAAGGGATCTTCTGAGAAGATAAGTGAGCATAACCGTTTTGAATTTCTTCAGTTCAACTACGGGAAAGTGCTTAGAAACGCCTGATGCTTACACCTTTTTGAGAGAGAGAGAGAGAGAGAGAGAGAGAGAGAGAGAGAGAGACTCTCTGAAATTTAGTACTCAGCCATTTTCAATCTTAACACTGAGTGCGGTGCCTTAGCCTTGTTTGTCATCAAAAGTTGTCAGATTTTAATTAAAGGTTGAGGATAATTATTCTTAAGAAATATGGTGGAAAAAGTTGATAGAGAAAGGTACTCAAATAATGGTGACATTATTTTTTTGTTAAAAATTTTTTCTTACCAAAGAAGAATCCTAGAAGGTAAAATTATTTAACAATTCTTTTCAAAGGGCTCAATGAATAAAGCAGATGATGTCTGCTTTGGGATGATATATATAACTATTTGATATAAAACCTCTTTAAGCTACTTAGAAGATTAGACTCAAAGGAACATACAGATTAATTCTAAACAAGAATCCCAACATACTAGGGCAAAGAGACAGGATTGCCTTTTGCTTTCATGTCTCTGCACTTTTACCTGGCAATAATGCTAAAACATGTAGAGGAAAATGTCACAATTTAAACTTTATAGAAGGTGAAAGTCATGAATTTATTATTTATTCAATTACCAATGTTTATTATTTAGATACATACAAAATGTGAAATACTTTCGGTAACATTTTATGGGAGCATTGACCCTTTTGATTCCTTGTTAGAGTTTGAAATGAAGGCTTCTAGAGTAAAAGGAGATAGCTCTTTTAAATGGTCACCCTTTCAACTGAATAGTATGTTTTATTTTTATCTACCAGTCTTTTTCATTTTAATAAATATAAATGGAGTTTGTGGTTCTTTGTTTTTGAGCATAAAACATTTAGGCAAAGATCACAGATTTTAGCTCCCTAAGAGGGTTGAATTAGCTTTGCTATAATCCTTAATCCCACCAATTGTCTTGCATATGAATGCTCTTTGACGTGAGTATGAATGGATAGACATTGTGGATGGAGCAGCATAAATTCATTTCTTATGGAAAAACAACTCATCAGACTGTGTGCGGTACTGCCATAGCATCGTCTTCATACTCAGACACCAGCCAGCAGCATCCTCAGTAAGGAGTGACTACAGAACTTTCACCATATTTGTGTGAATTTGATTTATAAACAGTGAAATAAAAATGTTGGATAACTAATATTTTAAAAATAGTCCTCAGGGGCATTAATTCTTGGTAATAAAGTTAGCAGAGGTTTATTGGGTAGAAGATTAGGATGTAATCTTTGACATAAGTGGAGTAATAACTCATTAGTGTGGAGTTTTCATGGGTGTAGTATCCATCAAATGTTTTAGGGGTCCAGAGGTAGTATTGTTAAGGTCTAGTGAATGCTGAGATGTTAAGATCATCATTATCTTAAGTAGTTTGCTGGTTTGTATTATCAAATAATACTTCCACATCCCAATGGAATTAAACATTCTTTAATTTATAAGTTCTAAATGTATAGGAAAACTTCCTGTAGTAAAATGAAAATTTTAATTGGAAGTTAAACACATGTAGGTCCTGGCACTGCTAGAATGTGTAATACACAGCCTTGTTATTAATTCTTCCTAGATTCTCCTATGTGGTTAACGCTGAATTTCTCTGAACGATTTAGTAGGTTATCTATTTGTTTTCCGCTTGTACTTCATTTAGTCTGTTATACACTGGAGAATTTTGTATGATACAATAAAAAGATACGTAGTTCACTTTTTAAAGCCAGTCAAACACATAATAACTGGGACGTTCTGTGGCTTTTATTTTTGTAGTTCTTGTTTTGCTCTTTTATGTATTAGCCTCTTTATATTTTAATATTTGCTAAATAGTCTAAAATCATGTTTCTATACAGACCAAATGCTTTTACTTTTGGTCTATTAAAGTTTTCCTTTTATGTCTTTTTTTTGAGATATCTGTAATTACCAATATAGAAAATAATTTTCTGGTTATAGGTGTTTCCTTATCTGACTCATCCCATCCTAACAATTATTTTTATCCCTTTTTATCCCTTTTATATCCTTTTACTTATGTTCTAAGAAGTCTCTTAAGATACTTGTTCTTTTTATGTCAACAGTTGTGTTAACAAAAGGAGTAAATTGATTTAGAAGAATTTTCTAAATGAGAAAAATGTAAAAGGCCCACTTATATATATAATATAGGTCATGAAATGCATGTTACATGGTGCCATTGCATTATGTAATTTCATTATGCCTCAGACACCCTTGTAGGTTTTATAGGTAGTAGTTGTCTGCTTTGTTGCTGAGGGGGAGAGAGTAAAGAATTTGGGCAGTTTTTATTAACCTGAGAATTATATTTCAGGACACTTTTTATGTAAATTTCACCTTAGAGCAAAGGTGAAAAGTCAGTAAATAGCTTCCCCATTATCCTACCTACAATATTATTACAGAATCATTTTTATACATTAGGTAACATGCTAATCTGTAGTGTATTGGTAGAAACTAAGGCTTGTCAATGACAGCTTGGTAATAGTATTCTACAGATTTAAGATTCTTTTTTTCCCAGTTTTTGGAAGAGCCTTTTGTTATCATTTTTGGTGCCTTTCTTACATTTCCAGTTTCTGAATATTAAAGCATAGTTAAGATTCTAAAGCTCTGTTGTCCAGCAGTTACCAGCCACTGAAAAATCAGGTTTTTAATCACACTGGTTACATTTCAAGTGCTCAGTAGTGATCACTGCAGGAAGTTTTACTGAACAGTGCTGCTCTAAAGGGTAGCTGCAGTATTATGAGTGTTTCAATACTGATAAGTAACATTGGGTCTGACCCTTATAACTTGCTGCTTTGGGGATTGTAGTTGGCTTTTCATGCCTTTTTGTATGACTTGAGTTACCTTGAAAGGCTGAAAACAGGCTTTTTGATAGAAACTTTTGAGGATCCTTAAAAGGTTAAGATAATTTTGATACATTCTATTTTGAGTATATGTTTTCACATGTAAAAATAAAAATATGGCCGGGTGTGGTGGCTCATGCTTATAATCCCAGAACTTTGGGAGGCTGAGGCTGGTGGATCATCTGAGGTTGGGAGTTCGAGAACAGCCTGACCAACACGGAGAAACCCTGTTTCTACTAAAAGTACAAAATTAGCTGGGCGTGGTGGCGTGTGCCTGTAATCCCAGCTACTCAGGAGGCTGAGGCAGGAGAATCGCTTGAACCCGGGAGGCAGAGGTTGCAGTGAGCTGAGATCATGCCATTGCACTCCAACTTGGTCAGTAAGGGTGAAACTCTGTCTCAAAATAAATAGGTAAAAATATGAAACTAATAGTCAAATTACTATTTGGTAATAAATTTTTGCCATGAACTTGCAATTCCCTTGGTAAGTGTGTTGAAAAATAAATGAAATTTTATGAAATTTTATTTACATATCAAGGTTGCTATAATAAAATTCCTTTCAGAGTCATGTGAATTTAATATGCAACACTAAGATTCGAAGAGTTTCATTCTGGGGATAAATGGTGAGGCATTTAGCTTACCTGCTTAATGAAGGCTAAAAAAGTAAAACTTCTACAGGTATAATAGTTTGCTTTCCACTTGGAAAGAATTAGTTTTATTCTAGAAAAGTTATTTTTTAGAGCCATATGAATAGATTTGTAGCTAATTTATAGTTGGAAATTAGGACTCAGGAGAGTTAAGTGGGTAGACGCATTTTCCCCAGTATCTTCTCAGATTTTAGCCTTTTCAGAATAAAAGCCTGTTATTTATGTCTAAGCACCCTAACACTTAGATTTTTAGAGACTGCTAGGAAAAGCAAAGTAAATGTGAGAAGGTTAATGAGACAGCATTGAGGTGTGCCTTCGAAAATTACCTTGATAATCCTACCTGACAAACCATGTAAGGTAGGCTTAGGGGACATGAATTTTTACTTGAAATATCTGCATTTCCCATTTAAAGTCCCAGGAGTCAAACAGACTTAAAAAGTGAAAGATGAACAAAGATAGTAAGTTCCTTAGTGTTGCAGTTTCATTTTGCTTAGATTCATATTTTTTTTCTTTTTCTTTTTTTTTTTTTTTTTTGAGACGGAGTTTCACTCTTGTTACCCAGGCTGGAGTGCAATGGCGTGATCTCGGCTCACTGCAACCTCCACCTCCTGTGTTCAAGCAATTCTCCTGCCTCAGCCTCCTGAGTAGCTGGGATTACAGGCATGCACCACCATGCCCAGCTAATTGTTTGTATTTTTAGTAGAGACAGGGTTTCACCATGTTGACCAGGATGGTCTCGATCTCTTGACCTCGTGATCCACCCGCCTCGGCCTCCCAAAGTACTGGGATTACAGGCTTGAGCCACCGCGCCCGGCCCAGATTCATATTTTTAATAGGTCTTAGAAGTATTCTAAAGCTGTGTGATGATTTACTTATATTGACAACGAAATTCCACAGATTCAATTTGAAAGATGCATTCTGCAGTTGTTTATTAGACTGTTTATAGGTCCCTAGAAAGATTTTTTTATTTTTATTTTTAATATATATATTTTTTAAAGATGGAGTTTCACCATATTGGTCAGGCTGGTCTCGAACTCCTGACCTCAGGTGATCCGCCCACCTCAGCCTCCCAAAGTGCTGGGATTACAGGCGTGAGCCACGGTGCCCGGCTAGAAAGATTTATATATATAATAATCTAATAGTTACAGAATGAATCGTTTAATTTTGTTTTCATTTTAAGAAGGCATATCTTTTACTTTCTTAGAGTAAAACCTTGATTTAGCTAAAGAAATATTAGTTCATCATCAAGGTAACTAAGAATTACGGAGGATTAAAAACAAAACAAAAACAATAATTATGGAGGATTAGGGATTCTGAAGGTAAGAAAAGAAAGATTTGTGAATCCTTATGCATGCTCATAGAATTACTCTCATAGTCATACAGCCTTCTCTACTTAGGCCTTATTCTTAAAAGAAGTCTTTATACATGATACACAGTCTTAATTACAGCTAGCCTCTACTTGTAAAGAAAATCCTTAGCTGTCAACTATTTACTGACTTTCTCATATTCATGCAGTGTCTACTTATTCTTTGTATATGAAAACAGCTTCTATGTCAGATAAAGCATTTTATAAAAATGAATTTTCTTGTGTGAGATAACTAGGAAATACTAATAACGTTAAAAGAACCAAAACCAAAAAGTTAAGTTGATAAAAATCAATTTGAACTTTTAATTTTAGAACAACAATAACAAAAAGCCAAATACTTATCTTGTTGGGTTTTTCCTTCTGTGGTTAAACCTTTCACAAATCTGACAAATTAAGAATTGGCTCCAAAGATTACTTTTTTAAAATTAACTTCTGCTTGCTATAAGATTTTAAAAGGTAGAATATGAGCTTTGAGAAGAAAGACCTAGGACTTGAGACACTTAAAAGCGCTAAAAGCATTTCAGTTGATGTTATTATGGACTTCCACAGAAATACTATAACTTTGGTAATAACTGTGGATAAACTGAAAACATGGTTCACTTACTTACAGCCTGAATATTTTGTTCAAAGAAATTGGGTTCTTAAGACCAAAGTATCCACAACTGCAAGATGTAAAAGATATGCTGATTAGTAAAGGAGTGATCATAATGGTTTGATACTTGCTTATTCAAGAATTCTGTTAATGCTTCTGAAGGTTATGCCAATGAGTAAAATGAAAACTGCTAAGGAATGTAATAACCTTTACCACTAAGTTTGCAGTTTACTATAAATGGCTTTCATTCATGAAGGGTAGAGAGTTTTAAGTTCTTATGGAACTTCCTATGATTATAGTTTGATACACATATATAGTAGAAAATTTAGTAAATTCAGTCAGATTTTGGGTTCAGTTCTGCTGCCTGTGTGATACTTTGTAATTTATCTTAATCTTCTGTTTTCCAAGATTAGTTTCTCTTTTTGAGTCTCTTCCCTATTTTCCAAGATTATTAGTATGTAAGATGATTATTTTATTTTCAACATGTAACAACTAAAGATATGAGTATTTTTCATTTTAGGGGACTCTGGTAATTTGAGATAATTATCTGTGTTTTCCTTCTTAGCCTGTGGACATCTCTACAGCAATGAGTGAACGGGCACTTGCTCAGAAGAGACTCAGTGAGAATGCGTTTGACCTTGAAGCCATGAGCATGTTAAATAGAGCTCAGGAAAGGGTATGTAGCAGTTTTTTGTTTTTGTTGTTTTTTAAATTTACCTTCAGCTAACTCACATCAGTGTACCAGTTTTAATGGCTAAATGAAAATTTTGCTAACTACATGGTTGAGTTGTAACATCATTTACCTTAATTAGCCTGTCTTATTTTAAATGAAAGTGGTTTGAGGCCTGATCTTTTATTCAGCAAATGTTTATTCTTTACTATGTGGCAGGAACTGTTTCATGAGTGAAAAAAAATAGAAGAATTTCCCTGCCCTCACAGTTTACAATCTGGTATATAAAAACAACAAAGTGCCTACAACGCTATGAAATGTATAGGTATCAACAGTTGCCGTATTTCAGCTGAGAAAACTGAAGTGTAAAGAGTAGTTAAGGCTGGGTGCGGTGGCTCGTGCCTGTAATGCCAGCACTTTGGGAGGCCGAGGCAGGTGGATCATCTAAGGTCAGGAGTTTGAGGCCAAAGTGGTGAAACCCCATTTCTACTACAGCTACAAAAATTAGCCGGGTGTGGTGGTGCATGCCTGTAATCCCAGCTACTCGGGAGGCTGAGTCAGGAGAATCGCTTGAACCCAGGAGGCGGAAGGTTGCTGTGAGCCGAGATGGTGCCACTGCACTCCAGCCTGGGCAACAGAGTGAGACTCCACCTCAAAAACAACAACAAAAAAGAGTGGTTAGGTGTTATCCACGGTCACACAACTAATTAGTGGGGGATCTGGGGTTCAAACCCAAACACTATGAATCTGAAGTCTATGCGTTTAACAATGGACAGTCTCTTCGTTTCACTTTTACTGTAAGTACGTGTTCAGATAGGAAATACATTGCTGACAGTACAACATGTTTAGTAAATCTGATTTGTGTGAATGACAGTTGATTCTTTATCACAACAAATGTTGGCGACTGATGTAGTGTACAGGCTTTTGTAGTAAGTTTTATAGCCGGGTGTGGTGGCTTATGCCTGTAATCCCAGCACTTTGGGAGGCCAAGGTGGGCGAATCACTTCAGGTCAGGAGTTTGAGACCAGCCTGAACAATAGGGAGAAACCCTGCTCTACTAAAAATACAAAATTAGCTTGGCATGGTGGCACATGCCTGTAATCCCAGTTACTTGGGAGGCTGAGGCAGGAGAATCATTTGAACCCCAGAGGCAGAGGATGCAGTGAGCCGGCTTTATGCCATTGCACTCCAGCCTGGGTAACAACCGCAGAACTTGGTCTCAAAATTAATCTCATGTAAAAACAGATAAAAAAAGAAAAAAATAAAAACAAAAGTTGTTTCATGTATTCAAGTATACTGTTTCCTATAAATACTCCTTAAACATGTGTCATGAATTTACTCTGTATTTATAATGTCTCAAAGGAAGTAATTAAGAATCCAGGCTGTCATGACATGTATTACAATACATTTTATGAGATAGGAATGGAGGGTGGGTACCCATTGCCATATGAGCCTTTTACATTTTTAGTGTATCTGTGATAGTTTGAAGAATGAGTAGTAACAGCTGTGCCTTTTAGTAGCTATGCTTTTAGATACATTTCACAATCTTACTAGGATTTACTAAATGTTGTCAAACTGCTTTAGAAAATTAAGCCATATTTAATGTTAAGTGTGTATGGATTCAAATATTTAAGTCTGCTTTTCAGCCATTTTTACTTCATGAATTAAATTATTACCAGTGATGTTTTTAATCAGGGAATTTTATATAGTTAACTGAGACTACTACTTTTTTTTCAGATTGATGCCTGGGCTCAGCTGAACTCTATTCCTGGCCAGTTCACAGGAAGTACGGGAGTACAGGTTTTGACCCAAGAACAGTTGGCCAATACCGGTGCCCAAGCCTGGATTAAAAAGGTACACAGTATACATACATACGAAAGTGTTGAACAAAATGTTTAAATTTATTGGAAACTATTTATTAAAACTGCATGAAAAGACCAGTGACTCTAACCAAAGTTCCTGAGTAAATTTGCTATGTGTATATGCTCCAGGGTGGACACTGAAGATGGACTGGATTCATCAGAAAATGGCAAATGTATAAATATGGCTCAAGAGCCACTCATTTATACGGTTATTTAAAATACTGCTGCTGCTGCTTTTGAAGGGGTGATTTTATTTAACTATATTTTGAACAATAACAGCGTATCAGGTGCTGTGCAGAATATTCCACAGTTCCTGCTGGACTACTAACCTAATCATTTCAAAGCAGTGGTTCTCAAATTTTTCTTCATCATGGGATACTTTATTACAGGTTTATTTTTGGTGGATCACTGCCCCCAAGAGCCCTCTACCACCTTAATTTTCCATTCCTCTATTCTTTTGTCCTCACACCCCACCCCTTTTGTTAGTGCCTGTGCCTTCTTCTAAGATCTCTTGGCCCCTGTTCCTCACTCCTCTTGTGACTTGTAGCCCCAGGTCCCTTTGCTTGTCGGCTGCTGGTTACAGCCAGTCGTTGGGAGGCCCTAGTATTAGCTCTGCATGTTGTGATCTTGCCTTGGGATTGGAAGGCTGAGGGAGGATGGCTGGAGTAGGGTGGGCTGTGGTGAAGGGGATGGGATGGAGATTAATCTGTGGACCACCATTTAGGCCCTAGTGGCCTCTGGTGATCCACACTCAATTTGAGAACCACTAATTTCATGTAAGACCTAAAATCAAGGGAGAGGATGGACACCTCATGCTACGAAGATGTAGGTGTACCTGGTTTCAGATTCTGCAGTGAGACCTGTGAACTCCACTTACGGCTGCCTCATCATTGAGGGAGTCTTAGGTGGCTAAGAAGGGCATTCTGAAGAAATGCATTCTGGTGAAGGGACAAAAGTTGGTTGGATGGGTGATGGGAAATTTGTTACAGGAGTACTGGCAGCATAGCAGTGCTGAAACTGGGAGGCTGCGTGGTCTAATGGATTGGGAATGTTTCTTTATCCTGTTGTACTCCTGACTGCTTGTGTGATCGTGGGCAAGTAACTCTTTGGAATTTCCGTCTCCCAGGTGTCTAGTGGTAACAAGCAATGTTATGGTTATCTATAGAGAATTGCTATGAGTGCCAGTGAATGAGCTGAATTTCTGAAAAATGAGATAGAGGTTGCTTTGGGTATTTTAATCTTGTAACTTTTTATCAGTTTTGTTATCTTTGTTGATCTTATTAACAAATTAATATGAAACATCATGTACACTCATGCCTGCTTTTTTAGGACAGTAGTTGCACTGATGTGTAAGTGAGTACACAGTCACATTCATTAAGAAATTACAATTTCTGTAGTTTGCTGAGGGTTGGTTTTAGGAAAAAGTGTCAAAATGTAGCAAAATATTTTAAAGATTGGAATTACCTTGGACTTTTATATTACAGTTATTATGAAAGTGATTTATAGAATTGAAAAAATGGCTTTAGTTTTAATTCTTTAATACTATTTAGTCTTGAAGCTGAACTCAACCAATATTTCAGGAAGTTAGAAATAAAGCTTATAGGTATTAAAATTGGCACATAATACACAGTCATGTACACTGCTAGGTAGAGACATCAAAACATGCTTCAATTAAAAATTTTGGTATTTATCTAATGATGTGCTGATCTATATATATGTTTATATACTTCTAAATATGTTAATAACTGAAATAACTTTTAAAAAGTGAATCTTTTTCTGATTCTATTGGTTTTCCCCTAAAATAATTACTTCCGGTATTTGTAGTCTTGTAGGCAGTTAACAGACTTTAAGTAATTTTAAAATGTTTAATAGCACCTTTAAAAAAGACTTTGTCTTTATATTTTATGTAAGATATACTTTGGAAAGCAAATCATTTTGATCAATTATGAGAAAAAGATACGTTCATCAGACCAAATTTTAAATTATAGATAAAAGCAGCATTTATAGGAAAAGATTCATTTGTATAGAATTACTGAAGAATATTTGATGCTAGTATCAACTAAAAGAGAAACTTTTTAAAATTAAAAATGGGCCACAACATGAAAATTTAGCATGTATCATCCCTGTTCATTAAATTTTAAGTTGTGTTTAGAAAAACCTGTCCAAATGATCATTTTGGCTTTTCTTCTTTAGTAAAGTCCAGCATTCTCATTATGTGTTAAACACATGGAATACCAACATTTCTCTATGTTCTTTCATAGTTTGTTGCAGTATATTTTTAGGTTAAAAAAAGCAGAGTTTTATCAGTATTCTCATTCATCAGTAAAACATTTAAAGTAGTGGTTTAAAAGAACTTATTTTCTGGAATGCAATGATTTGGATGTGACCTATAAATACAGTTTATTATTGTGGTCTCATTAAATTAATTAGCTTTTTAATAAACTGCATACACATTGGAATGAAGAAACAGATGACGATACTAGGGAATGGAAACAAAATTGGAAACCTGGGTTATTTGGGGATTTATATTGTACTCTGCACAGTTGCCCTTTTTTTTAGGAGTGTTCCCTGGAAAAGAGGGACGGATGAACCTGGAAGTAAGTAAAAGACATTCTAGGTGTGTAGCATAAAGGCAGTTAATATCCAAGCATCAGCTTTCTCTTTATACATCTACACTGCATGGCCTGCACCAATTAAGGAACTGAACCAGGGGTATGTTTTTTACCTCCACAGCTGCCTCCTTCCATCAGAGCACCTTGATGAACTTAATGTCTAGGCACACATCATTGGCATGTTTTCTCCCCAGCACTTAATTATTAAGCTGGGAAACAAAAGATGATACCGTTTTACTACTGCATACAAACGTTTTTTTTTTTTTTTACATTTAGTATTAACTTATCAATATAGGAGATGTTAATACATACTGTTTCCTGAGCTACCAAAGTTTTTACTCTCTCTGTTGATAAGTTAATGACTTACGCTATATGTATATTTATGTATATTAGCTAGAGAACATAAAAACAAAATTTAATAACAAGGGGGAAATAAAGCATGATTTGGAGATATGTTTCAGATTTTTAAAAAATGCCATAAAGATCAACAGTAGAATTTAATACTGTTTGTTATATGTACATGGAAGCCCTTTAATAAGAGGCATTGAATATTTCTTAACCTGTAAAAATAATGAACTGCTGACCATGCTAATGTATCTACTTGTGCATCTTAGGACATTAAGTGGTTTGCTGCTTTGATGGAAATTATGGTTCAGTGGGTTGGATACGAGAGAGATGATTGTTCACAGAATAACCTGTGAACTTTCACCCCTCTGTATGGAAACTTGTTTCAGGGCCAAATCCTTGTAGCTGTCTTCTTGCCCCGGTCAGTGCCAGCCGTACTATTCACAACACTGCTGCTACCGAGGCCTAGGTATGTAAACATTTAAGGAGTTTTTAAAAGTCTTAACATCAAGCCAGGTTTTAAAAGAATTCAAATTCATTTTGGCATACTTACAGGATATTTTATGTGATTGTTTTGTATTTGTTACTGTGTAAATTTAAAGTTTTGTGGGTTTTTTTTTTTTTTTTTTTTTTGCTGCTTTAGGGATTTTCTAAGTAAAATATTTATACTTGCTTTATAGTAGAATGGGGAAGAAAACTTTGGATGACAACAGTATACTTCTTCAGTGTCTAAATTATTTCTAAGTGATTTCTGGGCTTTATTCATAAACTAGGTACACCTGGGACAATTAATATTATTGATTGTTTTAACACTGCCTTCTTTTTATTTTGCAAGCTAAGAAGAGATACGAGTGAACCTAAATAGTGGACGAAAACAGGAGTGTTCTAATTTTTTTTTTTTTTTGTGGGGCACAAGGGCTACTGTTTCAAAACTGCCATTTACTTGTCTTATTTGACTTTCAAAATACTATTACATTAATGTGAAAATAATCAGAACATACACACTACAGTATGTATAAAGTATAGAAGAATTTACATTTAATTGCTGTAACAGGTCTAGAAGTAAAATAAGATTCCTCTTTTTAGAAAGTAAACAATGAATTTGTCACCAAGTTCTAACTGTAAAATGGGGACATTTTACCTTTCTTTCTTTGGATAGGATCAGTTCTTAAGAGCAGCCCCGGTAACTGGAGGAATGGGAGCCGTTTTGATGAGAAAAATGGGCTGGAGAGAAGGAGAAGGATTAGGAAAAAACAAAGAAGGCAATAAGGAACCCATCCTAGTTGATTTTAAGACAGACCGAAAAGGTAACAAGTTCTTTTTTGGAATGTTTATTAACACCTCCTTTAACATTACCTTTTAAACCCAGTGATCCTGAGCTGAAGGCATCTTGTATATATGCAGCCATTTGTCAGAAAAAACTTTAACCTCTTCTGGGGTTCCCAAAGTAGTTTTTTATATATATAACTATGGCTGGGGACACCAGTTTTAACTTTTAAAAGGAAACTTTTGTTATGCTAGTTGCTAAATATGGAAATGTATGTATATCTAATTATAATATTACACCTCCAAATTTAACTAGATTTCCTGTTTAAAAAACAGGATTTCCATTTTCTTTTATCTTGACAAGGGACTATTCTTATTTCTAGAGTTTGGTTTATTTTTTGTCAGACATTTTAGCCCATCTTCATTATTTCCTATTACAGTGTTTAGTCCTAGATTTCACAAACGCTGTTTGCTTTTTTTTTTTTTCTCCCCCTCAAGCTCAGTAGTTGGGTCGGGTTAAGAGTATATAGTAGACCAACTGCTGACAATAATGTTACTTCTTCCTGTTGCCTTGTGTTAAGGCATCTTGGAAATGTTAGCATTGACTGTATTTTCCTGTTACCTTCAGATACCTGGGCAGGGCAGCACTGTGTCATCTATGTCACTTGTATGTAGTTGTTAAGTACCTAATTGGTATGTATGAAATAACTTCTTCCCTTGGAATAATGTAAGTGGAATTGCAAGAGGCTGCCAGCTCAGTATGGTTTTTATACCTCATTTAAGCCTCATTTATGAAAATTGGCAAATGTAAAACTGGGATTTATTTTCTATTTTCATCTTTGTAATCAAACGGTAAGTTGAAATTAACTTCAACAGTTAATCTGTGTTAATGAATTTGGAAATGAACCAGCTTTGCACCAAATACTTTGGTTAAGTATTGCACAGTTTCAGGAAGCGTTTTCCTTGGAATTGTGGGACATGGCCTGACCGTAAGCTCTTGGAGAACCGCTCATTTCCCAGGATAGGTTTGGAAAAAAGCTTATACGAGCATGGAATTATTTAGCAAAGGTTGAAAAATTTCTTGTAATATACAAGATGAGCATCCCACATCTAGAAACCTAAAATGCTCTAAAACTGAAAACTTTTTGAGTACTGATACGCTCAAAGGAAATGCATTTTGGATTTCAGTTCTTCAGATTTGGGATGCTTGACCAGTAAAATATAATGCAAATATTTGAAAACCTGGAATCATCCAACACACTTCTGTTACCAAGCATTTTGGATAAGGATTTCTCAGCCTGTATATGGGATTGGGAAAGCAGTGTTTAGGTTTAGCAATATAGCTAATCCCCTTTGTAATAAGCCTATGGAGAGGGAGGTTATGTAGAAAGGTCATGTTCATATTTTGAGAATATCTTACATTTGTTAGAAGAGAGTTTGCTAGGAAAAAAGGGACCTGGTTTTATTTGGAGACAACTGCCTTTTTCAAACCCTTTTTGGTGGCTTAAAATCCTAACCTTTTTTGGAAGAGTCTTAACTTAGCATCTTTTTTTTTTAAGAGACAGTAAATCTTGAGAAATCACTTCTAATAAATAACCATTCCTTTTTTTCTTTTTTGAGACAGAGTTTCACTCATCACCCGAGGCTGTCAGTGGCACAATCTTGGCTCACTGCAACCTCCACCTCCTGGGTTCAAGCAGTTCTCCTGCTCCAGCCTCCCAAGTAGCTGGGATTACAGGCATCCACCACCATGCCCGGCTAATTTTTGCTTCTTTAGTAGAGATGGGCTTTCACCATGTTAGACAGGCTGGTTTCAAACTCCTGAGTGATCACCTCAGGTGATCCACCCGCCTCAGCCTACCAAAGTGTTGGGATTACAGGCGTGAGCCACCGTGCCCGGCCATGACCATTACTTTTTAAGCTAACACAGAAACAGACTTGGGAATGTTGGTACTGTTGGCACTTAGTTTGAATGTGTATTTTTGTGTATATAATATTTTTTTTTTTTTTTTTTTTTTTTTTGAGACAGAGTGTCGCTCTTGTTACCCAGGCTGGAGTGCGATGGCGCGATCTCGGCTCACCGCAACCTCCGCCTCCTGGGTTCAAGCAATTCTCCTGCCTCAGCCTCCTGAGTAGCTGGGATTACAGGCACACGCCACCATGCCCAGCTAATTTTTTGTATTTTTAGTAGAGACGGGGTTTCACCACGCTGACCAGGATGGTCTCGATCTCTTGACCTCGTGATCCACCCGCCTCGGCCTCCCAAAGTGCTGGGATTACAGGCTTGAGCCACCGCACCCGGCCGTATATATTTTTTTAAAGATAATTTTGCTCTTGTCGCTCAGGAGTGCAGTGGTATAGTCTCGGCTCACTGCAGCCTCTGCCTCCTGGGTTCAAGTGATTCTTCTGCCTTAGCCTCCCGAGTAGCTGGGATTGCAGGCATGGGCCACTGTGCCCAGCCATATTTAAATTTTTGTTTTCTGTTTACATTTGCTATTTGTTATAATTTCTCACACCAAGGTTTATGAATATAAAATGTAAATCTATATGCTGAAACAGAAAAAGAGAACAAATAGAAGATTGGTAGAGAAATCAAGTGTAGTGTAAGAATCTGTTTATTTTATCTGAAGGCACAGATTTTGAGGTTCAGACTCCTACAGTGGGATCTTTGTTTTTTTGGTATTATAATTTAAAATGGTGCTTTAAGATTCAGTCAACAGTTGTTTTTTTTTTTTTTTAAAGGTCTTGTTGCAGTAGGGGAAAGAGCACAAAAGAGGTCTGGGAACTTCTCTGCTGCAATGAAAGATCTGTCAGGTGAGAGCACATTTTTGAATTTCCTCTTACCCTAATCCCATCTTGAATCATTTGTTGCAGAAGTTGGTGGAAATAATTTAAAACTGGGTATTTTTCCCCCCTGCAGGCAAACATCCTGTGTCTGCTTTGATGGAAATCTGTAATAAGAGAAGGTGGCAACCACCTGAATTTCTGTTGGTCCATGATAGTGGTCCTGATCATCGCAAACATTTTCTCTTTAGGGTAAATATGAATTTCTGCACTAATTGTATATGTTTATTAATATGGTGACTTAGAGGGTGAGGGGTAAACATGATCACAGGATTAAGATTCTGTTCATGGGTGGGGGTTTATTACTTGTAGTTAAATGGTGGGGTTTTTAAACACTCAAGGGTGCTTTAATATGACTTATCAATGTCCTGTTTTTTAAAAAATTGGGAAAAAATGGGCAAAATCTAGTAAACAGTTCTTATTTTCTAGTTGAATGTGGGGAACTAATTTAATAATTTTATCAGTCTTTTTCTCAATTTGGAGATCTGCTCTTAATTTGCAGTCCCTTTCCCAAATGATTTGCTGCTTCTGGGTTGAAATTGTAATTTGACTTACATAGTATGGGTTTTATATTATTGTAAATTATTTTCTAGCATTTAGTAAAAAAATACAAAGCTAATAGATATTAAAGTTTGATGCTGTTCTTATTGTATGTTTTTCTTGAATAGGTATTGAGAAATGGAAGCCCTTACCAGCCCAATTGTATGTTTTTCTTGAATAGGTATTGATAAATGGAAGCGCTTACCAGCCCAGCTTTGCCAGCCCTAATAAGAAGCATGCTAAAGCCACAGCAGCTACTGTGGTTCTTCAAGCAATGGGCCTTGTACCAAAGGACCTCATGGCTAATGCCACTTGCTTCAGGAGTGCCTCACGTAGATAGATTGAGGTTTTATAATAATCATTTCAGATAATTTTACTCTGCATCACAATGTATTTCCTCTTTAATGTTGTAAATATTTGGCAATTTAAGACATTGTGTAAAAAGCAATCTGTAAAAACATCTCCAGGCTTTGATTTTTGTACCATGGAAATTGTATTTAACCATACAGGGTTTTGGTATGTTTATATTGTTTACCTTAGTGATGTATTTGTTTAAGTGGCTAACATCCAAACGATTGTTTGAAGGCATCAGTAATCTTCAGTGTGGAATGTTAAATAACGCTTTTATACTGTATTTTGTACTATGATGTAACTCCCCTTCCTTATGGCTAGGCTGCTGTAACACTTGCCTGTAATCAATGAAGGGCTGTGCACCTTGTACTATTTCACAATGGGTTCTGCTGGACAGATACTGGGCCAGTGTTATTGAGGTAATCAAGCAAGATCTGTCCCACAGGGCTAATGCCACCATCTCCCCTCAAAATTCTGTAGAGGTTATAAAAAGAAAGTGGTATGTTGTGTGATGATCAGCACTAAGTCCTGCATTCCTGTTAAAGCCACTTGGGTCATAAGAAGGGAGTCAAAAATGAAGTCTGACTAGAATTCTATTGCAGAGGCCAAGTACATTTAGTATGGCATTGAGTTGTGATATAGTTTTACTTTGATGTGCATTTTGAATTTCAGCTACACCTAGATAGACGTAAAATGATAATTAAAATGCTGTAACCAACTTATCTAATAAAACTGGCAATCAGCCACTATTTTGTTGACTCTGAGAAAGTTAAAGTTTATGTTAATTTTTAGGGTCCGATAGAATATTTCATGTGTATTACGGTGGTATTCATATGCTATGTCTCTAAACTTTATTTTCAAAAGCTTAAGGCCCAAATACAAACTTCTCTGGAATAAATGTGGTGTTTTATTTTCTGGATTATAAAGTGAACAAATACTTAGATACTATTATTTCTTTACCCAATGCTTTTGATTTCTAAGCACTTTTATTTTTAAAAAATGTGAATTATACAATCCCCACCTGCACACGCACACGCACGTGCACATGCACACGCACATTAAATACTACTTTGCCATGACAGCTCAGCATACTTCACAATTCTTAACACTATTCTATGTGGAATACAAAATGCCTTTTTACCTGAATTAACATGCATTAAAAAAATTTTAGTATATGTGAAAATAAAAATTATAAATCAGTAGGAAAAATGTTAAGGTAGAAGCATCAGCAGTCAGCTAGGTTAGTAGAGATGTCTGCATTTATTTTCTACCTTTATAAAACAAGAATCTACTAACAATCTTAGGTAAATGGTAAAGTAACATATTTTTGCCTTGATGCCTTTGTCACAAGGCCACGAGATAACTGCTGTGTGTTTAGTCTCAATTTCCTGTTGCAAGGAAACATTAATTCAGTTTTCTACTCACTATACAATTAGGTTGTAGGGATATAGACACCTCATTTGAGTGATCTGAGTTTTTCATCTTTATATCTAAAAACTTCAAAATAGTAAAAGCAGAAAACACTAATTTAAAATGCTACTGTAATAAAAATATTTATGAACATTTCAGTATTTTAAAGTATATTCCTTTAACTTCAAGAATCTTGAATATCCTTGCTAGAAGGCTTTTTTCCTCAAAGATTCCTTTTAGGCTTACTTTGGTGTTCAGGATCTCCAATTATAAATGTAGTCTCTCATCACCACATTCCGTAAAGATGATTTCCCAAGTAACGGTATTTCACTAAGTTGCTCCAGAGTCTTAGGGTGCAAACCACAGTTAGTAAGCTCCGTATGAACAACCTCCTGTGGAAATTTGTATGAAAGTCAGTGAAAAGCATATTAGTCTTGAAACACACAAGTTTTAAATAATTACTACGGAGACTGACAAATAAATGGCTCATTCATGTGATTCACCCTATCAACAGAAGACCTAAGAATTTTTGTAGTGACAAAATCCCAAAATACTAACGGTTATTTTTATAAGTCTAGCTAACTGAAATGCATGAGACAATTTTAGAGGCAAAAATCCTTATATTCAAAATCAAAGGCAAATATCGTTAAATACCTATAGTGAATGATGTTTCCTTAAAACTATAAAGGCATCAGGTACTACTGAGTTTTGGATCCAAGAGGACCATGAAAATAAAATTTCCCCTTTTGGAAATGGGAAGTTCCTTAGTCACTGTTAAAATTGTACTTGGACTGACGCCAGGTGCCTTGGCTCAAACCTATAATCCTAACACTTTGGGAGGGCAAGGTGGCAGATCACCTGAAGTTAGAAGTTCAAGACCAGCCTGGCCAACATGGTGAAACCCACCCCCTCTGTCTCTACTTAAAATACAAAAAATAGCTGGATATGGTGGCATTCCTGTAATCCCAGCTACATGGGAGGCTGGGGCAGGAGAACTGCTTGAACCCAGGTGGCTGAGGTTGCAGTGAGCCAAGATCGGGCTGCTGCACTCCAGCCTGGGCAACACAGCAAGACTGTCTCAAAAAAGAAAAAACTTGTACTTGGACTCAATTCATGAAAGTTAATTCAACAATTTATGGACATTATTCCTTCCTCTAGTAATTCAAAATTGAATTAAATAAGTTTAATTACTTGAAACACAAAAGTGACTCAGCATAAATGACTCCCTTCCAGCTAGTTTGAGGAAACTACAACTAAAACGGTCTGCTCATAGATGTCTACTTACTGTATTAAGTACTTTGTCCACTGGCAGGCAGATGTTAAATACAGCAGTTGGTTCATGTGGATATAGTAGCGCAGAGAAAGCCCCACTCTGTGAAGATTTGAGCAGCATGGTCAGTGAATGCAGGCAATGAGGCATGATAGGACCTGTAATCTCCAAACTAAATTGGTCTCTGTATCCAGAAAGAGCTTGTGTCTTCACATTTACACTTCGTGCCTTCATGAAAATTTAAAGAAAAGGAAAATGGTCATCTTTCAACTTTTTTTCTAGCTAAAAATGTGTTTAATACGTTTCCATTTGGGGTTTCCTCTCTTTAACCGTTACGGAACAAAAGTATTTCCCAAGACATCAAAACAATGTTAATGAGAGTAAAAATACTTGGCAAATTTTCAGCATCCTCTCCATATTATGAGATTTTTCAGTTGAAGTATATTCCAGAGAATACCATTTTTTCATACAGTATTTTATCTGATTTAGTAATAACGCTGTCAATTCAGACTACTGGAAAAACAAAAATTTAAAATCCATTCAATTCTATTGCTAACATTTAGCATGTACTTTGTATTTACATGCATAATTTGACTTTTACTTATGTATGCCCCAGTTTTTGAGACCTGCTATAATTTAACATAACATTCGTGGCCATGTCCTTTCACTAGTGAAATGAAAATGGAATCAAGCAACTATTTCTTAAGTGGCAAAAAAGGAAATTAACACAACACTTTTGTTCCCAGTTATTTTATTGCCAACTGTTACTTTACTCAGTAAGAAAATTTTTGGCCAGGCATGGTGGCTCATGCCTATAATCCCAGCACTTTGGGAGGCCAAGGTGGGTGGATCACTTGAGGTCAGGAGTTGGAGACCAGCCTGGTCAACATGGTGAAACTCCATCTCTACTAAAAATACAAAAATTAGCTGGTCGTGGTGGCACCTGCCTGTAATCCCTGCTATTTGGGAGGCTGAGGCAGGAGAATCCCTTGAACCTGGGAGTCAGAGGTTGCAGTGAGTCGAGATCGCACCACTGCACTCCAGCCTGCTGACAGAGCGAGACTCCCTCTCCAAAAACAAACAAGAAAAAACAAAACAAAAAGCTGGGTGTGGTGTGTGCCTGTAATCCCAGCTACTCAGGAAGCTAAGGCACGGCACAAGAGTCATTTGAACAGGGGAGCAGAGGTTGCATTGAGCTGAGATTACCCCACTACATTCTGTCTAGCTAGGATAGCAGAGCAAGACTCCATTAAAAAAAAAACAAAAAGATTTTATATAATTTATATATTTTCACATAATTTCTTTGATGTAACCGTCTTATGTCAAAAGTTTTTTTTGTTTTCTTAATGGGAGGAAAGCAAAAGCAAAATATGTACCAAGCAAAAATGCTAGAAGTTTTTTTAATCAAGAATTTATCCTATCAGGCCGGGCGCGGTGGCTCAAGCCTGTAATCCCAGCACTTTGGGAGGCCGAGGCGGGTGGATCACGAGGTCAAGAGATCAAGACCATCCTGGTCAACATGGTGAAACCCCATCTCTACTAAAAATACAAAAAAATTAGCTGGGCATGATGGCGCGTGCCTGTAATCCCAGCTACTCAGGAGGCTGAGGCAGGAGAATTGCCTGAACCCAGGAGGCGGAGGTTGCGGTGAGCCGAGATCGCGCCACTGCACTCCAGCCTGGGTAACAAGAGTGAAACTCTGTCTCAAAAAAAAAAAAAAAAAAAAAAAAAAGAATTTATCCTATCAAAGTAAAGTACTTCTTAAAAGCTAGGTTATGGAGATTTTTATTACCTTAAGCATTTGCATTGTGGCACCTCGGAAAGCAACAGGGGATAAGAGGGTTGGAGGAAGTCCTGCCTGTGGACCTGAGGTAGCAACTAAACTCTTACAGTTGATCAAAAAATTGAGCAATGTAAAGGTGTTGATTCCTTTCACCAACACAACAGACTCAGGTCTGTGATCCATTTGTACTTCATGTTTCTCTTTACGACTGAAGATGACAATCAAGGAAATTGCAAAAGCGAACCCCACCTACTGTGGAAAGCAGTTATCTCGATTCTGAATCACCTGAGACCCCTTATCTCCATAATAAAACGCAAACACTCTTGCTACCTCTCTTTACTCAATCATTAAGGCATATATTTCAATCAAAATGTTAACAATCTAAATTTGCTACAAACTGGCACCTAATTTCTTCTCTAGTTAAAACACACCTATTCTCCCACAATCACAATTGAATGTTTTGAGGGTTTCATAGTTCACCATTTATTGATACTCAGGGGCTTGTTATTAAATATTACAATGGAAAATTAGTTTTAATATAATCTGAAGATAATTTAAGATTATAGTCGGCCGGGCGCAGTGGCTCACGCCTGTAATCCCAGCACTTTGGGAGGCCCAGATGGGTGGATCACGAGGTCAAGAGATCGAGACCATCCTGGTCAACATGGTGAAACCCCGTCTCTATTACAAATACAAAAAATTAGCTGGGCATAGTGGCGCGTGCCTGTAATCCCAGCTACTCAGGAGGCTGAGGCAGGAGAATTGCCTGAACCCAGGAGGCGGAGGTTGTGAGCCGAGATCGCGCCATTGCACTCCAGCCTGCGTAAGAAGAGCTGGAGTGCAATGGCGCGATTTTTTGAAACTCCATCTCAAAAAAAAAAAAAAAAGATTATAGTCATATAAAACTGCCAATGTTAAACTTCTCACTAACGTCTTTCAATGAAAATTAATTCTAGTTAACAGCAACTGAAAGGATACAGCTTGATAGAAAGTATGTCTGGCTTTTTAATTTCATCTTGCACTCCCATCTCTTCCAGCCAAGAAAAACTTTCCTCTTCGTCCTCATCACTGATGGCTTGCTCCCTAGGAAATTGCTGTAGTTAGAGTCTCTATTTCACAAAGCTGCTCCTGTACAAATCTATTTCACGGGTCTGTAAGTCACTGGATGACATAAAAAGTTATTTAAATAACATACTCCCCATATTCCAAGCTTGTTCCAGATGCTGTCTCCTTTTTATGGCCACTTTCTTTTATTAAAGGCAGAGAAAATTCAATACCTAAATGAGGGAAAAAAATGTAACTGAGTTTTCATTATAAGTATTTAACAGGCATGCTGTACTTTTCGAGTGTACAAAATATGAAGTGTAAGTTTTTACAGATTATCTATTAAGGCAGTAGTTTTCAAGCTTTCTTGACACAGTACATACACACATAAAAACGTATCTCCTTGAAAGAGGTACGGGAAACAACACATACATGTGATACTCTTTCATAAATTATATTGTATTCTAGTTCACTTTTTGAAAAAGTACTGACTGGGTCCACTAAATAGATTTCATGATCCACTAATGGGTTGACTCAGCTTGAAAATTATGTTATTAGGGCCGGACGCGGTGGCTCACGCCTGTAATCCCAGCATTTCGGGAGGCCAAGGAGGGTGGATCACAAGGTCAAGAGATCGAGACCATCTTGGCTAACATGGTGAAACCCTGTCTCTACTAAAAATGCAAAAAATTAGCTGGACGTGGTGGCACATGCCTGTAATCCCAGCTACTTGGGAGGCTGAGATAGGAGAATTGCTTGAACCCAGGAGGCGGAGGTTGCGGTGAGCCGAGAATGCGCCATTGCACTGCAGCCTGGGTAACAAGAGCGAAACTCCGTCTCAAAAAAAAAAAAAAAAAAAAGAAAAAAAAGAAAATTATGTTATTAAAGGAGTAGCTGGTACTATAGAAGAATTTCTAGAAGACTGTATGTAGTGACTATCTGGCCCGATATGTGTTTTCTTTTAGAGATCAGAGAAGGGAAAACTATGTATAAGGAACAGTTTAAATCAGGGGTCCCCAATCCCAGGACTGTGAATTGGTACTGGCCTGTGCCCTGTTAGAAACTGGTCTGCACAGCAGGTGAGCGACTGGTGATGGATCATTACTGCCTGAGTTCCACCTCCTGTCACATCAGTGGTTGCATTAGATTCTCACAGGGGTGAGAAGCCTATTCTGTGCATGTGAGACATCTAGGTTGTGCACTCCTTAGGAGAATGATGGTCTGATGTGGAACAGTTTCATCCCGACACCATCCTCCCCTCATCTATGAAACTGGTCCCTAGTGCCAAAAAGTTTGGGGACTGCTGGATTAAATAATTGTAGGGGGAGGGGGGAAACCAGAAATAAATCACATGTTTCTTAGTGTTGCTAACCAACTGGTAAAAGGCATTTTAAATTTAAATAGCTTTTAGGCTAAAATAGAGTTACTATATATTATAGTATCCTTATTTTAAACCTAAACATTACCTTCATTTCTCATAGCTTCTCTTAAGCCTCGAGTTGTAGGAGATATAAGAGCTGTGATTAAGTCATTTCCAGCTAATCCTGCTGCTCGGAACAGGACAGTAAACTGATAGGTACAAACATAGAAATAGGGGCAAAGTTTTGTCTTCAGCAGATTATACAGAGAAGTAAAGCTCACAGACCTATGAAGTGAGAAAATTTTTGTTAGGTATTATTAAACACTTAATGCAATGTTTATAATTTAATTCTGTATAATCTAGTTTGAGACCTGTTCTAAAACACAACACAAATATTTTAGATACTGGTTTGAAGTTTTGTGGTTACATATGACTTAGCTCTAAAGGACTGAAAATGGTTATAGGGACTTGCTGATGATTTCTCAATACTTTAACTAACAATGTATACGACTTAAACAGTTATTTTTTCTTTAAACAAAACTTAATTGAGAATTGCTTGCTGACTTTCTCTAAGCCGCTGATAAGAAAGGAAGCAGACACTGACAAGAAATAGCATTAAAGAATTAGGTCTGTCTGTATATTTTTAACAAACACTTATATACATTCTACAACTGGGTAAAGAATGAATAGCAGCTTAAAAAAAAAAAAGTAAACACTTTAAATGTTAATAGGTTCAGATAAAATTCACAAGAACACAGATATCCTTCTGCCATTAATCTATTCAGTCACAAATATGATAAACAGAGAATACTGCTAAAATGAAAATTCACTATTGAATTACACGGCTTTTCTTACTAATCTTACCAGTCACTCATTAAAACATGCTGCAGGGTTGTATCATTTGACCAAGGACTTGTCTTTCCAGTCATTTTTCTATCAGCGCCAATACGAGGGAACAGTGGAAGCCAAGACAAAGCAGGGTGGAGCCAATAGACAAGGCTCTGCTGGAAGGTACAACGGAGCTCAGTGGAGAGTTTGGGATCCTAAAATCCAGAGGTGACAGTGGGCAGTTTTGCCCCTTGAGAAATATAGAATTTCATTAAAGATGCACTGAATAGCTAAACACTTAGGTCTAAGAATCTTTACTGCTTACTACAGAAACGCATTAGTAACTGTTACAGGAACTAAAACATAGTTTATCTTTATTTGGGCCAGATGTAATATTAAACCATATCATCAGAGCATTTAAACACAGATGGGAACAGGTGCCTGTCTCTACCACCCTTAAGGACAATGACTACCTTTTTTATCATGAGGAGTAGGGGTGGGCATGTGTGTGTAAGTAACACTATGTCCAACCCTCTCTCCAAAATGCCATTTTAAAAGTAGTCAGTAAACACTGATACAAGAAATCACAAATCATCTTATTTATTGAAAAGAGGTATATACCAAGACCTCTTTGAGGATAATCCTTTTTAACCTAGTTTGAGATTGAGATTAAAAAAAAAGATTTTCACTTTGGGAGGCCGAGGTGGGTGGATCACGAGGTCAAGAGATCAAGACCATCCTGGTCAACATGGTGAAACCCCGTCTCTACTAAAAATACAAAAAATTAGCTGGGCATGGTGGCGCGTGCCTGTAATCCCAGCTACTCAAGAGGCTGAGGCAGGAGAATTGCCTGAACCCAGGAGGCGGAGGTTGCAGTGAGCCGAGATCGTGCCATTGCACTCCAGCCTGGGTAACAAGAGCGAAACTCCGTCTCAAAAAAAAAAAAAAAAAAAAAAAAAAAAAAAGATTTTGAGACAGTCTCATTCTGTCACCAAGGCTAAAGTACAGTGGCGCAATCAGCTCATGCAGTCTTGACCTTCCAGGCTTAAATGATCTCCCAACTCAGCCTCCCAAGTAGCTGGAACTACAGGCACCCACTGCCATGCTCAGCTAATTTAAATTTTTTTTTTTTTTTTTTTTTTTGTGGAGATAGGGGTCTCACTACATTGCTCAGACTGGTCTCAAGTAATCCTCCCACCTCACTCTCCCAAAGTGCTGAGATTACAGGCATGGGCTATTGTGCCCAACTTCCTAGTTTGAGTTGATGCTTTAAAATAATCAAAATGTATTTCTCTAAAACCATTCTAGAACTCACAAACTCCACTAAATTTATAAAAGACCATTACACAGGTAAGAAAATCAGTAAATCCATCAGTCCTTGCACTCCTACCCAATTACTTTCCACTTCTTTGTATTTCTTCCTCAAAAAGCCGTAGAGAAAAATAAACAATGATTGCCTGCAACACTGATTAATTTGCAGGACAAGTCTCTAAATTTATGAGCTGTTACTCAATCTGACTTAAAAAAAAAAAAAAAAAAGGTATGAAAGCACCACAAGCACCATTTGGGAAAGACAGAACTTCCTAAGTCTTTGTATCTTTAAATGTCGAAAGAAAAACTTAATGGAAGGCAGTATCTCTGCTATTTTGCAAAGGAGAGCATTTCACACTTACTTTGTTATTTTAACACATAACTATTTTATTTCAGAATTACCTGTATACTTTTAGGCAATGTAACTTCTATTGCCCTACAATGCTGGACAAGACCTTGAGCCTCTTCCTGTGCTTTCAAATGATCTGCCCAGGTAAAGGGTTCAGAAGAGGTGAAAAGGAGTCGGGTTTTAATACTCCAGTCCACAGGTAACTCAGTACTTTTTGAGGATGGAATATCAGACTCGGAGAATGATACATGTGGAGTCTTTAGAAAACAAAGAATGCAAAAATTAGTCAAGTACCAAGAAAAAAACCTTTAACCTAAAGATTTTTATAAGCTAACATACTCATTATCACTGAAAAGTCAAAATTATTTAAACTGTATAATAACATGAAAAATACATCACACACTGTAAAAAAAAAAAAAAAAAAAAAAAAAGCCTGAAAGGAGTCACACTAAACTTTTAACAGTGGTTACCTGTGGGAAGCAGAAATTTGCTGCTTTGGGGGATGGGGGTGGAGGGCATATTTTACTGTCTAGTTTATACAGTTCTTTATGGTAGTATAGATGCTTGCATTAAAGTAGAAATATTCCAAGTGGTTAAACATTTTCGATCTTTTAAGCCTCTGAAACTGCATCCAGGGCTAACAAAGTCCATATTTAAGAAACATTTCCTGCGGCCGGGCACGGTGGCTCAAGCCTGTAATCCCAGCACTTTGGGAGGCCGAGGCGGGTGGATCACGAGGTCAAGAGATCGAGACCATCCTGGTCAACATGGTGAAACCCCGTCTCTACTAAAAATACAAAAAATTAGCTGGGCATGGTGGCGCGTGCCTGTAATCCCAGCTACTCAGGAGGCTGAGGCAGGAGAATTGCCTGAACCCAGGAGGCGGAGGTTGTGGTGAGCCGAGATCGCGCCATTGCACTCCAGCCTGGGTAACGAGCGAAACTCCGTCTCAAAAAAAAAAAAAAAAAGAAACATTTCCTGACCTCAAATGTTTCCCCTCAACCTGTCTGCTGTGCTTTCAGGTCAACGTTCTCCACAACACAAGGATATTTTTTTTTTTTTTTTTTTTTTTTTTGGAGACAGAGTCTCACTTCATCACCAGGCGCCAGGCTGGAGGCACGACCTTGGCTCACCGCAACCTCCACCTCCTGGGTTCAAGCAATTCTCCTGCCTCAGCCTCCCGAGTGGCTGGGATTACAGGCACGCGCCACAGCGCCCAGCTATTTTTTTTTGTATTTTTAGCAGAGATGGGGTTTCACCATGTTGGCCAGGCTGTTCTTGAACTTCTGATCTCAGGTGATCCACCTGCCTCGGCCTCCCAAATTGCTGGGTTACAGGCATGAGCCACCGTGCCCAGTCAAGGATTCTTTTATAACACAATAAAATATCAGAGAAGGGGGAACTATCTTTGACAGAACATAGTAAGGTCACTTATTTACAAGATAAACTGGATCTTGTGAACTCTTCTAGCCTGCTCCCATTAGAACAAACTGCATCTCTCAAACTACACAGCACAACAGTAGTAGTTGGGGAATGGAAACGTTTGTGTGCGTGTGCGTGTTAGGGGAGGGGAGCAACGAGGTTCAGTGCTATGCCACAACCTGGGGAAGTGGGCCAGGACAGCTGGCTTTGAGTGATGAGCTGGAGAAGTCAACTGCCCAAAGAGTGTTAAAAACTGTTAGAGGGTAAAAAAACCCCACGTCTATCAGGCCTATTTTAGCGCCGGCTACCTTTACAGTTATCATCATCGTATCAAACGAACTCCTTTACCTTAGCTGATGTCGTATTTTCATCCCTGGTACGGATGATCAAGCCTCTCTGTAAAATTAATTTCTAAGCAAAATGCTTCTGAGAAGTATAAATTTATTTTTAGAAATAGACTCAAATCCTAGCTAGGAAAAAAAAAAAGTTTATACAAACATTCTAATGATATTTAAAAAGTATTACCTGGGGTAATTCAGTAACAGTTGTTCTTTCAGGAAACTTCTCTTCCCATAACACATCATTTTCTTGATTAGAATCTAAAAACTGAGGTTAAAAATATTGTCCTTTTAAAATGTAAAGGATGCTGAAGTTTGCGTTAATTATGTACGGAGCCTCACCTGGCATACACGTTTCTCAATAAATGCAACAGCACCCAAACTCACAGACACCCCATCTAAGCTATGAGTTTCACTCCAGTTTTGTGTCTGAACTTTAGTACCAACATTGAGGGGAACAAGAGACGGTTTTTCACACCGAAAGATCCAAAAGGCTTAGGGTAAGACAAATGCTAGTGAATTCTGCCCCCACGAATCCTTAACATTCCCCAATCCCCAGAATAACGTGGAGTGCGTGAGAGGAGGGAGGCCCTGAATCACGGGGGAAGCCTGCAGGGCTCGTCACCTGCCCCATCCAACAGCGTCCTTACAAGATGGGGGCTCTCAGGGTTTTTCGAGCTTTCTTCCAACACACCTCTAAGTCCCCTCCAAGGGGCTCCGCGCTGCCCCCCGGCGCCCCTGACTTTCCTCGGGAACGCGTCCCGTGGGCACAGCCCGCAGAGGGGCAGCCGGGCGCGCGCTCTTCCCACAAACCCGGCCTCGCGGAGCTGCGGCTCCCAGCGCGGGGCACCCTACGGCTACGGACGGCCGAAGTGTTCGCGCCCATTTCCTTGCCTCGAAGGCGAGGACTTTCCATCCCCGATTCACAGTTGGCTCAACCCGCGAAAGACAAGAGCCCGTCAGCGGCCAGGCTCCAAGACACTCACCCGGCCCGGCGCCTCCGGCTGGTCGCGGGCAGGCCCGTCGGGGTGCCCCGCGGCGACCTGCGGTCGATTGTCCAGGCGGGCGAAGGGGTTCCTCCGGGCCGCTGCCGGGCCGCCGCCGCCTCTGCCCCCAGCGGCAGGGAAAGGGCGAAGGGGCAGCCCGGCCGCCAGGGCGGCTCGGCGGGCTGCCGGCTCCGGCAGCTCACGGGGCGGGGAGGCAGCAGCCCCACGGCTCCGGGCCCTTTTCCGTCGGAGCCGCACTACCTCCGGCGGCTTTTGGAAGCCCGGTGAGTAGCCGGGCACGGAAAGGGCCATGACGCGCGGCGGCTGAGGACTGCTGGCCGCCCGGCAGACACTTCCCGCGCGCGCCGGGCCCGCCCCCGACGTGGCGCCGCGCCGAGCTCCGGCCCCCGACGCGGCCCCGCCCCCACGGGTTCTTAGCAGAGCATGCGCGGCGGTAGCCCGCGAGACCCGCTACGCAGCCGCGTGGCCGCCACCACCCACTGGCCCCGCGGTGACCCTGCCCTGGCGTTCCTGCAGGGTCCTCGGCCAAAGTCCAGTCGCCAGGTTCAGCGACGCTTCTGGAAAGCGTGCGATCCAGGGCGCCGATGCGTACTACTCTGTGGGGCACCGAAATAGCTGAACTCTAAATAAGCCCGCGGCAGGGATGTGATCAGTCCGGGGTTTGGAGCTTGGCTGAAAAGGGAACAAACTTGAGCTGCGGTGATGGGCTGCTGCTTCCAGAAACTTTGGAGGGCAGCGGCTACTGCTCTCAAGAGGCGAGGAGAGGGCACTAGGCCACCCTTCCTCAACTCCCAAATAGGGAACTCAAGTTAAGACCTCAGCACGCTTCCTGTACCATCGCGGCCTCCCAACAACCCTCCCTTCCCGGTTCCCAGTGACTGGTCATCTCAGCCTTCCAGGCAGCTGCTACTGGCAAGTTAATGTGATCCTCTTCTTTGATCCTGGGGAAAGCTGGAGTGAATGAATATTTGACAACACAAAACTTAAGGGCTATGGGCTAGGTCCTTTAAGACTTCAAAATATACTCAAATTCTTAAATTATAACAGCAAAGACTTGTTAATAAAGGAAGGTGTTGAGAACGGAGCTGATACAAAATTAATACGTTATTTGGATAGTTTAGCAAAGGCCTGCAACAGCTTTATCAATAGAGTAGCGTGGCTTTTGCTGATAGCAGCGGTTTTCTTCATGGAAGGAATTTTTTCGCAGGGGCAAAATATATAGAAACAATGAAAAGGTTTTTAGAAAATTCCCTTAAGATGTTAATTAAAGAATTATCTTGATCATTTACACAACAATTTTTCAAATACTTTTCAATGTGTCAACTGAGCATCTTGTCTTAACAGGGGAAACGTGCTTAAAAATGGAACTTGCTTTTATCTTCCTTGGATTTCTCAACAATTTCCAAAGAAAATTCTGGCTTCAAATACTGGAATACGTTCATCCAACTGAGGTCTGAGAAAGAAGAAAATTAAAACTGAACAACTTGCTTTTTTCTTCCTTGATTTTTCTGAACAGCTTCCATGGAAACTTTTGCCTCATACAGTGGAATGGGTTCATCCAACTGAGGTCTGAGAAAGAATGAAATTAGAAATGTCAGGTCTAGTTAAAGATGCAGAACAAACAGGATGGCATATGACAATTGCTAGTGCTTAAATCTATTAACTTTATTATTTACTTAATTTTTTGAGACAGAGTCTGGCTCTGTCACCCAGGCTGAAGTGAAGTGGCACGATCTCAGCTCATTGCAACCTCTGCCTCCCAGGTTCAAATGATGCTTATACTTCAGCCTCCTGAGTAGCTGGAATTACTCAGAGGCTGAAGTATGATAATCAAGCTGATATAAAAATCAGCTAATTTATATATTTTTAGTAGCGATGGGTTTCACCATGTTGGCCAGGCTAGTCTTGAACTCCTGGCCTCAAGTGATCCGACCACCTTGGCATCCCAAAGTGCTGGGATTACAGGTGTGAGCCACACCGAACCCAGCCTCAAATCTATTACTTTAAGTAATTCAAACAAATTTGTTAATTAGTGTTTCCAAGTTAAAAGTAGTTATTAAGAAAAAAAAAATCTACTCCCTCATTTTTTTTGGGGGAGGGAACGGAGCTTTACCCTTGTTGTCCAGGCTGGAATGTAATGGCATCTCGGCTCACTGCAACCTCCACCTCCTGGTTTCAAGCAGTTCTCCTGCCTCAGCCTCCCCAGTAGCTAGGATTACAGGTGTTTGCCACCGTGGTCAGCTGATTGTTTAGTAGAGACAGGGTTTTGCCATGTTGGCAAGGCTGGTCTCGAACACCTTAGGTGATCCACCTGCTTCAGCCTCCCAAAGTGCTGGGATTACAGGCACGAGCCACCACGCCCGGCTTACTCCCTCTTTTGTAAGTGATAAACAGATTCAACTTAAACAAATATGCCACGCTTTTCTCTCCTTCAAGCTATTGGTTATTTCAAGTTGCTTTGGAACGGGCAATGAGGAAAAGCAAAGGGTAAGGTACACTATGGAATGGAGTGAGGAAAACTCACAAGCCACTTCCTTCTCTGGGAATACTTACTGGTGTGCCACCAGATATACTTTGATAAGTATTAAAGTGCAGCTATTTATCTAAATGAAATAAGGTCAGTGCAAAAGTAATTGCAGTTGCTTCAACAGCAAAAACTGCAATTATGTTTGCACCAACCTAATAATAAAATATGGAGGCAACAGATATATGGCAAGAGCTAAAACAAAACTGGAACTGCCTGCCTTGGCTCCTTGAAAATAGAAAACAAGAACAATGCTTTGGTTACTTCAGCGTACCTGAAAACACCAGTTGATAACTTTTCCATCACATCCTTTAAGATACGTAGCTGGCAGGATTGTTAAGGTGGCAATGTAAAGGAGAGAGAATTAAATAAAACCATTTAATAAGCAGAAGCTGCCAGGTAGGCCACTTGCTTTTTTTTCCCCAAGTTTTGCACTCCCAGAGATTCAAAATGTTAAGTTAGAGAAATTCTGTAGGCCGTCAAGTTTAGCTCTACAACAGGGAAATGATTTGAGAGCTGGTGGTGTAATAGACCCTAAATTTCCAAGAACAAGTAACAAAAGCAGCAAGTCAAGCCTGGTGCTTAAGTGCTCACCACTATTATCCAAATAGATAGGAATGAAATAGTGTCTAGTTTTCATTTCTGTACTATGTATGGAATTTTTAGTTAAAAACAATTTTAGCACTTACAAATTTTAATTTAAATGTATGCTTGTTCACTAGGCTGGTTGGTAAGAGGCTCAAAATTTGTTTGCAGAAGCCGGTAAACTATGTGTATGATATACAGTCATCCCTCAGCATCCATGAGAGATTGGTTCCAGGACCCCCATGAAGACCAAAATCTCCAGATACTCAAACTCCCCTACAGAAAATAGTGCACCAGCTTGGGCAACGATGCTCTCTACAAAAAATTTAAAAATTAGCCAGGCATGATGGCATGTGCCTGTACCCCAGCTACTGGGGAGGCTGCGGCAGGAGGATCCCTTGAGCACACAAGTTTGAGGTTACCGTGAGCTGGAATGAGCACTGCCCTCCAGCCAGAGCAACCAGAGCAAGACCCTGTCCAAAAAAAAAAAAAAAAAAGAAGAAAAAAGAAAATGGTATAGTATTTGGATATAACCTAGGCACATTTCCATTATACAATAAATCATCTCTATATTATAATACCTAATGCAATGTAAATACTATGTAGATAGTGGTTATACTATATTTGTATTTTTTTATTGTTGTATTATTACTTTTTCAGAGTTTTTTTTTGAGATGGAGTCTTTCTCTGTCATCATGCTGAAGTGCAGTGGTGCTATCTCGGACCACTGCAACCTCCACCTCCCAGGTTCAAGCGATTCCCCTGCCTCAGCCTCCCAAGTAGCTGGGACCACAGGTTTGCACCACCACACCCGGCTAATTTTTTCGTATTTTGGTAGAGACGGGTTTTCACCATGTTGGCCAGGATGGTCTTGATCTCCTAACCTCGTGATCTGCCACCAAAGTGCTGGGATTACAGGCATGAGCCACCATGCCTGGACTTTTTTGTTTTGTTTTGTTTTGTTTTGTTTTGTTTTTGAGACAGGTCTCCCTCTGTGGCCCAGGCTAGAGTGCAGTGGCATGATTGTGGCTCACTGCAGCCTCAACTTCTCAGGCTCTGGTGACCCTCAGCCTCCCAAGTAGCTGGGACCACAATGATTCACCACACCAGGTTAATTTATTTTTATTTTTGTATAGACAGGATCTCCCTATGTTGCCCAGGTTGGTCTCAAACTTCTGAGCTGAAGTCATCCTCCTGCCCCAGCCTCCCAAATATTTTTGAACTTTGGTTGGTTGAATCCCTGGATGCGGAACCATTGGATACAAGGGGCTGACTGTGTAGCACTAAGATAATCAGAAAATGATGTAAAAATCACAGAAAAAAAAAAAAACTACCTTGCTAATTTAACTGAAATTATAATACTGGGATCAAGATTCTATTTAATTGCCAGTACTTCTGAATTATTTATGGCCAAGAATCACATAGTTGGAAGGAAATGTTAAATCACAAGCAGCAACTCAGCTTGTATAAACTGAATGAGGAGGGTCTGCACAAGTGAAGACTGTATTCTGAATCAGGACTTTAGAAAATGCAAATTAGGGCTGCACGAGGTGGCTCACACCTGTAATTTCAGCACTTTGGGAGGCTGAGGCAGGTGGATCACCTGAGGTCAGAAGTTCGAGACCAGCCTGACCAGTATGGTGAAACTCTGCCTCTACTAAAAATACAAAAGTTAGCTGGGTGTGGTGACATGCACCTGTAGTCTCAGCTACTTGGGAGGCTGAGACAGGAGAGCTGCTTGAACCTGGGAGGCAGAGGTTGCAGTGGGCCGAGTTTACACCACTTCATTCTACTTCACTCCAGCCTTGCTTGGTGACAGAACAAGACTATGCCTCACAAAAAAAAAAAAAAAAGAAGAAAGAAAATGCAAATTAGAAAATATGGTAAGTAATTTAAAAATATTTTCAAAAGGAAACTAAAGAATATAAATATACTATTTCACATCCCTGCAAGTTATCTTCCTACTTCTGCTAATGATATTCTTACCTGTGTGCATGCGTGTATGTAGCATGTATTTCTGATTTTTGAAAATGTACAGCATTTCATATATACATGTCATTTCATATATACGTCATTTCATATATACATGTCATATTTCATATTGGTTCAGGGATTTGTAAATTGGTTAAAATTGCTTTCTTATTCAGAGAGGGGGTGTGAGAGAATTAAGTTATATACTATAAGCAAAGCAGTCAGTCAGTCTAGTTTCTACCATGTAAGATTCAAAAATGGCTGGGGCTTGGTGGCTCATACCTGTAATCCCAGCACTTTGGGAGGCTGAGGCGGGTGGATCACGAGGTCAGGAGATTGAGACCATCTTGGCCAACATGGTGAAACCCTGTCTCTACTAAAAACACAAAAATTAGCTGGGCGTGGTGGTAGATGCATGTAATCCCAGCTACTCAGAAGGCTGAGGTAGGAAATCACTTGAACCAGGGAGTTGGAGGTTGCAGTGAGCAGAGATCGCACTACTGCATTCCAGCCTGGCAACAAAGTGAGACTATGTCTCAAAAAAAAAAAATAAGACTCAAAATTAAACATGGTATTCTAATGTTAACTAATGTTACTTTTAATAGGTATTCTCCACTGTAGCATCTTTCCATGTTATTCGTAATAATTACAAGGTTATTGGACATGTAACTTTCTTTTTTTTTTGAGGCCCAGGCTGGAGTGCAATGGTGCAATCTTGGCTCACCACAACCTCCACCTCCTGGGTTCAAGGGATTCTCCTGCCTCAGCCTCCCGAGTAGCTGGGATTACAGGCATGCACCACCACACCTGGCTAATTTTGTAATTTTAGTAGAGACAGGGTGTCTTCATGTTGGTCAGGCTGGTCTTGAACTCCTGACCCCAGGTGATCCACCCACCTTGGTCTCTCGAAGTGCTGGGATTACAGGCATGAGCCA